TGCTGTAACTTATTTTTAGCGCATTTTTTTGAGCCAAGTTTGAAACGGGTTTGTGGCGGTCTTGTCTCGGCTTCTAAGACCGGGCTTGGTATTTGAGCCAAGCAACGTAATGGGAAACCTGTTTGGTCACTCTTACTCATACTCCAAGCCGAGATTTGTTGTTCCACTGTTTGTTTATTAAATTATGATGTCGTAGAATTGTTTCCCTTTTTTTTCTACAAATTTTTAATAATTTATATTCTATTTTTATAGAATTAATTATGATGCACAAATTAAAATATCGCGATAAAGTTAAATGGCTTCGAGGATTTCTGATCTGCGTCTGTTTGAGCCACTTGGCCGAGGCCCAGACGAGAGATCCTAGATTCTATTCCCGTCCTGGCGTCGACTGGCCGAACCCGGGTGATCCAGATTACAGGTGAGTCAGCCCACTCGCTATTCTTATCGCCATTTCAACTGGTGTTTCCGGTTCTCAGAACTTACACCTTCAACGATCGTCGCTATGGTCACTACCAGCCTAATGGCTTTGGTGCCAACTACCCGGGCAGGAATTCACCCGGCCAATATCCACAGGGAATGCCCAATGAAGATCGTTTCCGTTTCGATCCGGTGAGTTGAAGAATTTAATTGTTAAATTATTTTTATAAAATAAAATAGATCCCATTGGCTGATTAAATAATAAGATTAGCTTGTAGTATATAGTATAAGATCTTACTGGTCATCCAACGCTGCCCAAACTTGGGGTTTATCAATTAAATTGTGTGACACCCATGTTTCTGGAAGAACAATGACAAGCCATTGAAACAGCAAGTACATCCGATGAGCAGATCGCTCCAATACCAGAGCAATAATCTTAATTAAGATTTCAGGCCACCGGGTGAAGCCAAAGGCGACTTAATCAATTACACATGTTTCCCAGCCATGGATCGACTCAGTGGGTCTATTTGTTCCTCCTCGGAATGGTGCTAATGATGGTCTGAATTTCTTTGCCGCCCCTCCTCTAGAATGACCCCAATGCCCGGACTCAGTTTCCGGGAGTCTTGGCCGGCTGGAGGGAGGACTTGCAGGGCAAGCAGCGCAGAGACTCACTGACCCTGGAGCGGGACGTGTTTGTGACCACAAACTATGGACAGGTGCAGGGCTTCAAGGTGTACATGTACGACAATCCCGATCCGAAGTCCTTCTACCGTCCCTATCACTCGACAGTGGATCGTGTGATGGGCGAATGCTCCGCCTTCCTGGGCATCCCATACGCCCTGCCGCCCACCTTTGAGGGAAGATTCAAACCGCCACGGATCCATCGCGGCTGGCAGCTGCTGCAGGCTGTGGACTTCGGACCGGCATGCCCCCAGCCCGTTAGATATACGGGTGCCACCAAGGGAGTCATGGACATGGATGAAGATTGCCTCTACTTGAACGTCTACTCACCCAAGGTAAGGATTACGAAATTATACTTTTTTGAACCACTTCTCACCTGTAACTGACCCTTTCCAGACTGGTGCTGGAGTGGCACAAAAGTACCCAGTAATGGTCTACATCCACGGCGGAGAGTTCATCCGAGGCGCCTCAAACCTGTTCCAGGGCCACATACTAGCATCCTTCTACGACGTCGTAGTGGTGACCCTCAACTACCGCCTGGGCGCTCTGGGCTTCCTGTCCACGGGGGATGAGAACTCGCCAGGAAACTACGGAATCCTGGATCAGGCTATGGCATTACGCTGGATCCACGACAACATCGAGTTCTTCAATGGGGATCGCGACTCAATTACGCTCTTCGGCCCTGGAGCGGGAGGTGCCTCCGCCGGATTGCTCATGGTGGCGCCACAGACCAAGAACATCGTAAAGAGAGTCATCGCCCAGTCGGGATCGGCGCTGGCAGACTGGGCACTGATTCAGGACAAGTACCGGGCGCAGAATACCAGCAGGGTGCTGGGTCAGCTTCTTGGTTGCTCCATCGAGTCATCGTGGAAGCTGGTCAACTGCCTGCGCACCGGACGTAGCTTCTATGAGCTGGGAAATGCCGAGTTCGCTCCGCAGGTGGGCAGCTTCCCCTGGGGTCCTGTGCTGGACCACAACTTCACGCTGCCCGGCGACGACTGGTACGAGGGCTGGCGGGAGAAGGACTGGCGGTTTCTCACCCAGACGCCGGAGACTCTAATCCGGGCCGGGCGCTTCAACAGGAACATCCAGTACATGACGGGAGTTACTACCCAGGAGGCGGCCTTCATCGTGGCCCAGAACGAGTCCCTGGGTCCCTACTATGAGCTGGACGGGAGGTTCTTCGAGCAAAAGATCCGCGAACACGTCTTCCGGTACAACTACACTCTGAATCCCAACGGCGTCTACGAGGCCATCAAGTACATGTACACCTACTGGCCGGATCCGAACAATAACACCATAATCCGGGACCAGTACATCAACCTGCTGAGCGATCTCTACTACCGTGCACCAGTGGACCAGATGGTGAAGCTGCTGCTCGAGCAGAAGGTGCCGGTGTACATGTACGTACTGAACACCACGGTGGAGGCACTTAATCTCCCCCAGTGGCGCAAGTATCCCCACGACATCGAGCGCTACTTCCTCACGGGGGCACCCTTCATGGACACTGAATTCTTCCCCAAAAAGGAGCACCTGCAACGCAACATGTGGACCGACAATGACCGGAACATGAGTCACTTCTTCATGCAGACGTACTCCAACTTTGCGAGATACGGGTGAGTTACTACAGCCATTCATGCCATCGTCAGATACTATATCTCCAATTGGACCTCTTTAGAAATCCGACACCCCAACAGGTCCTGGGCATGCACTTCCAGAGGGCCTACCAGGGTGAGATTCGCTACCTCAACGTCAACACCACGTTCAACTCGTCCATCCTGCTGAACTACAGGCAGACGGAGTGCGCTTTCTGGACGCAGTACCTCCCAACGGTGATAGGAGTGCTGGTTCCCACTTACCCACCCACCACCGAGTACTGGTGGGAGCCCAAGGAGCCCCTGCAAATCGCCTTTTGGAGCATGTCCGTTACCTGCTTCTTCCTTATTGTCCTGGTGGTCATCTGCTGCATCATGTGGCGCAACGCCAAGAGGTGAGTCCAAGGTTTAACTGGAGTAGAAATACATATAACATCCGACTTTGGATTCTCCAGACAATCCGATCGCTTCTACGATGAGGATGTCTTTATAAACGGAGAGGGGATGGAGCCGGAACCTGATACTCGGGGCGTGGACAACGCCCACATGGTCACCAACCACCATGCCCTGCGATCCAGGGACAACATCTACGAGTACCGAGACTCGCCCTCGTCCAAGACTTTGGCCAGCAAGGCCCAAACCGACACCACTTCCCTGCGCTCGCCCAGCTCCCTGGCCATGACCCAGAAGTCCGGCAGCCAGGCCTCCCTCAAGTCGGGCATCTCGCTGAAAGAAACCAACGGAAGTCTGACCAAATCGGTTTCAGCCCGATCCCAGGGGAATGGCAATGGAACCGCTGTCAAGTCAGCCGCCGCCGGACCCGTCGAAGAGAAGCGTCTGCTGCAGCCGCTCTCTAGCACTCCGGTGCCACAATTACAGGCAGAGCCGGCCAAGCGTGTCCCAACGGCGGCCAGTGTGTCGGGCAGCAGTCGTAGCACCACACCTGTTCCGTCAGCCCGCACCACCACCACCACAACGACGGCCACCCTCAGCTCCCAGCCGGCGCCGCAGCCGAGGCGCACCCAGCTGGTGGAGGGAGTGCCTCAAACGTCCGTCTAAGTAACCGCTCTCTAAGTGCGGGATGCGCTTAGAGAGTCAGCCGAATCGTCCAATCACATAGCCAACCACAGCCTTTCGATGAACAAGGGTAAGTTGAGTTGAGAATATTCCCTCAAAACCCCCAATTATTTTCGAAAATTAATTTTTTTAAATCTTTTTCAGTTTTTACCGGAAATTATTTTGAATTAAGTTAATTCCTTCAAAATTTCTTAAGTTTAATGTAGTATTTATGAATTGTTTTTGAAAGATCTTTAAGATCTCAATCCCGAGTTTTAGATTATGCTACTTTATATTTAAAGTTTAAAGTTTAAATTTTAAAATTTGTTTTTAAGTTCGATAACCCAACGAATACGAATCCATATCAATGACATTCCATAGCCTTTCCAGGGGCCTTAAGTGAGAGCTTGTAAATACTTTTTTTAATAAAAACGTGTGTATTAGATGTAGGTACTTATTTTTAATCAGAGCTACTTTAAAGCGTTTAAGATAATCCCATTTTTTGTGAATCTTTTTCTAAAACAGTGACAGAAATATGAAAGTGAATTGTAACAAAAATTAATAAATAGACTAATACATATTCTAAAATAATAAATAATTGGTTTAATTAAAAGTGTAAAATTATTTCAATCATATTCATAAGATTGTCACGTCCCTTAGTGTAAGATTAACATTAAAAATGGATAGTTTTTAGAGCCCTCCACACATCGAGCAATACCTAAAGTGCCTTCATTCCTCGAGCTTGTCTTTGATGGACTCCCAACCGGTGCCCTCATCCAATCATAGACCAAGTGTGCCTTACAATCATTATATAACATACATCCACCTAGTTATAGTTTAAATTATATGTTTTATGTGTCGCATATTTAAGCCAAGAAAGACCATACCAATTCAGTGTGAACCGTCCAATAATTTTGTTTTCATACGCATCTTGTAAATGTTTACTGTATATATTTGTATCTTTACATGTTTGAAAGCATATTGTATTAGTATTTCCATATATATTTTAATGTATTTAAAAGTATATATAGTCTAATGTATTTTTCCATCAATAAAATATTAATAATTTACAAAGTAAATGTTCTTTAAGCTGGCAGGACTCTCTAAGAAGTAACCATCATCATTCTTTCTACAAAATGTATCTTCTACATCCATACAATCCCCCTCAAAATAAATTCAAAATCTTATATTTTTTGTATTTTTCTTTTTTCATTTAAATTGTCATTTAAAATATACACAAGTTCTCTATTTCTTAAATAGGACTATAGCCTAGTCTCATTTTAATAATCCAAAGTATAAAAATAAAAATAATGAACAAGGTTGTACAAGCTTACAGATACATTCTTAAAGATACAAGGAAGCGGCAAAGACAATGTCGCGTTTCAGTAGACGAATACCCTCCGAGAACTTGTTTTCCAGGTCCGTGTTGCCGATGGTCTTGGAGGCCTGGCACATTTGACGCAGCAGCTCCTCCAACCGGCGCATGCATCGAATAATGGAGCCCTCGAAGATGTCGGTCATCTTGCAGACCGCAAGGAAACTGGAGCCCTTGCACCAGGCCAGCACCACATCCATAAGGAATGGTTTGAACTTGTCCACATAGCTATCGGCGTCTATGGTCAGCTTGCACTCGGAGGATACTTTGGCGATGCGACGGGCGAGATCCTGCATGGAACGCAGAGGACCGGACAGTTCGGTGGCGCATTTCGGGGATTCTGAGGACTTTTCGTCGCAAACAAAGCATGACAGCAGGGCCAGCGCTTGGGGAGCGGTCAGCTCGTTGAACACTCCGTTGAAGATCATCTCGGTCATTAGCAGCTCGTCCGCCGAGCTCAGCTCGCAGGCAACACGACCCTTGAACTCGATGACGTCGCCCGGCTTGCAGTAGCCCATGCGGCGGAGCACACGTTTCCGGTATTTCAGTTCCTCCATCTGCAGGAGGCTGCGGGCGGCCTTTAGCTCGTTCTTCAGCTCCGTCACCTCCGACTGCAGCGCCACCTTCTCCTGGTAGCGTCTATAGACACCTTCCAGTTCTTTGGATTTATGCAGCGGGTGCTCTTCCAGGCGCTGCTCGAACTGAGCAATGGCGCTGACGATATCCCGGAACTCTTGAGCCTTGATGTTCATGTCGTCGATGGGATTTAGGACGGGTGGGCCTTGTGGAAAACGTTTCTTGGCTTCCTGGATGGTCTTAAGAACGGTTAGTCTGCTGTCTGGACTGCGCAGATCGTTGGGGAAGTAAACGCGGATGGAGCTGATCTGGGTAACGAGGGAATGGGCCACTGGCACCACTTCCATGCAGCCGCGCTCGTTGGGGCCGCAGGGCTCAGTATCGCCAGACTCGGCAGCCGCTTCGCTCACGTGCAGCAGCACATCGATGGTGACACTCATCTCGCTCTTGAGCGGATTCTTGCGGCTCTGGTCCTGCTTCTTGAAGTTCAGCACAATGCCCCAGTCGTACTCCTGGGAGCCGGCCGACACCTTGATCAGCCTGCCGGGCTGTAAAAAGGGCAGCAGGTGGTCCGGTCGCGTTATCCACTGACGAAACTGTTTGCCGTAGTGCTCCAGCTGGGAGCGGATGTGGTGGTAGGAGGCAATGTTGTGCTCATCTTTGAAGACTATCTTGTTCAAGGCGGCCGTCTTTTCCTCCACCTTGTCGTGCAGGCCTGGCAGGGCGGACTGGTTCTGGAACTGATAGAAACTTCGCTCCAGCATGTACTCCGGATTGATTTCCTCGACTCGGAGCAGATTCAGCACCATGTTGTAGGTCAGGTGGAAGGCAGAGTTGATGGGATCGGCCTTGCCTTGGACGATGCCGCGGCCCACAGCCGGTGAGACCTTCTCATCGATCATTAGGATGACAATGCCCTTGTCGTCGAGCCCTCGACGTCCGGCTCGTCCCGCCATTTGAATGTACTCGCCAGAGCTGATCCAACGGAAGTCCTTGCCGTCGAACTTTCGCGGTGCCGTGAACAGGACTGTTCTGGCCGGCATGTTCAGACCCATGGCAAAGGTTTCAGTGGCAAAGAGCGCCTTGATCAGACCCTCGCCGAAGAGAATCTCGATAGTTTCCTTCAGAATGGGCAGCAATCCACCATGATGGATGCCGATGCCGCGCCGAAGCAGGGGCAGTACATTCTCCACCTGTGGCAGCTTGCGATCCTCCGCCGAGAGAACATCCATGGCATTATTGAAAACCTCATCCACCAGTTTCTTTTCATCGGCGGTATTGAAGTCCAGCTTGGCCATCTGCATGGCGTATATCTCGCAGTCCTTTTTGCTGAACGAGAAGATGATCACCGGGGCAAAGTTGCGTTCCATAATCATCTTGACTATTTTGAAGATGTTCGTCTGTCCGGCATTCACGCCCTTGATGCCTCCTTTTCGAGACTTTTGGTCGCCCTTGGCAGCCTCCCCTGGAACCAAAAAAATATTATTAGAGCTACTGGTAGACCTGGTAATAATATAACCCGACTCCCACCTGCATTGGCCAGTACAGCCATGGCTGTGCTAAAGTTGTCCTCCTTAAACTGCCCCTTTTCGTCGACGATTAGATGGATGCCATCGCCACCGGCCGGGAAGATGTAGTGCTGCAGCGGAGTGGGTCGGTAGTCGGTGTACACCACGTGGCAGGGCTGCTTGTGCAGGTGGCAGACCCACTCGGCAAACTGACGTGCATTGGGTATTGTGGCCGAGAGGAAGACATAGCGCACGTTGTCCGGCAGCAGAATAAGCGTCTCCTCCCAGACCACTCCGCGCTCCTTGTCGCGCATGTAATGGATTTCGTCGAAGATTACCCAACCCACCTCGCGCATAATTTCGCTACCCCGGTACAGCATGTTTCGCAAAATCTCAGTGGTCATGATCAGGCAGGAGGCGGAAGGATTAATAGTCACATCGCCAGTGACCAGACCGACATCCTTGAACTCATCAGTAAACTCACGGAACTTTTGGTTGGACAGAGCCTTTATTGGAGTGGTGTATATAACGCGCTGCTTGGCTGCCAGCGACTTGGCAATGGCGTACTCCGCCACCACAGTCTTTCCCGCAGACGTGTGAGCCGAAACCAAGACACTCTGGCTGTTGTCGATACACAGTATAGCCTGGCGCTGGAAGGGATCCAGCACGAAGGGGTACTCCTTGGCCGGCACACCGGTAAACGGTTTTAGCGGTATGTACTCGTGGTCTGGATGGGCAGCCACCTCGTGGGTGCAAGACTCCGGCGACTCCAACAAATGAGTCACAATCCGCGTGCGCAAGGCCTCCAAGTCGGCCGTATCCTCGGGATCTACCTCGTCATTTGCGTCTTCGTCTTTGGTATCATCTTCCTGCTCCTCGTCACTGGATTTGGCATCCTGTTTGGCCCGCTTCTTGGACTTCTCCCCATCGTCAGATGGTTCCTCTTTCTGATCCGCCTCAGCGGCGGATTGTGCTTGTCGCTTCACACCAGCTTTCTCCTCCGCTCTGAAGGCCGGTGGGCCCTCCAAGTTCTCGGGAGGCGCCTCGTTGAAGCAGTCAAAGAGCTCGTCTATGTCCATTCCACGTTGTTTACTTTTTCTCTTTTATTTTTACCTTATTAAACGCACGCGGCTGCGATCTAGTGATGGGAATGAATCCTCCGGTGATATTATCGATGGTAGAAATCGATAACAAATACCGGACTGGTACTCCCCATCTCTCTAGCTAGAACCAGCTGGATTTAAGGCCTTTCACACCACAACAAATCGATAACAGTTCACACATATATCAACAACCCTAGGGATTTTCCATCTCTAGACAAAACTGTAAAAACATTATACAATTACCGAATTTCCAGCGTTTTTCTTACAACTTTTCGTCACCAGGCCCATACTAGAGCGAAAATGGTGGCTGGAGGAGCCTCGGACACGGGCGGCGTGAAGCCCATGGCCATTGCCGGCCGCATGGTGCGCGAGCGGGAGCGCCTCATCGGAATGTCCCCCGAAGAACGGGCCTGGCGCAAACAGTGGCTCAAGGATCAGGAGCTGCACCACGGACCGCGCAAGGTTCCCGCCCTGGAGCTGGAGCTGAACAATCCCATTAAACGCTTCTACCGTGCCCCCCTCGACAAGGTGTGCTCCATCCTGACCCCGGCCCTGGTAAGCTATCCGCTGTCCCCCCTTATGTAATCACAAAATATTTTGGTTTAATGGTGGATCGTTTCCGCAGGGATTCCAGCGGGCGTTCACAGTGCGTTACTGGACCGGAAAGGCTCTCATTGCCCTCACCGGAATCTACGCCGGTGCCTACTACTTCAAGTACAATCAGAATGTAAGTAATTGCGATTGGAAGACGGGTTGCACCTGCGCTGTAGCTTTATATTTCTAACATTGGTTTCCATTTCAGGATTGGACTCGTAAAGGCGGCTGGCGTGTAATTTCCTCCCGCAAAGCGTGCGTTCCCGGCGACGAGGGATACCCCAAGGTGTCCGATCGGTCGGCGCCGTCCGATTACGCTGCCCGTGGCTTCAAGGAATCGCCTCTATAAGCCGGACGGAGACCGCCTCCGAACTGGCTTAGTGATTTTTCTTAAGTTTGAAACGTAAATTTATAATACCAAAACAAAAATCGCAATAAACATGGAAACGAAAACACAAAAACCGAAAGTGGTGGAGAGTGGTGTAGGTAGCTTGTGCCATTGCCTCGGTGCTGAGGAAGAGGTTTTTATGCAGCGTCTGGCAAATTGTATGTTTTTGCTTTGGCATTATCTGAAAAGCTGCTCTAGCACTTTAAAGCTGCCCCAATTCCGCTGTTTCGTTCTTTATCAGCCACTTTCTTTTAGTTGCATTTCCGTGTCCGGCTGAGACCCAAGTGCGGTGGGCTCTATGGCCTCCAATGAATTCAAATAATACTTCTAATTAAAAATATTTTTTAATAAAATTCTTTAAAAAAAAATAGAAACGCGAAGATATTTAAAAGTTCGGAGACTACTTCTGTAGAGTACTAATTTTCGTGTAAAAATTAAAAATATTTGGACTCAAATCAGCAGAAAAGACATTTGGAATCCGTGTTTACTTTATAGTGCCTTTAAAATAATTTTTCAAAAAAACTGCTCATATGAAGCTATATTTTAAAAAAGGGCGACTTATTTTCGAAACAAATTTTTTTTAATTACAAGAATAATGTGTCTTACCGTGAAGTGTTTTCTAGCTAAAATATCGCAATATTATATCAAAATGACTAAACAAATCGTCCAAAATACATAAGATTGTTATTATTATTATAAAAGATAGAAAAACTTTCAAAAATAGACTACAAAACTTAATAATATAGCGCCTGGCTACGGTGTTCTTCGGCTATGTGAGTTGCTAGTGACATGCATAAGATAATAAAAGCAATTATATAAAAATATGAAAATCATAAAAAATATAGAATATTGATCAAAGCTAAGCTCAACAATATTGTTAAAAATATTTACTTATTGAGTGAAAACAGAAACAGAGTGAAACTTAACAGTGTATGTTAAGCCAATAACAGAGAGTGTGCAACAACAACAAAACAACAAAATGTTAAAAGTATTTTATATTTCAAAAATTAAAAACGGGATAAAAATTGTTAAAAAATAATAGTTTTATAACCTATCTAGGCTTCTAAAAAAAATGATAGGAAATACCCCATAAGCCAATACTTGCATAAACCAATAATATGGCTAGTATATGAAGTGGAATGGCTCTTATAAATAGTACAATTTTTGTGAATTTTTTTGAGTAATACTTATTTTTTTGAATCCAGCACTATGCTTTACCGTTTTTGACCTCGACCTCACACTCGCACCTCACACTTTTGACCTCACACTCGCAAATAATTGAGAAAAACGAATATGTTGCACATTGGAATTGTTCATTTTAAATCGCGCGCCTTGCTTGAGATGCCAACTATCGATCGAGCCGGGATATTGCCAGAAAGTCAAGAAATAGCTAGAATTCCAGCTAATATCATTTCCCAAAATTGAATAGCTTAGGCCGTTCAAAATAGCTAAAATGGCAACCCTGCTGACTGAGAACTGAGCGCACCGATCTCACTCGCCGCTGCCGATAATAATTTGTGTGCTGTTCGAGGCGAAACTGAAAAACCAGAAAATCCAAAAGGCCAGAGATTCTATAAGCCATCGGGGATCGAGCCACTGTTATTGGCCTTGACTTGTAGGAGGTTCAGCTGGCCAAGTGTGGGGAAGAAAAGGCGATCGTGAAAACGACGAAACTGTCTTGCTGGCTGCTGCTGTGCCTTTTTGGTGTATGTGTGTGTGTTGCTGCGGTGTGTGCAATTTTTTTTCATCACCAACCCGCGTGTGTTTTAGTGTGTGCGGTCTCGAAGATCGCGTGGCCCCCAGGAGAATCGAGCCAGGTCCAGATCCACGCCAGGCACAACGCTACAACGCTGCGAAGACAGGTGAGTGATCTTAGCCGGAGGCATGGCCATTGGCCACCTGGCAGGTGCAGTCCCGGGATAGCCGAGAATCCCAAGATCTCCCGTTTGAACCCGGCCCTAGGGATCGTGACCCCACTGCCCTCTGCCACGGCCCTGTTCTTTCCATTTTCATCTCCCCCCAAGATTCCGTTGGCTTTAACAATTTTTTCTTTGCCCAATATCCCCATACTATGAAAAAACGTCGACGTCGCTGCCGCCTCACGTTTTTTCTCTGCTCGCCGCAACCTGCTTGCTCGCTCTCTTTCTCTCTCCTCTCCGATCGCGGTCGCAGCTGTCAGTGCTGACAGCGGCGTCAGGTTCCCGCGCGCGGGAAATCCTCAACTTTGGTTGCTCCTATTTTCCGGAAATATGTTAGGATTTTCGATTTTATTGAAAAATCTGATTCTACGTGTTTTTACCTTTCCAAAGAACTAACGCGGCAATATAGTTTAAGTCATTTTAACGCATTGGTAGGCCTGCAAAGAACATGCCAAAAACGATGGAATGCCAATCGATGACAACAACAAAGCGGCTGCGGTTTGTTTGGGTTTGAGCTGCGTTGCCACCTAGTCGGCAAAACTGTGTCGATCATCTGTGGTCAGAGAAATATTTTAATTGAGATTTAAAATTTAAGAAAATAACCAGCTTATTGGTTGATTTTGCCTGGTATAAGTGCAAAAATACAATTAGACTTATTTAATGCATTTTATATGGATTTCATAAGATTTTTATGGGCATTTTTATGTAAATATTTTTACAAAAATGTTCTCCAATGTTTTATGTATTACGCTTTTTTGATAATGTTTATTCGTTTGGGTTGTTTAAACAAGTGTTCATTTTTATATTTTTAATATTCTATAACCTTCCAACTTTTTCCAACCTTCTGGTAGCCCTATCAGCTGTTGGCAGCTGGCAGAGCTCGTCACCGCCCGCACACCCCCCTTTCGAATGGGGCCGGGCGTCCTTTTTTTTTTCACAGGCAGCTCCAATTCCAGACTCCATTCAATAAAATGCGACCACCGCCACCAGCGGAGTTGGAGCTCTCTCGCTCCTCCTTGGCTCCACTTTGCGCGGGAGAATCTCCACAATCTCTTCCTTTCTCGCTCTTCTCTTCGAAATGTCAGTTGAGATACCAACAACTACAACAAGGCAGCAGTGTGGTTGTTGCATTTTTTGGCGCTTCGGATCCGCTTGTTTTGGCGCGTTCCTCTGCACACTCGCCGCAGTCGACGTCACCGTCGACGTTGACGTTCTCTGCCGGCGATCCGACATGCCGGCAGCCGGCAGGTTGGGTGCCGATTTCGATCACTTTGCTGCCGCTGCTCGTGAAGTTTTCGTGGTCCGGCGTGCGACGACGACGACGGCGACACATCTCTTGAAAAATCGGTCAAATCCCCAATTCCAAGTGCTCACCTCTACCCGGCGGTATCCCCGGCGCCCCCCAAATGCTAATTTCCATAAGGAAACTCCGGTAAATGGGCTGCAAGTGCTTTTTCCGAAAAGGTAAAAAACCATTGCACAATTCCACGGATTATTTGCTGCGAATACGGCAATCGGAAAAAAAAAAATAAGTGTCTCTTACGAAAAAAAAATTATGACGCGTGTGTGTGAGAGTGGGGGTACATAGTATGTGAGGAGGCGGATAGCGGGCCGCGGGTGGGGAGACAGGGAAAGTGGGAGAGAATGCCGTGTTGTCGTCGTGTCTTTGCATTTTTGGCTACAAATACAAAGCTTCAAATGTGGTTCACAGCCGATCTAATAAGAAAATTGACGTGCCATGAGATTTAACCGTTGGATTCCAATTGGAAGGGGGAATTGCAATTGGAAATGCCTAGACCCCCACAGTTGCCGTCTTATAAGACTGCACAGACTTCAAGTTCAGTGAACTGTTCTTTTTTTGCCTACTTTGTTGCAGCTGTTGTTGTTGTTGTAGGCGGTCAGTTAATGGAAGCAGGATTTTATTGGAATTGGCCAGATCACCCCCCCCGTTCCAGCCCGGGGCAATACATGATTTTGATGGAGCTTTTTTTGGGTAACTTTCTAATCTTTCTCCCGCCCGAATTGCACTTTCCCGCCATTCGCATAGATTTTGGGCGGTAAAACAAAACTGCGCCAGCCCAAACGCCTAATTCGCGCCACTTTGTGTCTCTCCATTCTTTCCCCATGCTCATTTCGTTTATATACGCTGCTTCCCCCCAATGACACACACACACACACACACACAGTGTCACGTTCGCTGGTAGAAATGCGCTCCCGCGGAGAGATAGCTCTGCTCTCTCGCGCTCTGCTCCATGCACGCACGCACACATCGAAGGGCGCTCTTCCGTTTTCATTCCAATCAGAACAGCGAGTGAACTCACTTTTTCCCCTACGTCTTTCACCATTCTCCAGTTCTGAAAAGCTTCTGTATGTGTGTGCGTGTCAGCAGCTACAGCAACAAGAAACAAAAACTTTTAGTACCAGCTCTCGGTCGACGTCAACAGCGGCGTTGACTGCGCAGCGACTGCGACGGCGACGGTGACGGTGACGGCGGGAAAAGTACAACGCGAAACTTCGAACCTTTGAAAACTTGACGAAAACGAAGCAGCGAACAAAGCAGAGGTGGAAAAACGAGCCAAGCAAAGAAAACAAAAAACCCCAACAACAACAACAACAACACATTCAACGAGCTGGGAACTGAAATATGCCAAAAGTGGCGCAAAAAAAAATATATTTGGTAGTACGTCCCCCTTCATGTACGTGGGGTTCGCTGTTCTGAGCGAGCGAGACGGGGCGTGGGGGAGGTCATCTAAGCCGATCTACGCTTACGAGAGTGGTGGAGTTGATTGATATTTCGCGGGCCGTGCTTGCCATTTACCGCCAATTCTGCCTCCACTGTGCCTCCAAATTACCTGCTACAATTTTATTTGGTTGTTGTTGTTGTTTTTCTTTTATACATAGTTAGTGTATATTGTTGTTTTTGTTTTGCTTTGTTCGACTTTCTTCTCTTCTGGTTTTCGCGCATATATAGATATTCTTATATCTTTTTTTCGCATTCTTTTGCGCCGCCAAACGTGTTGAGTTGGTTATGGGGGCTGTGTGGGTTGGGGGGGCGTTGCCGAAAGGGGGTGGTGGCAGTAAACGGTTGGTGGGGTTGGTTTTTGTATACTTAATTGTTTCGTGTTGCCTTGGATTATGTCATGATCGCCAAAAACATTTTGCTCTCAAGAAAGTAAGAAAAAATGTATACTAGATGAAGTACAAGTTCTGGAAAGGTCTTAATAAATATTATGTAAAATGTATCTACTCCCTTGAACCTCTTTCTTTAAGACTATATCTCATATTTGTTTATTTTGTCCCCTTTCAACAATTACTTATTCAAAACCTTAGCACCTTGTCAGTTTATGGAGGGGCTGGACCAACAAATTCCCGTTTCAAGTGCTTCCCACCTTCACCCTCCAGCGGCATCCTCTCAAAGGATTTTTCATGAAAAGGAAAATTCTCATTTGTAATATTTTCCCATCATGTAATGTTAAGAGCCAGACATATCACCTGCCTATATTAACCCGAATTCCTGGTATATGTATGTATCTAGGTATTTCTCAATTACAAATGCGGATTGTTGTTTAAGAAATATGCCGTTTTTTTTGTTGCTGGAACTTATCAAAATTTATGCTGCCTGGAAGGAGTAGGGAGGAAGGAATGGAATCCAAGGTATCAGAATCAGAGCCAGAAGAAGCCGTATGACGGGCAGAAACAACAATGATAAACAGTTTCCAGTTATTTTCCAGACAAACAAAGGATAGTCCGGGCAGTCTGGGCTGGGAGATGGAATGGGGAACAGGACGCTGGCCACTTGAGCTGGTTATGGGCATCCTTTAGACGCTGCTAAATATAAACTAAATAGTCAATTGAGCGCGTCTCGTCGCCGTCGTCGTCGTCCTAACGGCTACTTCAAGGCCGTCGATTCCTGGAACTGGAACGCCGCCGCCACTTCTCTCCATTCAAGAACTTTGATTTGTTCTCTCTCCATCCCATCCCGGTCCTTGCTTTACTTTCACACGCCGTTGCCCAGATACCAGATACAGATGCATGGCCACACAGATACAAAGGCCCAGACCCAAGACCCTGGCGCAGATACAGATACAAATACACGACCGAAAGAAGGTCTTCTACGGCGATCGACTTTCCTGTTTTTCGTTTTTTTTAATACCCTGTATTTGAAGAAGAAACTATGGGTATACTCAATATACTCAACATTTAGCTACTGCAGTCTTGATAAGTAACTAGTATACAGAGTATCTTAATCCAAAAATGGTCATAATTAATTTTATTTTCAAGTCTGACATTCGAAATTCCAACTAATTGCAAGAGTTGCTGGCCAAAACCACAACAAAAGCCATCCAAGGAGCAGCAGCAACATTGACATTGCAACAGATACTCAGATACTTCTTGTGCATTTATCTCGAGTATCTTTGGAATGTATCTTCTTGCATGTGCATAGCCCAAAATGCAACTCGAACAAAAAAGGACGCACAAAAATTGCAGGGCCAGACAAAAGACGCCGTCTCGAGAGAGGCCCTTGGATAACTCGAGACCTGTTTTCCTTCTTATATACACATTCAGATACGCAGATACATGCGTCTATATATGTATACAGATATTTTGTACATATGTAGAGATATATTTTTTTGCGCTCTCCTTTTTCGCATTTTATGCATTCTTCTTTGCATTGCGTCGAGTTTCATTGGTGCCTTTGGTATCTCGGCTTCTTTTCTTCACTTCTCGCTCCATTTCCTCGTCTGGGAAATCTCTGGGATAAAGCAAATAGCCCCCGGTGAGGAGCTATATCTGCTATAGCACTCTAGATTTCCAGTTAAATCCGTTCGCGGTTGTTTGAATGACCTTGGACCCCATCCAGGTAAACTAAGGCTAATTAGGCTCTGAAAGGAAACCCCTGGGAAGTCCGGGTATCTCTATCCGCGCAATCCACCGCATTATTCATATTTTTATACCTGTCGCAGCGGAATTCCACTTAACTGCCATCCCGTCCAGAGCTCTTCACTTAATCTTCATTAGAGGAAGCTGCATGATACGATGATCCTTCGAGTGCTGCCTGCGTGAGGCCACTAGCCAGGCCAATAGTTAGTCCTTAATCAATGTTAGTTGCAGGTATTTGGACAGTCAGTTGGATTAAGTCATTTGTTTGCAAGAGTCCTCCTGTCAGAAGATACAATCTTTAAATCTTGTTTGGTTTTGAATTTAAAAAATTATATTTTAATGAAGTATTTTGTCTTTTTTTTTAAAGAAATTCTATGAGATATTGTCTTAAACTTTAACTATTTAAAAACTAGCCAATGAGGGTAGTAAAAACCCGAAAAATATATCCTGAAAGGACTTTCGGGGAAGAACAGAAACCCAATTAATTAGAAGGCATATCCGCAATTAGTGTGAAAATGATGGTTTGGAAAAGCGAAATAATGCGCCTGGGAAACCCGGAAAAGCAAACGGAAAGAGAGACGAAAATATTACAAAATAGAGCATAAGAATAAGAAAGTAAGGGAAAGAAAGTCCGAAAGAAAAGCATTCCTTTATGGGGTAGAAAAATAAAAAGGTGTCGAACTGAATGGCAGGCCGAAGGGAGGTCCATAAATCGTGGCGAATATAACGCCAGGCCCATATGTCACATTGCCGAATGAAAAGAAAATAAAATTCGGAAAGGAAAAACACAGGAAGGAAGGATGCAAGGGGAGGGGCGGAACAAGGAAATGCGACAGGATACAATTAGCGAGGAGAAGAGGGGGAAAGAGAGTCAATTGAAGTTACAGCCAGGAACATAGAATCCTTTAAGGTGGGGGGCAACACCATCCCCCATCCCGGCGGCCAGCTGCCGTCACTCTTCTCCACTCACCTGCCCGCATCGCCATCGCCAGGATGCGGCATTAATGCTGACCCGGCTACAACAGGTGCATCAGGGGAATCGATATAATTAAGCGTTGTAAACCACTAGAAAATGTTGACGCTGCGCATGCGCCGAATGCGAAGCACCTGACCTTGCCTACACTACGAAAAATTCAACTAACAGATCATAGGGTTGATTAAAATAATACAATTATGGGGTTTACACTATTTTTTAGAGTGTAGAAGTGACAGCTGAAGCTGAAACTGCAGCAGTTGGCATCGATTGAGACTCGTGGAAATTCTATTAAAATAAAAAAAATTGACCATCCCGTGACTACCTGTTAGATAACCGAAAACATCTTATCCTGTAATTTGAATATATGTATTTACCCTCATCGGGAAATATTTACTATCCTACGTTTAAGCAAAAAGTTTGGTATTTTTTTGAGAAAAACTCACGTAAACAAATTTGTTTTGGGTTTTGGGAGACGAGAAGGAAACTCCACGACCACATGCTGCGTGTGAGATCTCCTATCAGCCTCTGTTTTCAAGGATCATATGTTGTTTTTCCTCTAAAAGGATCTCGAGGAAATGCTGGAATAGTTGTTGATAGGCTATGTCAAGTCGTAAAATTTAAAAAAACCCAGCAGCATATGATGACCATATCCTGGCTATTAGTTTTTAATGATTTTTTAAGGTTTATTATATTTTTAATAATTATTATTTTCTCTTTATTTTCTTTGCAGTTTATTTTAAATTATAACTTGCAACTGCTTTTTACGAGCAGCTTCTACAAACACCATCAGGATTAGAAATATCAACGGCAGCTTTAGGCCGTACAATTATGGGTTTATATGCCAAGAGGTAAGATATATAATAAATAAAAATAATTATAAAATAAAGTAATAAATAATAAATAAAATATTTTTTATAAAATTTGTATACTTTCTTTGAACTGTTTAAAGTTCTTTATGGCCTTGGTTGTCCTTCTCTCCACCAGTGACTTCCTTTTCCCATCAAACTCGTGACTTCCATTTCCTCTTTAGTATTAACCAAGCTAATTAACACCCCACATGAAAGCCAAAAAAGACGATTCTCCAACTGTCTAATACTAATTCCTAACTGACTTCCTGCGGCGACATCCGACCCACTTCCTTTCTGCCACCAACTATCCTGGTACCGGGTACTGAGTCTTTCTTTAATTCATTTTTCCAGAAGATGTTTATCTAATAGTTTCTATTTTTTTCCTTCGTAATTATAAAGTGACGTTGGCCAACTGGTTATGCGTCAATGCATTCGGAAAAATTAGATAAACCCGCAGGAGCTGTTACTGTTTTTTGGGATCCTACTGCTACCGCAGTCGTTTCCACCTTTTCCGACTCAAGTGTGATAATCTAAAATGCATTTTCACTGACATTTTCCAAAAGTTTCAAGCGAACAGATGGCGCTTGTAGGTGTCAAAGTGGATACAGTGCTGATAACCAAGTGCCGCATTCCTCTACAGTCGACATACCTGGACAGGATCGCTCCATGGTTAAAGGTCCTGCGTGTGATTAGGAAATAATTGCTCGCGAAAATGTCATTAGAAATAGTGTTCTGGTTAAGGGGTCAGTTATTTTGGTTCATAGGGGTGAGCCTTGGGATGATAATGTTGTCATTGCTGCGTTGTCCTTGTCATAGTCATGTCCTGGCCGACACTATTCGACAAAAAATTAATTGAGTTTAATATGTTTCACCCTCTCTGTTTAGACTTTTGTGGGTGATGGTGGGTGCCTGCGCATGACAATAATTGCATAATTGCCTAGTCATTTGGTTATGTCAGTTGCGACCCCTCGACCCAGTGGCCATCTCCTCCTCCTCCTTCTCCTCCCACTGATCTGGTCGATCACTTAAGTGATAGTCCATTTTATGGACATATTTCGTGGTCAACATGTGTGCGACATAATTACTGGTATGTGTTGCGAAAATGCTATCGCAGTCATCTATAACGGAATTTATGAAGAATGTTGAGGCCTGAAATTTATTGCATACTTTTAAGGGCCATCCAAGTATTCCAAAGGTTATGTTTGAAAAAAGACCTTAGTGTTTGATTTTCCTAAAAAATTAAGTAATAAATTACGAATTTCCATTGGGAGCCGATTATTTTGACATAATTTATCATGTGAGAAAGATGGGTCCTTCGATAGGCTCCTTATGGAGCATTCCAAGAACTAACTCCTTCCTTATCATCACGAAGATAGTTGCGACTCAACCCCATACTGATTTTTATTTCTTACCTACAGGGATTCAGACAGGAACCCCTCCCCGGGAAAAAAGGGGAAACCAACCAAACCGAAACCAGGTTTCTGGTTGCGCCGCAAAAGAAAGGAAACTTTCACCTCGAAATGACAAATTTCAGTTTGAACCTTTAGCCGCGACAACCCGTGACCCCGGGATTTGGGATCCGGGATCGGCTTTGAAAAAGAAAGCGGGAAAACTTGCCGGCCGTACACTCTCGTGCACGTACACACCATTAGTCCTTTCTCCACAGGCCGAGATACATTTCTGGCCATAACTCATTTCTTAAGCGATTTCATTTCCTTGTAATTTACTACGTGATTACTTTTTCTTGTTCATTAAACCATTAAACGCGATCGATAGCGAAGGGCAGGCCGGGGCAAGGATCAAAACAGGAGGCTGCAAGGCTTCGATCCTCTGGCCAGGTCTAACCTTTTTTTTTTTTTCTTAAGGGTACCTGAAGGGTTAGTTGCTAAAAAAAATTCGCTTATCGAATTGCTCTTGAAGTGCAGTTTCCTTTTTTTATTCGCACCACTTGAGCGGCAAGACGATAGAACATCTGCCCCTTTGGGGTGCTTCCTTTCTAAATAGGAATCCTTTTTGGAAATAGTATTCTTTCCGTTGGTTCAGCCTCTTGCATTATGCATAATGTGCATGCAAATTTGCCAAAATTGCTCAATAATCTTGGAAAGAGGAAAGGCTTTCCCGGGCAAGGCCCTCGTAACGATCCCATTTCCCATCTCGATCAGTCATCTCGATTTCAATTTCCCGGATGTTAAATATTAATGTATCCGTTGGGCGCCTTAATCTCGACTCAGGCATCGCGATTCTCGAATGCCGTGTCAAAATTCAATGAATTTATGGTCGTTCCGTTTCGCTTTGTATCTATTTTAGAACGCCCCTATGTGATTTGCTGCTTTCAGCCTCTCTGAAATATTAAATTTCTCTATTTTGCAAAAAAGACAAAAGAAATTTTTGAAATACAGGCACCCTGACAACCACGTATTCTATTAATTTTGAGAGGGAAAATAAAGAAAGTTAAAGAGAAGAATGTGTAATCTAACTTTATAAATCTTTTCTTCATTTTTTTAACTCTATAATATTTTATTTTTTCAGTGTTTCTTCTACCAGCAGCAGCACTGAGCCAAATGGAAGCATAGTCACATCATCCGCCAGCGATTTGGAAGCTGGAAGTAGCAGCAACATTGTCGTCGTCGTCAGCAGCAGCAACAACAACAGCAACAGCAGTAACCACAATAGCCCCAACCCGCCTCAACTGTCCATCGCCCCCTCAACCTCGTCTCAGTCCAGAGGTAACGAGATGTGCTCCTGTGATAACCAGAACCTTGCAACATCCACAACATCTGCCACAACATCCAATGGCAATAAACGTAAACGGCGTTTAAGCAGCGATTCCAACGACGACGCTAAGGTGAGTAGATGATCCATCCAACCCACCCACACCCCCTATTCGCGATAGATAAGTTTTATGAATGAAGTTGCATTATCAGGCCCCGGTGACCTCGTTGGGCTTTGCAATCTTATCGGGAGCCAACGAACCGAGATGATCCACTAATTTGTTGCAAAGTTGATCGTTAAGGGTTTTGAATTTTATTCTAGTTTTGGAATTTGAAATTAATTTAATGTTTGTGTCTATTGATCTTTTGTGGTGAACTTTGGATCGAATACTTTCCAACTGATCACTCATCGTTCTTATCTTCCGAGGCTTAGATTAGTAATCAGACGATTGTTTTGAAAATAGCTTCCCTATCTGTCTTGTTATTTTGTTTCTAGTAAACAATATTTTGTTTGTTCTGCTGCTTGATTGTAATGGTAGTCCTTTAAAGGCTTCTACTCCTTTGATCCTCACGAGATCTGCAGTCAAACAAGCTGTTGGGCACGTAGCCGGCTACTTGGCACTTCACCCAACCCAAAGATGAGCCCAAAAATAAACGCTCAGTTAGCAGCATTCGGTCCATTGCTTTCAAGTCAGAGTTAGCTGCCTTTCAAGTAGCTGCAATCTCAGCGAGGAGGAAACAATGGCTTCTTGGCAATGGCAGCTGTATTGGTGCAAAGGATTTCCCCTCCAAGGTTGTATTGAGAATCTCTAGGGATCTTCAGGGGAATACCCCTCATCAAAACGTGCAAAATGATGGCAAAAAAAAACTATATTACCCTAAGAAGAAATCTAAATAATATTTCAGCAAGGGTATTTCATAATTCGTTTCTTGTTTATTTTTTGCAAGCCAGTTTCGCTTTTTTTTTTTCAAACAAATGTCACTTTCATACAAAAAAAAAAAAACGTTTTGCAAGTAACGTATGGTACTGCTACTGGCTCCCCTTCCGACAAACATTGGTTGGGTAAGAATTCCAAGAGGGGTCTTGGCAGTATGTTGAGCATATGCACGAAAGGACAAAGGAGACCAAGGACAGACGGCGACGGCGACGACGACGACGTTGCGCATGCGCGCACACCTTGAGCCAAAGACGGACTTCTCCCTCTCGCCAGTCCAGGGGTGGGTTTTCCCATCGAAAGCCAGAACTTCGAGACCAAATAATATCCCAGAAGTCAAGGCGGCAAATGTCCGTTAACGTTCGAAAGGAAGAATTTGAAATTGCGATAGTTATAGGTTAGCTTGAGGCAGGAAAACTAGATCAAGACGGGATCGGGATGCGTTCCGTTAGGGAATGGGACATGGGACACACATAAAACCGCAAAACAGCAGAAGAGGGGTTGAGCAATGCCTTATCCTTTTCAAGGATCACTGGGCCGAGTTTTTCCATTTCTTCCCTAATTAAATATTCATCGAGACGACATTTGCTTCTTCAGAAGATGTTATGCCATTCCATAAAAAATGGTTTCCGACTGGGTTGCATTGCTGAAGCTACCCCGTTTCAGGACATTGACGTTGTCCTTATGCAAATGCGTCCTGCGTTTCCAGCGACGTCTGCTCATTAGATTTCCGTTAAACTTTTATGCAAATCATCCTCATCCAGGGATCCTTGCCACCGTCTGTCTTTGGGACACGAACCAGATCCTGTTCTCCCAGAATGCATTTCTTTGAAATAATATACAATATTTGTTTTGCTGCTGGCACAAGGATAAAAATTATGGTATTATTTTACCAATTTGTCAGTGTAATGTAAACCCCTTTACATGGCAGCCATGAAATCGACGAAAGTTTTTGGAAAAAACTTCTTTGTGTCTTTTATCCCAAAACAAGAGATAGGGTTGCTGATGAGGAGGGTTCCTCGTCTCAGCCATCAAGTGCGGGGCTTGATTTCTGTCAAGTCAGTTCTGGGACATTGTGGGAATATGATTTCAAGTTTCAGTTTCCCAGATTGCATCCCATTCTGGGATAAAGGATAATGTTGTTTGTATCTTGAAAGTTTTCCCAAAGTTTTAAAGAGGATTTTATAAAAAAGATGGTAAACAAAGTAATAGAAAGTAAGGGGATTTGTTTCTAAGATGTACATGATGTGGATGATAAGATAAGAGCTTCTATGATTTGAGATGTTATTGATTCTTAAGTCTTAGAGATCTAATGATATATGATGATTCTCTTACATTTATAATTTTATTCGCGGTTTGTCCTTTGTCCACTTATACCCTCCTTTGGGTTATGCTTTAATTCGTCTGGTCATGGATCTCACCAATTCCATGATTAATTACATGTCCGAGAGTTATGAGCGACCCTTGAAACTCATCCTCGCGAAAGGATAACCCCTTCCGGGACTGACTGACCAGAGGTCAGCTCTAACTCGGCCTAGAAATATGAGTGTTTGTTATTGTCCATTTGGGATTTGTCCTCTGGCATGTTGTTTGCATATCATTTGTTAAAAGAAGAGCAACGGGGAGCTGTCCCAGAAGTGGACAGGACATGCGCTAGGATTTCTCCTTCTTGGCTTGGAAATAAGTTAACAATTATGTAACTATAATACATAAAAGTTAAATTAAATTCCATTGAAAGAAGTGGGGAGAAATGGGAATAAAAAAAAGAAAGAAAATAAATTGAATGGAACAACAAAGCAGCGTATTAGACGGCAACATATAGCACCAACAAAAGCAAAAAGTTACACCTGGACCCACGCCAAGGTCTGGAAAGTAAAGGTGTTTCGGTATCGAGCAGACGGCAGACGAAAGATTACGACACATAAGCCCAGGACTTGAACGAATGCCACAACAGAAAGAGATCGCTCTAGCCAGATGGAAAGAGACGGCTGGAGAGTGAACACAATGGGGCACCAGGATATTGAGGTTGACGACGCGGAGGTTGTCGCATAACAATTGCTTCTTGACTGACTTGTGTGTGTGTGTTTGTACCCAGAACTTGAGAGGAATTGCATCATCTGCCCTGGCGACCCACGGACTCCCTCCCATAGTGATTTCGAGATGTGTTTTAGGTGCCTCGTTGTGGGCTGCGCTTGAGCTCGAGGAGCTCGGTTGAGGATCGACAATGCAGGAGCAGCAGCTGCTCCTCGGTCGGACTTTCGCCCAGAATCCTTGAGGCGGCTTAAGGGCATCAACCCAGTTTAACCCTTGTTAAACTTAGGATGCAACCCTCTCTGGTCCAGATTCCAGCCCACTTTACAGTTCACTTAATTCTCACACGCTCGTTTTCTGAACTTTTCTTCAAGACTCCGCCGACATGTCACTGTTTGCCATAATCTTTTCCAATTCCATATTCCGCTTGACCAGTTCCTCGGCTCCAGGGGCAGATGCAATGTCCACGCACCAAGGAACTGACTGAAGTGGAGGAATGCCCATTGTATGCTGCTGACCAGGCTTCCTTATGCCATTGCACGCTTTGATTTTAATTACATTGCATCTGGGTCTAGGTTTGGGTCTCGGTAGCTTGGCATGTGTCCAGATTGTCATTCTCCATTACCTACATACATCTCATCTTTGGCGGGGTTGGTTCCTCGACTGCAGTTGTTGGCCAAAAAAGAATAAGAAATTAAATTTGTCATGCGTCTTGGACCTTTTCCTGTCTTTCCTGCAAAAATTTATGTACCTCGACCGAGGGGAGAGTTTCCATCTTCCTGAAGGCAAACCTACTCAAACAATTAAAACTGTCACATAAATATCATGGAATTTTTTCCCTCATTTTTACGCAACAAATTATGTGAAAATCTTTAATGAGCATTAACCGGCAGAAAGTTTTCCGGGAGGGTGGGTTGCTGCTCCCGCCACCCGATATTGTTAAGCTTTTATGATGTGTGAGATTGCTAGTTAGGATTTACAATCTAGAAAATTTAGAGACCTAAAGTCTCTACTCTCCTATATCTCTACTATATTCCATACAATCACTTTTGCTTTATGGACTTTCTGATCTTGGCTTCTGTTTTCCATCATCTGTCTGTCTCTGAGAACAATGGTCAAGGATATCCATTGTTCCAGGCTGATTTTTTTTTTGTCATTGCTTTCTCGTGCTGTAATCTTACGATCCATAATCTGTGGAATAAGATGCCATAAGGCTAGCCTACCATTTTTGGCTTTTTGCCAAAGACCCCCACCCCACCAGATATCTTTGCAAAATATATTATTTATTAAAAAAAAGTAGCCTAGACCCAAGAGCCTTAATACTAAGAGAAATAATTCATATACTCATAGGTTGTCAAATATCTCCCTTCCGCTTTTTTGCTCTTTATTCAATGCTTTATAAAAAGTGTTACAGTGATCCGATTTAGTTGAAATATGCGCCGTTTTGTTCGATAATCCGTTTCCATCTAGACGGCAACTTCATAATACCTCCCTCGTAGAAGCCCCCCTCCTTATTTGCGAAGAACTCGGACAGCCACTTTTCACAAGCCTCTTTTGAGTTCAACTTTACACCACCAAGGGCGTTCGTCATGGACAGGAACAGGTGGTAATCACTTGGCGCTATGTCCGGGCTATATGGTGGATGCGATAAAACCTCCCATCCGAGCTCCCGTAGCTTCTGACGAGTCATCAACGAAGTGTGTGGTCTGGCGTTGTCCTGGTGGAACACTACACCCTTCCTGTTGGCCAATTCTGGACGCTTCTGGTCGATCGCCTGCTTCAAGCGGTCCAATTGTTCGCAGTAGATGGTAGAATTAAGCGTCTGGCCATATGGGAGCAGCTCATAGTGGATGATTCCCTTCCAATCCCACCAAACACACAGCAAAACCTTCCTGGCCGTCAATCCCGGCTTGGCCACTGTTTGGGACGATTCACCGGCCTTCGACCACGACCGTTTTCGTTTGATATTGTCGTATGTGATCCATTTTACGTCGCCAATCACCATCCGCTTCAAGAATGGGTCGAGTTCGTTCCGTTTCCGCAGCATATCGCAGGCGTTGATTCGGTCCACAAGGTTTTTTTGCGTCAAATCATGCGGCACCCAAACATCAAGCTTTTTTTTGTATCCAGCCTTCTGCAGATGGTTTAAAATGGTTTGGTGACTAACTCCCATCTCCTGGGCGATGTCACGAGAAGCCACATGCCGGTCTAACTCGATGTATTCCATGATTTGATCGGTATTTGTCGTCACAGGTCTTCCGCCGGCTGGCTTATCCATGGTGTCGTTTTCACCGGCTCTGAATCGTCGAAACCATTCCTCCGCGGTTCGAAGTGATAGAGTACCATCCCCCAAAACCCCATTAATCTCACGGAACGTTTCTCTAGCGGATTTGCCTTTAACGAAGGAAAACTTTAAAATAGCGCGAATTTCGGCGTTAGTGAACTCCATGTTTACACGTCTATAACTGGTGAACGCAATATCCGTTTTGTAGGTTATGTCAAGACCTTTTAAATTATGTATAGTGTTGCCAGATACGAGCTCTGTAGCGCTTTGTACATAGCCGCGAAATTCAAAAGACAAAAAGGCGGAAGGGAGATATGTATGTCTGGCTCCTTGGAAGTAGGTAGTGATTTTTCCAATGTCTTGCGTCTACCTGGACGCACAGAAATGTTGAAAAAAATAATTGAAGAAAGGATCAGGGGCCGCAGCCGTCAGGAGGATTTGTTGTTGGGCTGATAAACACCCAGAGGCGAAAAAATGCATTGCAAAAACAACAACGTCTCAAGACCTAGGGGATCGGATCGACAAGATCTCCGATCAGGGAAGGGGAACTACCCTCGGGTTTTCGGGTAAATACCCGAACTGTAGGGAGGGAATGAGATGGAAAACTGGCTACGATCCTGCAACGGCAAAGCAACCCCTATTTTGGAACCGTCGTTGCACTCGTTGGGCAGGATAACGACGATCCGATCTACGGGGATCGGCGATCTGGAACGACTCGGGTACGTTGAGCTCAGTTGCACAGCGCACGTCAACGCGATTGGTACTCGATCTGGCCAAGAGCGGAGTAAAACCAAAAAAAAAAATACACACAAACAAAACAGCTAACAGAGACTGAAGCCAAAAATGAATTCTTGCTAAGAATACGACAGCAAAGTAGCTAAAGTTGAGACTGAAACACATATTTAATAATCAACATAGAGTGCAAAGAACTAATTTAAGAACCGGATTCCCAAGATCACCAACAACTGCAACAAAATACAAAAACAAAGCCTAAAATTAGTTAATTCAAATGCTATAACCAAAAAAATCTGTTTGCACGATCGTATAATCACACCAAAGAACCAACGCAACCCAAATTATAACCAAAGACTTCGAAAGTGCAATATAGAGTTTTTTTCAAAAATAAAATAATATACCAAAAGGATAATCAAGGATATATTGAAAGAGAAACCAACGGAATACCCTCTAGTGAATATCCTTCGAAAGTGTTATTGTTGTACCTCCATACGAACGCTGAATCCTTGATCTTTTGTGTGATCTCCTGGCTCGAATTTTCGTGCGGGTGCATTTGGTCTGGTCCACCTATCTGGGATTAAGAATTTTGACAGGCGTACCCACATAAATTTACTCGCCTGCCCCCGATCCTTCTTGGCTAATTATATCCAAGACACGTTTCTAATTCCGCTGCCATCCGTGTGATCCTGTTTCTGACTTCGATTGTCCTTTTCATAGTTCGGTTCATGTTATTATGAAGTTGGAACAGAAGAGAAAGTTCATTGAAATGGTAATGATTGCTCATCTTTATGGTTTCTAGAAATTCCTTCATTATTATCCCTATATTTTATATTAAATATATATATTTTTTTTTCTTTCCAGGATCCTGAAATCGGATTTGAGCCTCCATCGGCCAAGCGCATGCAGCGTCTGCCCGTACTGTACGGCAGCGATCAGAGCAACCTCTCGTCAGTGGCCTCCTCGGTCTACACATCGCCAGTGGTATCCGCCGACGGGCAGAGCACTCAGGAGCTGCTGAGCATCCGCAGTTCGCCGGCTGAGGAGCTGCCGGAAGCGCCCAACAGTCCGCTGCCGGACAGCCCGGACAGTCCGCCCAGCCCTGATCGCGGCCTGGCCGGCAAGCAGGCCCCCGTGGTGGTCCGCTATGGCACCGAGATGGTTGGCTCCCAAAACGAGCAGCACGAGGACGATGATCTGCTGGACGACAGCTGCGAGGAGTACTCCTACGACGAGGAAGAGGTCGGCGACGTGGAGGAGGAGGACGACAACGAGGAGATCAACTCCTCCACTGTTTCTCCAGCCTCTTCGGCCAGCAGCCAACAGCAGCCTGTCTGTGGTGAAAGAACTCCGGGTTTCCAGAAGCAGTTGCGGAATGGCGTCTTTGCGATGAATGTGATCGAGCCAGTGTCCTTCGAGTTCATGATGTCGCCGGCGGAGGAAAACTCGCAACGCCAGTGCCCGCTTCCGGCGTTGGCCTGGGCCAATGCCGGTGATGTATGGCGCCTGATGTGCCAGCGGGATGAGCAGGATTCGCGCCTGCGCAGCACCGCGATGCTGGAGCAGCACCCCGGCTTGCAGCCGCGCATGCGTGCCATCCTCCTGGACTGGTTGATCGAGGTCTGTGAGGTCTACAAGCTGCACCGGGAGACCTTTTACCTGGCCGTCGACTATCTGGATCGCTATCTGCTGGTGGCGCGGAAGGTGCAGAAGACCCATCTACAGCTGATCGGCATCACCTGCCTCTTCGTGGCCGCCAAGGTGGAGGAGATCTATCCGCCCAAGATCGGAGAGTTTGCCTACGTGACTGATGGCGCCTGCACGGAGCGAGATATCCTAAACCACGAGAAAGTCCTGCTGCAAGCCCTCGACTGGGAAATCAGTCCCATTACCATTACTGGCTGGCTGGGCGTCTACATGCAGCTGAATGCCAATAACCGCACCCCGGCCTCGTTTGCCCAGATGAGCCGGCAGAAGGCGGCCGAAGCCTCGGCGGCGGACGATGCCTTCATCTACCCGCAGTTCTCTGGCTTTGAGTTCGTGCAGACGTCGCAGCTGCTGGATCTGTGCACCCTGGACGTGGGCATGGCCAACTACTCCTATTCGGTTCTGGCGGCGGCCGCCATCAGTCATACATTTAATCGGTAAGATAGGAAGATGTTCCTCTTAAAAGGAAAATATTATAACATCATCTTCTATCCTTTAGTGAGATTGCTCAGCGTTGCTCTGGATTGGATTGGCAGGTGATCCTGCCCTGCGCCCGCTGGATGGAGCCCTTCTTCCGGGTCATCTCCAAGAAGGCCACCTTCCTGCATCTGAATGAGCAGAACGAGCAGGTCAGCAACAAGTTCGGTCTGGCCCACGTGTGCCCGAACATTGTCACCGACGATGCGCACATTATCCAAACCCACACCACCACCATGGATATGTATGTAAGTATCTGACGGATGTCGAGTAATAGGGGGGAGATAGGGGGAGGACAACCAAACCATTATAAACCAATGCTAATATATCATTTATATTTCTTCCAGGACGAAGTACTGATGGCTCAAGATGCGGCGCACGCGATGCGAGCTCGCACCCAGGCCTCCCCGGCCACTGCGCTGCGCGCTCCCGCAAGCCTGCTGACACCTCCCGCCTCTAGTCACAAGCCGGACGAGGATCTGGGCGACGAGGGTGAGGATGCAGCCACCAATAGCGGCCTGACCTCCGCAGCCACATGCGCCGTAGCCGGCAGCAGCACCAGCAGCAGCAGCATCGCTGTGAACAGCAGCCACGACAGCAGCAGCAGCAGGGCCAACCGCTGAGAGATCGGCGGTCTGGCTCCTGGTCAATCTCTAACTCTCACAACACCCGCCCAAACAGTCTCTACGTTAAGTGTTTCTTATATTTAAATTATTTTTGTTAAGTGAAAAGTTATTAGTTGCCTAATTCCTATTCTAAACATACATATATTTAATTTGAAATATCCTACGCGCACTCTGCTGCTTAACTCGCGATAACCATTTCCTCGCACAGTTTACCATTTAAATTTTGTGTATTTATCCAGAAAACAAGAAATATAATATTAATTGTACACTATCCACACAACAACATACATATGATGATTACAATGAGATACCATCAGACAAGGGAAAACTGAATTAACCAATAGACTCTCGTACAAGCTGAAATTTGAACTCTGAATCTTGAAATCTGTCGCTCGACAACCATGTCCAGCTATCCACCACTGACTCATATCGAAAAGCGAAAGATTAACCCACTAATCTGACACATATACATGAAGGGGGCAGCAGCAGCCCCAAGCAATCATACTTGACTAATCAACTAAAATTAGTGTGTAAGTCGAGGGAAGTGACTAAAACCGACTAATGCTGAGCTATTCATTCGCATTGAACCCGAAATTAACCCGACTAACAAGGACAACCCATCCACAGCTGACATGGAGTGACACAGAATTGGCATTTGATGAATTATTGATTTACAAAATAAATGAATTGAACGAACAGTACGGATACAACATTTAGACTACATTTAGACTAATTTTTGCCATAATTTGCTTAGCAAATAAACATTGTACATAAAGCAGAGGACACACACAAAATACACAACAAAAAGAAAAAACACAAAAAAGATGAATATAACCTTAACTGAAACGCATATAATATATTATTATATAAGTGTACAATATACGGCTTACTATATATCTTATGTACATTCAAAAGGCAACAAGGCAAACAAAATAGAAAAATATTTGCTAAATTTAATATAACATATAGTAGATGTAGTAGAAATATATATAAGTGTTCATACTATTAAGGCTGAATTCAACAACAACAAAAACACAAAAACAAACACTAAACAGAAAAACAAACAAAAAAATCTTATGTATTTAATGTTTTATTTTTAGTTTTTAAAAGCAATAATCATTTTAAAAATATGAATTGATTTTAAGTAATTTGAAAAGTACGCTTATATTTATGATTTGATGTCAATAAACCATAAACTAAATCATTATATAATTCAAGTTGAATTTAACGAGTAAATAAATATATATATTTTTTGTAAATACAACTCTAAAAAAGAAATTGTAAATTTTTTAATTTTTGGGAAGGGAATTTAGAGATGTGGAATTATCTGAGATTTTTCCCTTTCTAACTGCTTATGTGTCTGATGTGTCAGCTTTCCGGATGAAGGCTACCAAGCTACGTGGAGAGATCTTGGTGTGATCTTTGTAATCGGTTAGTGTTGCGGCTTCAAAGAGATGAAGGCGGCTACGTCCAAGGACCTAAAGTTCTATCCTTAAGTTATACTTCACGCGCCGTGCGATGGTCACAAGAAAAAGGAGGCGTTTTGGAGGCGAATGCCCTATCCCTCTTTGGGAAGCTTCACCATCGCAGCATCTCCTTGGCCTCCATTTTAGGACTTTCTCCAGAAGTCTCTTAAGAGAAGTGTTCATATTTTTTACCTATATGTAGGCGTGAAGGTTATTATTAACGTACTCAAGGCTGTACCCTAACCTAACCGCTGGCTGACGGGCAGTTTGATCAAGGCTGTACCCTAACCTAACCGCTGGCTGACGGGCAGTTTGAATTATTGATAGGGCGCCAAATTGCCAATCGCACTGTAAGCGATAGACATGTTAAATAACATTCTGTTAACAAGACTTTAGCGTTATGGCAACGCCAGGACCATGTTAGGGCTAGAGACTCCAAGTTTTTCGAAATCGAAAGAATTTTCGATATATCCGTTGAAAGGAAACTGGGAGCAACCTTGCCCCAAGTGTACACTCAGTCGTGGCGAGAATCTGGCGAGTGTGGTTGCGTTTTAAGCCGAAAGCGCGCCCAAATAGAATTTAATTCTGCCCAAAAGCCTGGTGTGAGAAAATATTACAAAAAAATCAAATAAATAAGAGAAAAACAACTAAAAGTGTAATAATCGTTTCTCCAGCCAAGATAGAATTTGTTTCAAAGTGCAACAATAACAAGAAGCAATTAAAAAAGCGGCAAACATTGCACCGCAATTTGAGAAAATTAACAAAGCCAGTTCGTGAAGCTCTGTACGCCGCAGGATATCCTGAAATCCAAACGTTGGAAAAAATCCAATACAGATATATGTGTATATGTATTATGTATGTGCGTGTGCCTGTGGTGGTGCAATATTTGTGAGCGCCAAAAAAACCGAAGAGACGAAGCCGCGCAGTCGAATAAATCTCTCGTCTCTCCGTTTCGCATTTCGCCTTTCGTAATTCGCATTTCGTCCTTCGCCATCGCGTTTCGTCGCTTTCTCCATCTCGAAAGTCGCGTAGTAAAAAGTGTCGGCACAACGCTGCACCTCGTTGCGCCACCCACCCGTCATCCGCCCCATCCGTTGGAGGTCCCTGAAGCTTGGAGATTTGTTTTTAGTAAACTTTTTCGCACTCGGGTTCGGAATTGCGAATTTGGCGCGCAGAGGCATCAAGTAAGTAAGAGAAAGAGTGCGAGAGCCGAACCGAAAGTGGGAGGAGTGGGTGGAGAGAGAGATCGAGTTGCCTCGTTGATTGCACAATAAAATGGACAAAACAAAAAGTTAAATAACTAATAAAAGCTAACCGAAATCACACAACTCTCATAAATAAAGGCAATCCTTCAATTACGCGCATATACCGTTTATTTTTGCAATACTTGTGAGTGGTAATGGCTGCTGCGGTTGTGTGCGTGCGATTTGTTTGCGCGCCCAAAAAAGTATGCTATGCCGTTTTACTATTTACTACTACGCACGCTCCCGCAAAACCCATACACGAACACGTGTATATAGCACATAATAACGGTTTATCGTGTACGTGTACTATAGCCACGCAGCTTACGCAGCTGCGTAAAATCTCAAGGCTTGACCAATACCTCGTAACCTTTGGCCTGGCCACCCCTTCTCCAGTTCCCTAGATTCCTGCAAGCCAGCTCCTATTTAAGCTCTATATTCATGTTAATAGGAGCATAAAAACCAGGCTAATAGTACCTGTTTAGGCCGTTTCTCTGATGGATTTAATTCTAAATAGTAATTTGTGGCTTGAACCCTTTAAATATATAAATTGGATAACTGTCTTACTAGTTGCAAAGATAGTTATTGTACTTTATTCAAAATTTTGTGTGAATTTTAAAAGTTGCTTCCTTAGCAAGTTCTTAGTTGCCTTCATCAAGTTTAACATTAATTATTCACGGAAAAATATCTGATAGCTTTTAATGGACCTGGCTAATGTTTACAAAGCTTGAAACCCTAATATTCTTTATACTGAAAATTATCATAAACATTTTATATAAAATATTCCATATAAATTAGACCATAAATATTCAAAAAACCTATCATATAACCTGCTTATAAAACCCAATTCCCATTTATAACTTATCAAAATTCCATATAGCCACACAGACCCATCCGTCTTTGGCTGTAAAAAAAGTTTCGTCCGCTGCCTATTGAAATTTTCACAGGCACATTAATTCCATTATGAAAACTCCCAAGGCCATATTGCTTTTTAGCTGCCTTCTGGGACTCTGGGACTTATGGGCTGCTGCTGTTGTAAGCCAGGCAAAAATCAAAAAGCCAGGCCAAACATAAAAAGCCAAAGCAAACAAAACAGAGAGGAGTGAAGAAAAAAAAAACAAAATGTGAGGCAAAAATCAAGGCGGACGCGGGCCTTTGCGCAGGATGGGGAAATGGAAAAAAGAACGGCAGGAGCTAGCGATATGTGCGATATAATAAATCTTTTGTATAACACGCAAAACTTTATGAACGTGCGCCAACTATAAACTTTCACTTTTTAACAATGGTTTCGTTTCGTTCGTTTGACGTTGCCTGGCGCTAACGTTGCGTATACGCCATGTTGCACATACTTTTATTTTTATTATCACTATTATTTTAGCTGCTTTCTTTTCCACTCAATACCCTTTCGATGGTGTGTAATCGTGAATGAAAAATGTGCTTTTTGCCAGCTTATTGCAAAAAGTTTTTACCGGTGGTACCCATTTTAATGAAATATTTTCAACTTAGCTTCTGATATTAAGAATTCAATTGCCATTGAATCCAAAAACTTTTCAGTTTTTTGTATAGATAATAAATGAATTGAATGATAATTTTATATATTTCTTTGTTGATATTTTATTTTCAATAAATAGTTACCAACTAATGACTTTTTAGATATTGGTAAGATGGTGTCTGAGATCTTTAGGTTATTTTTATTAATAATAATAAGGATGTTTGACTATTCTGAAATAAAACATAAATTTTACAGCTAATTAAATATTTTCATGGCAGATTTATTCAGTTTATATGTGCATATTTGACTGAAAAATAAACCAATTAAATTAAAAAGCATATGAAACTTAAATACCTCAAATAACTTTGCACAGGATAAAAAACAGTTTCAATATGCGGTTAAAGATAAATTTATATGTGGCATGAAGTAATGTCGACGCCTTCCATCGGATTCATCTTCCGTGTTCTGTGTTGCAAGTGTGGGGCTGCCGTTCCATTTCTGTCAAACTTTTTGATGTCGAGCCAGAAGAGGAATAAAAGGCAGGGGAGCCAGAGAAGCGTATAAAATCCGGTTGCATCCACTGGCCCTGTATACGACGGGTACTTAGTTATATGTACGCAAAGAGGAATCAAGCATACATTTATTTATGTATGTCTGTGAGTGCGTATTGGCCGCAACAAATTGTCTTTATTTTATGCAGATGCGGCTGTCAGGCCAGAGAAGGCGAATGCTTCCACCATATATAATGAAAATAATTTCGCGATATCCTTGGGAACTTGCAGGACCATTCGCATGCTGGGTAGTCTGTAAGACTATGTGCTGTTTTAGGGGGCGGCATGCCCATACAAAAAAAAAAAAAAACACTCACACATACACCATTCTGTGTCAAAAAGGATTCGGAGTGAATGAGTAAAGCCGCCTACCCCGACTGCGCATGTCCCACAAAAACGGATTCGAGTTCGAGTTCGAGCTCGAAAGCATCCCGAAGTTCTGCCCATGTACATGTGAGTTATGCTACTGCATCGATGTGTGTGTGAGTAAGGTCGGAGTGGCGGTGGCGGGTGGAAGCGCATTTCTAGGTCAAATTCATGTGAAGCCCGGAACACTGCCCATTGCCCCACCAGAGCGACCACATGCGTGGGAACTGCTCTGTTTGAGAGTTGAAACGAAAACTATTTCCAACCCGATTATAAATTATTTTTCTGTACTACAGATGTTTCTATCAAACAAAATTATTGCTAAGCCACAAGGAGCATACCAGGTTGGCAGAAAGTTTTCTTTTATTTTGAAATGGGTTTATCTGGTTAGATTTTTTTAGAGTTTTAAAAGCTTTTAATCTTTTTTTAAGTAGTAACTTTTAGCTGTATGCAACCTGAAACTAATAGTTGGGTGATAAAAGGATAACTAGGCTTACCACATAATTTAAGGAGTTTATGTGGTTTATTTATCTAAGCTATAATAAGAATATATGTATATTCAAAAATATTGTACAGTACAGGTATTTAGACTACAGCAACTCTTCTAGGTAGAAGGTATTATTCTTATATGATGTTAGTATTAAAATTTATAAGCATGTCATTCAATTAAATATATCACCATCTTTACTTCCAGACAAATCCTCAATTTTGCATCCAAAAAGCCCACATATCAAACTACCTGTGCAATTAAAACCCATGAAAATTTCTCATCGGAAAAAAACCGACTTTATTGATTTGTAACAATGTTGAACACACCTGATGAAAACAATAAAAACATTTGGCAATATAAAATGTCAGCGTGTGAAAAATTCACATCCAGTATATGAAAAAGTCATCGCAATCAAAAATAATAATACAAATCTATTAAAAAAAAATCAAACATATCCTAACGAAATAAAATAAATTGAAATCGAGTATAGATATATGTATTAGCTGGAAATATTTGTGTGTGGTTTTATAGAACGTGGCAAGGACGCGGGAAACAAATAATTCGACATTTTTGGCAATTGCAACTAAAAACCAATCTAAAGTGGAGGAAACCTCAAACTAGTGAATTGTGAACTATCCAAAACAAATTGACCCAAATAAATACGCACACGAACGGGTAAAATAAACAAAAATGGAACGCAAACACTGGAGTTGCTTTGTGGCCATTGTGCTGGGCGTGCTAATATTCAAAATGCACATATTTGGTGCTGTAGGAGATCCGGACGAGGATATACCACACAATGAGTAAGTTTAATTCATCATTCCGCATCAGGCACCCCACATCCAACACCTAAATTCTCAATTATGCATTTGCCAAACATGTTGGCAATTTCCTTCAACAGGAAATTAATTGTAAATTTGTTTATTCTGTTCGGAATGTTTCCACAAGTCCCCAGGCTCCATGTTGCATCAACATTTTATTTCATTTCCTGCTAAACGATAAGTGCTTCTGGAAATTATAACTATTTCATTTTTGATCAATTTTTCAAGTTTTGTCTTATTTCGAATAAGTGGGTTAACAAATTGCGGTGAAATATTGCCTGAATAATTCACAATACTCATCAGATTCTTAAGCAATTTTCTCTCCTTAAACGACTTGTAGATCTCTTTTAATCTGAATCAAAACCTAGGAACGAAATATTTTTTAGATTTTTTGTCAAATTTTCTGGGGGGTCCCCTTCAAAAAGTGGATGCCCAATATCGGCCACAGTGAAGGGCATAACTTTGCCAAAAATCATCCGATTCTTAAGCGGAGTATCTCAAACGATTTGTATTTCCATTTTCTTTTAATCTGCATCAAAAACTAGGAACAAAAGATTTTTTAGGTTTTTTGAAAAATTTTCTGGGGGTCCCCTTCAAAATAGTGGAAAATGCTTGGATGCCCAATATCGGCCACAGTAAAGTGCATAACTTTGGTAAAAATCATCCGATTCATAAGCGGAGTACCTTAAACGAGTTGTAGATCGATTCTCTGTTAATCTGCATCAAAATCTAGAAACAAATAATTTTTTAGTTTTTTTGTTAAAATTTCTGGTGGGTCCCCTTCAAAAAAGTGGAAAACGCGTGGATGCCGAGTATCGGCCACAGTGAGGGGCATAACTTTGCCAAAAATCATCCGATTCTTAAGCGGTGTACCTTAAACGATTTGTAGATCGATTCTCTGTTAATCTGCATCAAAACCTAGGAACAAAATATTTTTTAGATTTTTTGAAAAATTTTCTGGGGGTCCCCTTCAAAATAGTGGAAAATGCATGGATGCCCAATATCGGCCACAGTGAAGGGCATAACTTTGGTAAAAATCATCCGATTCATAAGCGAAGTACCTTAAACGATTTGTAGATCGATTCTCTCTTAATCTGCATCAAAACCTGTAAACAAAATATTTTTTAGATTTTTTGGCAAATTTTCTGGGGTGTCCTCTTCAAAAGAGAGGAAAATGAATGGATGCCCAATATTGGCCACAGTGAAGGTCATAACTTTGGTAATAATTATTCGCTTCTTGAAAGGAATACCTTAAACGATTTGTAGAACTATTCTCTGAATCACAAAATTGTTATAGAATTTTAAAAAACAACATGACGAGGTTTTGGAGAGGACTTGCTACGAAGCACATATTCTACAATTAAAATATCAAACAGGGGTTTTGAACCACGTGGGTTGGGGCCTTTGATGTGGCGAAAAGATATTTTTGTGCCTGTCTATTTCGACGTTGACACACAGAGTATGCGTATCTAATGGATACATAATAGGATTTTGCAATTAGCTTTAACGGCGACTCGGAACCTGTAGGCAGAGGGGCGGCTAGGTGGTGGGGGCATAGGAAACACACGTAACCGCAGCGCTCACTTGGCTAATTAACCCAAAAACCAACTGCCATTTGCAGGCAAGGGAAAGTGGCGTCTGTTGGAAATGTTTGGCCGGTGTGGGCTGGGGTTGGCAAGGAAAAAAGCGGGGTCGGGAACCGGAACCGAGCCACTAAGTGATTTTTTGTTGTTCTCCTCTTGTATCTAATGTCACTTTTATTTATTGAAATTAGTTTTGGCATACGGTTTTTATGTGGGAATTTAGTTAGTTATTTGTTGAAGCTTAGGTAGTTTCGTTAATAGAATTTCTTTTCCCACTTTTAGCAACTAAGCTTGATTAAGGTTTATGTATTAGATTAAAGACCTTAATGGATGTAGCCATTAAATAATCCCTAAAGTTATAGTTTCAGAGAAACAGTCATTATTAGGAGAGGATAATCGTATCATAAGTGCTTATAGAAATGACCTTAGCATTCACAATTTTAAAAGTATTACTCCTTAGTCTGTTGCCTTTATTTGTCCATTTTCAAATTTTTATGTCTTGTAGCATATGCATACAATGAATTTTATTAATTTATAAAACAAACTTTTGCTTTCGCTGCCCCTGCCTCTGCCGCTGCCGCATTGAGTTCTTTTGGTCGTGTTGCTGTCTTGCTTCCATGTTGCCATTTGCTTTATGTCACTGCAGAAATTCAATTAAATTTATTTCAACTTTTGCTGGCAGGCGGAAAACCCCCCAGTCCGGGTGACGACAAGACGAACTGTGAGAGAAGCCTTGAGGGCTCAGCTTTGACGATTATGATTTGGCCAGGGATGATGTTGATGATGATGAAGTTGGTCCTGTTTCGGGCTTCAGTTTCTGGAAGCAGTTGGGGAAATGGTTATACGCTTTGGTACTGAGCCCATTGCTTTTCATGTAACTGACCCAAATCTCGTTCTTTATTGTAGCTGAAGACGAAAGCTTTTCTCTTTTCCTGGCCTTCATGGATTCAACGGGGTTTTCTTAGGCAGTCCTTATAGCCAGTTCCAGTGCCTCCTCGTGTTCTACGTGCCCCTTCAATTGCCTCATTTTCAGTTGCAGTGGCCACCATCCTCATTTTAATTCATGCTTCGTTTGCTTAAGCATCCCTTTGCTGCCTCAGTCCTGGCCGTTGCATTGACAGGATTCTCGTGCAACTCTGGGTCCAAGAATGCTGCCTTGACTGATTGGGAGTGTGGGTCACGTGCCACGGCCAGAAAGTTTAAGGCCCGAAAAATGGGGGACAGCTGGTTTCCTCGAGGATGTTACATGATTTATTTTCGGAACTGTCCTGCAAATGAACGATGGATAAACTATAAAATTGTATAATTATACGAGTCAGATTTAAAGTCAGAAAGTCTATAATAGAGTTTAATGCAGACTAAGTGCTGATTACAACTGACATTAAGCGATGTAGGTGCCTTTCCGGGTAAGTGAGAAAGATCTAATTACAGCCATGCCAGCTTAAATGAATAAAAAACACAAAACCAACAACCAAAAGGGAGCCAGTCGAGCCCCAGCTAAGTACTTATTACAAAAAACAGTGAAAGTGCATTAAGCGGCATTCGAAACGGAGCATAAACTGAAGTGACAGCAGTGCAACGTCTAGCGTATTATTTTGGTTTTTATTTTTCACTCCCCATTCTGAATACAAGTGGATAATGGATATCATGCAACACGACAAACTAATTTGCAACAATTGAGATCAGCCTTTCCCGAGTATTTTGTTAGACTGCCTTAAATATTAAATCCTAGGTTCGTTTTTTTTTCGCTATACCCTGATGGATTTCGTCACCTAAATGGATATGCTGTCCTCAAGGATATTTCGTTGCAAAAAAAAAAAAGACTGTATTCTTGTTAAGATGCATTCAAGTTTGCTGGCAACGTCGAAGGGAAATTGATTTCAATTGCAAAGAAGCAAAACTGGCAAGAGCCCATCGACCTACTCTCAGCTACTATTACCATCAGCCAGCCAGACTCTCAGCCTATTTTCACCTGAGCAGGCCAGCAAGAAAAGTGAAAAGCGTCAAAGCCAAACAAGAAACGGCCAATGGGAGCAACGGTGAAAAAAGGCAATGAAACGAAACTAGTTCGATGGCTCTAGGTGTATGTATATGGTACTTGAGCATGACATACGTGGTTCGTTCGTGCTCAAAATGCTGAGGCAGAATAGAAAGTCATTACGAATACACCTGAGCACTCTCAGCCTCATTCCTACCTAACCACCCACCCACTCACATAGACGTGTATATGGCTTAAGCCATTGTCAAGTTTCTGGCCAAATAGGAAACAAAAAAGAGGAAAAAAAACAACCAAGCTAAACAAAATGTTAGTTTTTATTTTACTGGCCACCGGCAAGGAAGATTCCAAAGAAGCAGGCAAAAATCCATTCTACTGTGGCCCAAGGAGATGATGTTGAAGGCCTTTCAAGCCTTTTGCTGCTTTGAGCCAGATTTCAATGTTTTTCCTAGATGCTTTTACTTTTGGGTTTACGCTTATGCATTGTTCTATTCCTCATATACATACAAGCATTCTTATATGATGTATGTGGCAGTTGTATCTGCTTCTGGATTATTCACATTATCTTAATGCCATAGCTGACATATTTTTTTCGGTAAACTCCAAACGGAATTTTGTTTTACTTTCAAGCTTTCAATTTTTTTATATTTAAAGAACAATACAATCACCTATGAGTTGATGGCTTTTAAGTGCCCTGCCCATTGTTGTAGGCCAGACTTCCAAGTATTATCCAATTTCAATCACTTTGTTGGCCACTTTATTTTGCTTCATTGTTTACGCTTTTGCAAGACCGAGGGGTAGAGAATGCGGGCTTTCCTCGACGGAGCATCCGTTCATAATACAATTTTCATATAATTTAAATTCATTTTTGCCATCGCCCAAGCCATAAAACTTTGTCTGTAGCTGCTTGACTGCAGTTGCACTTCCTCGCCGGCAATCTGCCGTCTTCACTGGCCCCTCCAGCCCCGATCTACGTATCGGTGCCGCCCATTGTGGCCCATAGCGTATAAACATGCGCTTATTTTGTATCTAGATAGGGAAGCTCGGTCCTCTTCCTCATTCTCGTCCTTTTGGTCCTTGTCTGTTGTTGTTTCTCTCGCTCGTTTTGCTCGCCGCCGGCTCAACATAATCAACATTGCGTATACGCAACGTTGGTGCGGTTACTGCTGGCAGAGCTTTGGGTTTCTTTCCACCTACCTACCAACAACCCACTCCCATCGGCACTCTGGCAGCGCGTATTGATATTGCAGATAATGCCATAAAATTGTGCAAATATTTTTGGGGGCATTATTTTGCATGGTCTTTACAGTGGCTCAACTTTACTTGGCTTTTCGGGTGTGTTGGTTGGTTGGTTCGTTCTTACTTTATTTTTAATATTTTTCCTTTTTTTTTGTATCAACTTTCTGGCTTCTGGCTTTACTGACTTGACTCTGGTCTCCAATTCTGTGTTCTTTGTACTTTATTTGGAATTTCCTGTTGGCACTCCGCCCCTGGAACGATTTTATGAGCTCTCGTTGTGTTGGCTTTGTTTTGCTTTCGACTCTCGCGTTTAGATTATAAATGTTTGGAAAATGTTTTTACAATAGTTGCTTGCTTGTTGGTCTTGGGAGTTTCTCTTAGGAGTCTCCCCCCTTTGTCTCGTAATGAGTTTTCCTGCTGTGTGAGCTGGACTCTGGAGCTTGTTGATTTTGGCTTCCTTTCTTCGCGAAACTTGGCAAATATTTTCAAAGAGATTCGTTTTATAATAATAATAAAGATAATTATTATGTGCACTCGGAGGCCACAAATTTATTGCTTAATGAAAGATTTGTATGCGCATACGTAATTAAACTGAAATAATTTATGCGTAATTTAAAATTTATTCAAATTGATTTTTAATCAGCCACATGTTGAGGAATGTGTAACGAGCTATCCATTAAACATTCTTATTAAAGTTTCTGCAATTGCAATCATTTATTCATTTATATTAAAACTCTTTTTTTATTGCAGGGTTCGCAACTGGGCCTTGAAGTTCGGTGTCGACCTATGGGAGTTTGGACGTCAATTTACGAAAATGAACGAAATCAAAAATGTAAGTAAATGTGACCGGCATATGGCCAGACTTGGCACGCACATCCATATTAGTGGGCCATAGGCCATACCATATGTATCAGATAATCCTGATATGTGGGTCTACAAATCGCATTGCCTAATGGCTTCGCTCGACCTGCTCCGCCATGGTTTAGTCGTAACAAATACAGTTAAGCTCTTAGAGCACTTATTTGAACTTTATCGATAAGAAAAAATGTATCGATAAATGCTCCGAATGGCTGGGCTTAGCCGGAGCTTAACCAACGAATGCGTCAATTTTTCGTGTTTTTCTTTGACGTTCTTATTTGGCGCTTTTGTTGTCTGCTACTGCCGCCTGTCCCTAATGCAATTTAAACACAAATAAGGCTAATTGAGGGGGCCCGGACCCCCTTTGTAAGCTGGGCGGTGTGGGTGGAAGTTAGTCGGGCTTATACTTTATACGTAAGTATGTGACTGGGTGCTATCTATGTTAATAAGCATGGCTGTGTTTGGCTTTGGTTGACTGCGTGGTCTGTGGCGGATGTTGGCGGATTCCAGGGATGGCACGTTGGTACTCCTCCTCCCCAGACCCTGGCCAGTCGCTTATTTTCGCGTTTAATCAGACGTACATGAGTTACTGGGCTGCTATTATTGTGAGAGTATGATTATGTGTGAGGGCATTTATAGGGACTTTCTTATGTGGTACGACTGGTATCTACTTATATCTTAAATTTGTACACTCTTTAAGAATTTAAATAATTTGTAAAGGATTAAGCTTAAAAAAAATGGATTATTTGAAAGTACAGGTTAAATCCTGTAAGTCCAACTATGAAATCTAACAAGGTGCATTAAGAGCTAACCTCTGCATTTAGGAATTTCTATAAAACTTAAGGATTTCCTATATTTAGTTACTAGTAATGGAAGTATAATGAATTCAAGCAAAAAAAAAAAAAACAATCTTTAGTAATAGCTATAATTTAAAGGAGTGTATAAATATCAGCGGTATTACAAAGGACATAGTATAAGAGAATGGGAAAAGAAGGCTAGTGTTTTGAGTGGAATGGGTGCGAAGTCGGCTGCCAGAAAGGCAGCTAAAATGCAAATAAATTTGCTGGCTGTGACTGTCATTGAGTCTGTAATTGTCAAGTGCCTTGTTGCTGTTGCTCTGTTCTTACTTGCTGTTGGGTTTTTGTTTTTCTTGTTGTTGTTGTTGTTGTTGTTTTTGTCGGTGGGTGCTGCTGTCGCTGACAATGTTTGTTTGTGTTAATTTAAAGCATACGACACTGTACTGAACAACGGCAGAAAAAAAAAGGAAATGAAAACCTACGCCCAGATTGAATTAAATATCAAGTATACGCGACGTGGTGCGTTGGGAAAACGGCAGAAAAGCGAACGGCTGAAATTGTCCTGTGTGCGTTTTCATATACATATGTATACATATGCGTTAATACACACACATATGTGTGCCTGTATGTATCTACATTTGTATGTGCATTACAAACATTATGTCATGCCATTTTGTGTATGGGAAAGTTTATCTGTCCTTCAGTCTGTTTGTTTGTGTGTTGTATTCGTGGTTGGGTGAGCTACCCCTCTCTCCTGTTAACGCCTTTCGTTTTAATACTCAGCCATCGACTCTATTGTTAACAGCAAAAGCTAATAAATTGTATGTATTTTAAAATTATTGACACGACAAAATAAAAGAGTAAACTCCAAGGTGTTGAGCAAATATTGTTTTAATTGTTTAAAGTCTATTGAAAATTAATAACATAAACAAAATGGTTATTACAGTATTTGAAATATTGGCATGTCAGCTCGGATATTTTAATAGAATTATTCATCTTCAATGTCATCTTATTGTTGGTCTCCTTTTTTGTACTTCCATTGAATTTTGTCCTTAAAAAAATTAAAAAAACAAGGAAAGCGGACAATGTTTGTGGGTGCGGTCCATATCCTTACTCGCCGCCCTCGTTTATCCGTCGCGTCTTTCTTTCCATTTCTTTTATGTTTTGCTTAGCTGCTTTCTCCGTTGTTCGCTTGGCATTTTAAAGTAGCATAATAAAATAAAAAACAAATGCAGCGTACACGTTCAGTTATGCGAAAGGCGTCGCAGGACAACAAAAACAACCTGAAGATTAAATGGCTGCCACGAATGAGGTGCCGAGGGGGTGCCAGGGTCTCGGGGTTAGGTGAGAAAGTGTGTGTGGAATGCCTCTGCGTGGCGCATATTCATTTATTTTATTTTCCGTGTGCCGTTGGCGTTTAGCGTTGACTAGCTACTACAAAAAAAAAAGCTGAAAGTATCTACCTAAGCTGTGAAATATGTTGTTCAGTCAGATGAAACCTCCAACAAGGTACAGTCACTCTAGGGCCTATCAACTAACCAGCAAGCTTACTTAAGAGCACAGCTTACTTGAGAGATACTTTGTTAAATCTTTGAAAATTAATTGAATAATTTAAATGTGGAAGATCTAAACTGTAGTTTGTGAAAATTGTGAAAACCTATACTCTTTTGTATATTTTTTTTTTGACCAAAAAAAGGACATTTTCTCATTTTGCACGTATTCTAAAATAATGAGCTATATAATACTTTTCGCCAGCCAAACGTGCTGTCGTTAGCTTTAATATTTTCCAAATTTAAAGTTTTCATTATAAATAGCAAAGCTGAGAACAGTCTCCTATAAACGTAAATGTGGGCTCCTCCCACGCTCCTGAATTTAGTGGAAAATACAAAGGCCTTGTAAGGCACCAAGCGGTCAGTGGGTGGAGGACTGAACATAGAGAAAGCTGGGGCGTGAAGTTTGGAGTAGACAGATCGAGTTGGTTTTGTGTGTTTGGCTAACTAAGTGTGTGGCGAACAGTGCTGCGGACTGCAAAGAGACTAATCGTAAATCAAGGCGACGACTCGGCGACGCACTTGAGGGCCTCGGTATGAGAGCGGTGCGGTCTCCCCAAAGGCTAAGGGAGACTCAACTCCTTTATGGGGCTACTACGCTGGCTTTTGTGGGGTCCCAAATGCATTACCCTGCTGCAGAGACCCACAGAGCCCTGCATATCTGCTTAATACATATAAGCTTATATACGCCGAGCCTTATAAATGTATGCATATAGACAGTGCTTGTCTATGCAAACATTTGGGTCTGTCGTTGTCGTTTGGTGGCGAAAATGCGAGTATGACATACAGCTGCCGGCAAACAAATGTTAAGTGAGGAGCTCTGGGCTTTTTGGGTATTATACTTAATGAAAGTATAGGGTAAATTAAATATTTAGTTGAACAAATGTTGGGGTCTTAACTGGTAAAAGGTTGTCACAGGATATGCGATGTAGGTCTATCTATCTATCATATTATTATGCTACTCATAGCAATCCAAAACCCTATGAAACTGGGAAGAAAATCTGTAAAAATAACTGAAAGTTTAACATGTGCCTTGATGCGAGACACGGATACTCCTTTTCCAGATGAGAAGCCAACTATTAGGTTGGGAGGGGAACACAAGTAAAGGGATGCCGGCGACATCTTCATTAAAATCTAATTAGCGCATTTCCAGACAAGACCATGGTAGAGACTGGCTCTGGTTTCCCAACTTGCCAGGGCACTTTGGTGCATAATCATTTATACAAGAGGAAGTCGGGACTCCCAGTTATGTAAAGCATTACACTGAAATTTTAAAAGAAATTAAGTTAAAAATTTAGTTTTAGAAGAACACAAGTAGTTCAAGAATAAGCCTGTATTTGTTTGATAAAATATGGTTTGGATTTATAAAATGAATCTTATGCTAGTTTTTGTTTAGTGTACAGGTGGAGGTGGATGGAGCTGCTGTTGAATCTTGCTCCTGGATGCGTAAGCTTCTTAACTTGCGCAAGAATTCAACGGGAGCAGAAGCCAAAGCTCAGGAATGCTCCTTATTTCCACTCTCTTCCAGCACTGCCCCATGACCGACCCCCCCTCGGATGTCCTTGCTCCACTTAAAGTTTTGTGCCAGCTGCATACGCACCCCACCCCGGGTGGGGGGAGGGTGAAAAGGGTGGACGAACGGGAGTGCAGGACTCCGCCTTGCGCAACATTTTCGAATTCCAGAGTCAACCGCAAAATGAAAAACTTTCTATGGCCGCTGTGCCTCTCGCTCTTAGCTTCGAGTGCTACCCATATTGTATACATATTGTATATAGTTTTTACACCACCCACAGTCCCCCCTGCAGGACACTCTCACCCACCCACACCCACACACACACACACACACGCGTGCATCTTTCAGGCGTGCATTGCATTTCGATGCTTCTCTCGTTGAAATTGCTTTATAAAATGTTGCCATCGCATAAAAGCTGTGTGAGGTTTTTGTGGGCGAGGCCACCACAGAGACTGCCACCTAGCCGTGGCAAGATTCCTCCATGTATATACAGAATATAGTTTTTTTTTTTGTGATTCTACTACAATGCGGCTTGTTGCTCAACATCTTTTTAATTACCATCGTCTTTTGTATTACATTTAGTGATTTGCAATATTTTTTTGTTAATTAGTGGGTTTTAATTGCCAAAAGAATTACAACATCTAAGGCAGCAAGCCATACTATTTAGAAAACTTTTAAAATTGTAGTTCCCAACTTCTGAATCGATTTGTCTTTTAAGTCATCAATTACAGCGTGTCGATAATCTTTAAATCTCTGAAAAACCACAAAAAAATATCCATTTTTGGGGGTCCTACTTTCTCTCAAAAAGCCAATCGCCAAGTAGCCATTTAGCAAATGTCCATCCAATGCCATCGTTTAAGTCTTCCAAAGTCGAATAGAGCTATGTGTGAGTCGTGCGCAGCCAGAAGACAAGATTTCAGAGGTTTCGAAATCCTCGTGTAAAATTTATAATGCTCAATGGTACTACAACCATGACAGACAAAGGGTGATGTGGAGCAAAAGTGGGGGAAACTCTCATTTTTTTCTCATTCAACTTGTGTGGGTGACATTTTCTTTAGCCAACTAATGAATGCCTCAAAGAGTTTTCTCCTTACAGTTTTAGTTCTACGACAGCACACATATTCACAATGCCAAGACCAAGCACACGGAGAGTACATGGTTAGGTTTTGGCTCAAGCCACAAATATTTGCAGTGTCTCTGGTGAACGTACCCACACAAATACGTATTTATATCCTTTTGTATGTATATATGAACATTAGGGTGGTTCTATATGAATTTTATTGTCAAAAATAGGATTTGTTCATTTTTGGCTAAAGATTACGTATACGCCCTGTAAAGTTTTACCAACAAATGGCTATAATGTACAATAATATTAACTTTAAACGTTAATCTTTGGACAACGGATCAAGTATACCAGTTGTCTATAAAAATTTAATTTTTATTTTTTGACACCACTGCGTATGCGTAATTTATTAATTTTGTTGAGAAAATCACTCATACGAACCGTGCTCCAGATCCCAGCCATTCATTAGGAAAACTTATAAATATTATTACCAATTTAAATATTAAATATTAGAAAAATATCATTAATCTATGGCGTTGGAACATAAGAAGTTCCTATGACAACACTACGTATGAGTAGTATTTTTGAAAGTCATTTTCTAACCAATTTAAGATAATATTTTCAGGCTTATAAAGAGACAATTCTACATTTTTTTAAAACGTTTCTAAGCATTAGGAGAACCACCCTAACAAATCGTATAAATGTATTTATGTGCATATTCCTAGCTGAGCAGCATATTCTTTTCTGCCCAAGCTGCTTTGAGGACTCCTCTGTTTTCCGACTGCTGGTCCTTCTGGCACCGGATCAGTTAAGAAAAGTTTTCTAATTAATTCGCTGGAGACACACGCACGCCCTCTGTGCTGCTGCCAGTCCCTAGCTACCCACCTCCCCAGGCCCACACTGACACCTCTTTTTCCTTTCGTTGCAATGACGTTGATGATAACAAATGCGACGGGCAGAAATATAATTTAACTGACAGTTGCTTTGAAGAGTGACAATTTGAAATGGGACACGGCCACACCCCCAAATAACTTAATTTCCAAATTGCTAATTTGTGGCACTCGAATGCATGAAAAAGTCATAAAATGCATTTGCCTCTGATGTCGATGATTATGGGTTGTGGAATTCATCAGGGGCAAAAAAAAACAGAGACGAACAGAACGAAAACTCATCAGAATTTTCCATTAAAACAAATGACAACACGTTCAATGGAAAACCCATTATAAGGACGAAAGTGTGGCATCCTCGTAAGTGTGGCAGTGTGCTTTGAGTGAGTGGGTGGGCGGGCTGAAATCAAAACAAAATGCTGAAGCCATTAACTTGGCCACTAAATGCGTGTCTCGACTGCTTCAATCTGAAACTAGAATGTGTGCGTGTCCCTCTTCAGTTTGCGGCAGGATCCTGCCAATTGGAGTGAGAGGCGTATGTGTGTGGGACGCGGTGGATAGTGCATTGGTATGTGAAATTTAATTATACTTATATCCCCAGTGTTGCAAGTTCAAAGGACTTTAGGTATTTTAAGAGTCTGATTCGAGCTCTCTAACTCATTTTTCTCTTTCTCTCTGTGTAGCTAATGAAAACCTAATTAAATTAATAAGATGTACTAAAATCAATTTAATATCAATTTAAGAACAGCCTGAAGCCATAACAACCATCCTTAGCCAGCGAATTCCCATTCTCTTTCCCATTCCCGAAGTACATCAGAGTTTTATGTTGGGCAATAAGAAAACGCAAAAGTTTTACAACCCTTGAACCCTTTTTTGTACTCTGGAATCACCCATCAGTTATATAGTTTATTGCAATAAAATGTACTGAGAATTGTGTATCTGATGATTTTTTTTTTTATTCATTTGCAGCGTTTCAAGGACAGCGACATCGAAGTGAAACGCAAGGATGGGATTATCCTGCTCCGAGAATTGGCCGCTGAGGTGAAGAACTTTATGGATTTTAAGCGGAATGCTGTCATGGTGAGTGAAAACCCCCAGATCCATTGTCATAACAACGGTGCCCATTCCATCATACACTTAAAAAAACACCCTAGTTTCTACGTCATTTTGTGAGAATAATCTCCTTTCAATGTGCCAATGTTGTTGTGTTTTTTTTTCTCTGTAACTTGGTGTCCTGTTTCTTTTGGATGTGCCCGCGATTGACAAGTAGCTCAATTGCTTAAAGCTCACGGGAAATGGCGATGGGAGAATCTCAAATTCGAGCAGGGCACTAAAAAACACAACAAAACAATAACAAGCGGACGGGACAAGTTCTCTAGTGGGACACTGGCGTAAAGTGGAAAACAATAAATTGCCGTTGGGCCAGTCTCATTCCGGCGGTGGGGCTGTCCCCGTTGCCCGGAGGTGATGGTGGTGCGGAGGTCGGCGACAAATTGAAATTAAAGTACGCCCCGCCACAAGCACAAGTTTTTGATGGCGCCCGCAGCTGCTGCGAGTGCGTGCTCAGCGTTGTCACGGGGCCAGGCTCTCGTCCTGGCCAAGGATGAGCTGCCATGCCCCGGCACTCCACCCACCCGATTACCGCACTTTCAATCCGCCTTCTTTCTGTGGTACTTGCGGTCTGTCTCTCTTTGTGGCTCCACGAAGTGTCCCGCGAATCAGTGAACTTCTCTGGCACTCCCCGGGTACATTTTACCGACCACGATGGATTACACAGTGGTTTATCGATGGGGCCAATCAATCAGTTTAATATGTACATAAAAGGATATATGTATGTGCCATATATTTAAAGAGCATATTACTTATGGTAATTGTTTTACAGACCCACAGCCGCAAAAATACTTATTTTCGTAGTTTGTGTGTTTTTGGAGTAAGAAATTAATTTAATTGTTCTGAAAATCTTAAATCTAGATATTCCATTTCATTGGTTTCTTTAGATATTTTTTTTAATAAATTTTTATCATTACTGGCTGTGCGCGCTATAAATGTCAATGGCTCTTTGGAAAACTGAACCGATTTACTGCGTTTTAAGCTGGGCATTTTGATTGATTGTTTTGGCAAAGTGTCTCTTTAGCTTGTCAGCCCATCTCCCTCTATAAAGTAGCACTTCCTTTTTGCCCTCTCTTTCGCTCTATCCGCATTCTGTCTCTGTCCTTTGACATTCGTCTTCGATGTCAGGCCATTCATCTGCAAGAAAGTTTCACTTTGGTCTCCTAATGGCAAATTGCTCAGAATGTCCTACTACATCAACTTCTCGCAACCATTTAATTTAATTATGAAATTATTTACAACATGAACCGAGTTTTTAAGGATACCCACACATATATACGCAAACTCGTGGGTACAGTCATCATTAATAAGACCAGAATAACAATTAAATGTTATAATCAACGCATGGGTCAGGATTTTATGGTCTGGCAGCCGAGTGCGTGGGTATACATAAATAATTTTTTATGATTTCCGCAAAATATCGATTAAATTTGTTTGGTGTGTGTGGTGTGCGCATTTTTTTTTTTTTTTTTTGCTTTGGTTTGTTTGCCTTTGCAAACGGTTTCTTGTGGACAACACGCACATACGCACGCATCCGTCCAGGATACGCAGATGCTGTCCCTTCGGTCTCCGGCACACAAGCGCGCCCAGAACAGAGTAGCCGCAGCTTTCGCTCCCTTCTGTTAGCCGGAAGTTTTTGGCCATGACGCAAAACGCATACGAAGCACCATTAATTAAAAATCAACCTACACGAATACCAAAAACAGACGTGGCAGCATCAAAAACAGCCAGGAGCAAAATCAGTGATAGAGAGAAAAAAAATGAAAGAATTTTCCCAAAAAAAAATACGGAAAATTATGTATGCAAGATGGTTTTATTTTATTCATACGATAAATCTTACCATTTTTCATATATATAGGGATTTTGTTTATGCAAGGGTTTAAAAGAAATAAAGTGGGACCACATTAAATGAAGTTTATTTTGCATAATATTTAAATTTTAATATATATTTTATATAATATGAGTTTTGGAATAAAAATAATCAACTTTAGAGCCAACTTTAGCCTCCCTAGGCATTTAGAAAATTAATCTTCAGAAAATTTTGCACCAGGAAGTATCTAAAATTATCAAAGAAAATTTCCAAGTATCGGGCTAAGACCGACAAGAGTTAGGGCGATGCCCAGGTTATAATTGCCATATATAAGATACAGGTTTCAGACTCATGTTTAGATTAAAGCAGAATAACAAGCTTAGTACGGGCAGTGGCGTAGCACACAGGGAGCTCGAAGAGATAATATTTTAATAATGTTTATATTAAAAGTTGGCTTTAATAGTAGTTAGTTAATAGCATATTAAGCTCATAATAAGAATTGCATTTGGGAATTTCTACCAGCTACGAGTTTAGAGTTGAAACATCTCTGCGATTGCAGCAATGATGGACCCGTTTCTGGCCCGGTAATTGATACTACACATACTATATATACTATCTGCGCATTACGCTCTGAATCTCGTCTTTGGGAATCTCCCGATTTCGTTTGAATCACATATAATCTCGCTCGGAAGTCGATCTGGCCAGGCAGTTTTATTTTGCTGATTGCATCGAACAGTTCGCCTGAGAATGGATTCGCCGGCCTTTGTTTTTCTTTTGCTGATTTGCTGTCTGATTGTGGGCTGTTGTTTGGCAGCACCTCAGGGATGCAACGGTGGGTTCTATTCCCAAAACGGCAACCTAGTCATCGACCTGAAAGATGTGAACTCTTTGTTGAATTGTGTCCAGCAGCAGCATCGTCGTTCAAGAGGATAAGCAGCTTAAAATATCTTCCTCTAATGTTTTATAATAATAAATGAAAAGTGTACTAAAAGTATGTCAACTACAAAATATAATACTCAAAAAAAATACAATTAAACGATTTGTTTAAATTAAAAAAAAAAACATGCCGGTGGTGGTCAATGAACTTTCTAATAAACTGGTTATATTGTCAAAGTTTGTGTTTTTGAGAATTTAATAGCAGACATGTGCTTGGAAGATCTATAATCATTTAGTTAATAAAAGATGTTAATAAGAGTTCAAATTAATTTGAGAGATTTGTCTCATTTAATACAAACGTGTTATATAAACTACCCATATGCATGACACGTGAGGAAATAAAATAAATATTTAGGGCACACGCCGGGTATTCGATATTTTATGGCTTGTTTTGAGTTTGGTTAATAAAGTATTGTTTTCATGAAATCAAAGCTTGATTGCCAACAAAATATTTGTTATGTTTTCAATATTTTTGCATTCAATAAACAAATTATTTCCCTGCAGTATTTTTGGTTTCCCACCCATAAAAAGTATGCTAATGAGTGAGTGGTTGTGTGGCGGCCCCAATAATTATTTTTTACGAAATCAATTTGACAGAATATAGTCCACAGAATCGAGCCCGACTCTGCGAACTGCCAGTCTACCAGTCACCCAGGACCCAGGCTCGTCTGCCGCCGACAATTTGCGCTCATGTCGAACATGAAAAATAATGAAAAGCAACTCGTGTGCGACCAGCCGAGCACCTGCCACCCCCATGCTGTACCTTTCGTTAGTGCTTTTGGATTCCACCTCCATCAACGTCATAGTCAGCTCTCAGTTTGCACTGTTCTGCTGGGCCCCATGGTCCTCGCATCATTCGCATGGGCACCTGCAGTTGCCTTTTGTTTGGAGCGGCAATAAAATGCTAATTGCCTGTAAACATAAAGGCAACTGCAGATGCCACACACAAATATACACACGCACACCACCACCAGCTTTCCCTCTCTCTCTCTCTCTCTTGCCTGCAGCCATCTCTATCCCGAGGCCAACGCTTTCCACCTTCATGCCTTCCTTCCTGACAACGTGGCGTATGCGTAATAATTTGCAGTCTCTCCTGCAGTCCCGACCCGCCTTGGTTGGAAAATGTTTCAATCGCCGTTGCTAATTCGATTTCTATCAACGCCTGTCAATGCTGCTGCTGCTTTTCCTTTACAACACCAACAGAAAGTTTTAAACCTTTGACGCTTCACCGCCCCCGCCACCACACCCGCTGGCCCTGGACTCTCACTAATCGCTGTGTCCTGTTGCTGACAGCCTTTATTTGCATTCACTTCCCAGTTAAAATTGACTTTAAAATTGCATTTAATGGCAAAAAAGCGCACTACCACGCCCCTTTGTCCCGCCTCCTACACAGTGTGTCTGCTCGGCTCGTTGGCCTCTTCGCACTTAGCCGCCACCCACCGGCCACCCGTCACCACCACCAACCCCCACCGTTCAAGGCCCGCTTCCTCTATGCTGTTGACTTCTTTGCTATAATGCCACTTGCACTTTGACGTTGACATTGTGCAAGGGGGCGGGCATAAGCACTGTGGTGGCACTATGGGGTAAAGAAAGATAGAGCGTAATGTGTACATGCTCTGGTATATTGAAAAGCTCTTCGGCTGTTTTAAATAGAAACATGCAACAACGTGTGCTCGCACTAAAAGCATTCATTTTTGATTTCCCGACACGACAAATATGTGGCGACAAGTCAATCTTGAAAATCAAAAAAGTATATGGTTGAAGTGGCAATGTAGCAAGGGTATATTATCAGAATCGATATCTACATACGAGCAGTATTCTTAGAATATCTCTCGAAGAGTGTTGGGGTCTAAAATGATAAGTTAGTCTTAGTTCCCACTGAGAATGGTTTCAAACTGCATTATTTTTGTTATATGGAAAAAAGACACTACTCATACTAAAGGATTTATATAAAACATAAAACTAGAAAAAGTTATGGCTTAAAAAGTAAAATAGCTTAGTCGACTATTTCTTTTTATGAACCCTTTCTTATAAAGCTTATCTTAACCACAATTCTTACTGGAAAAAGTCAAAGAAACCAGGAACAACTGCCTGGCACTTTGTACTTAAGAAAAACATTAAGCTCCTAGAGCAGAGACCCTAGAAAGTTACTTGGTTAGGAATAGTGATTTAAATTTTTGTCTAAAAACCCCTCTTCCAATGTGACATCGTTAAAGCGTGAAATATTTTGCCAAACTCATATTAAAACGTAATATAAATTTCTCTGTTGGCTGAAAAACTTATTGCCTCAACATTTGGCACGTCTATTCAGCTGGCAAATATATTGAGCAACCAAAATAAAAAAAATCACCAAAGAAAAAAATCGAAAAAAAAGAAAAAGTCAATCCGAGAGCTGAGAAAAGAAAAGTCTTAGGGCAGACAGAAATCGTAGCTTAAACACACATCCAGTCTTTTTCTAAAGGCAAGACGACCAGAAACGCAAGGAATGGGTTTGGGAAAGAAACGGGTAGAAAATCACTCGGCTGGCTCTGGCTTTTGACTTGGCAAATGGTCAACGCGGGTTCTTTTTACCGAGCATTTTTCCACAGCATACTTTGAGGCTGTTGCTCCAGCCAACGCCCAGAGAGTCCTTCACATTCTCAGTCCCTCGCGCCGTTCGGCTTGCGAAAAAATTGCGTGCAAGTAGCTGCATTTTGCTAATTCCGGCAGAGCTCAGACACTGCACCGCTGACATTTGAGCAGGTTGCCACAGTCTAGCTTTTACACATACAAAAAAATGTCTGAAATAGTCTCCTATTAAAGACAACAATATTATAAACTAAATAAAAACTTAAAATAGTATCCATATTTTCATATCCTTTTCGTGAATATTACTTTTATTAATATTTAAATAAATTGAAAAACTTTGGGTTTTATTTTTTTGTGTGCAGCCGTGGCTTGAGTCCCACTCCTAGCCGTCGTTGTCATTGTTGGCTTTTGAATGTTAAGATGTCGACAGCTGCACAGTCGAGCGAGAGGGAAGCCAGCTGGTGTCAAATGAGAATTGTGTGCGAGAGGGCATTGCTCAGGGCCCTCGCCCTCGCCCTCGAACCACCACCCACCCACCATATAGCACCACCACCATACTGCATGCAACCCTTTCTGTGTCGGAGACATTTTTACGCTGCCACGACCTTTCCATAAGTGCATAATATTGTACAAAAAATATACAAGATACATTTCATAATTCTCTTGTCCATGTTACGTCTCGAGTTGTGTTGAACAGAGAAACTACCAATGTTGCAATTATTTACATGAAAGCATTACTTTGTTTGACTTGTGAGATAAGTTTGAAAAATCACAATAGTTTTGGTCTTCAAAAAAACCATTTTGGAACGATCCCTCTTTGCAATCCTGCTATCCTGAAAGCTCAAACCTTTGGTGCCCCAAAGAAGCTCTACAGTTTATTCTTCGTTATCCTCACCTAGTTTTTTTTTTCTTCTATTGACTTACTTTTGGATGTTTATTACTTAATACCTTAACTAGCCTGATTCTCGCCACCTTTTTGGCCAACAACTTTAAGAGTCCTTAACTAATTTGAAGCCTCGAAAAATGTGCAAATAACTTAGAGGCTTGTAAAAGGAAACTTGGTAGCTGGCGGCCCACCTGGAATGAAGTTTTCAACGCAACAACTTTCTTTGCCCACTCCGCCATCTCCTATCGGAGCACATTTTCTTTAGTTTTCTGCTATTTGTCGGAGCCGCTGACACATTCCCGTGGCTCCAGCCTTGGCCCAACGGCAACCAATTTACATTGAAATCTTCCCCAGACTCGAAGTCTACGTGCGAGAGTTTGCAGCTTCAGTTTTTATTCTGTTTTTAAGCTTCTCCTTACCATTGTGCCAAACTAGTTGAAGTATTTCAATGCACCCACATGCACCAAGGCACGTTAGCACTGGCAGCAGCGTCTTCGGGTCACCCGGGCGCTCCTCCAGCTTCAGCCCGGCCGCGGCGCTCTCCCCAGGCGCGTCTGGGAGTTGAATTGGCTCATCCTCAGTGTTTATGACTGCAGGTGTTTGTCCTCCTTTGGGGAGGATGTCTGCCTCCTCCGCCTCCTAGTCTTTCTGCTCTCCAGCTCCGTTCCCGTCTCCGGGTCTAATTTCGCTGCAGCTAAAGTTCTTGTTTGCGTCTTATGAAAAGTATACTGCGGGAGCCGAGTCAAACTTTGGAAAATAATTTGTGTGCCAAGTTGCAGAATCCTCTACAGAATTTTAGTGATTTGTTGGGTCTTGGTTGGCTACATAGGAATGCGATTAAATATTCAAGCTCTTTGCAAATTGTTATGGAAATATTGAAATGTGCATTAAAATACATAATCGTAGAAAGTTTGAAACTAAAGTTGAAAATAGTTTTGATCAAAATCTAGATTCTAGACTAAAATGTTGATAGACTTTCAGGGCATTACCTATTTTGACATTTTACTTTAAGAACAAGAGGAGTGTTGCATACTTTTCAGAGGAGCTTTGAATTACAACCCACATGCCCATACTCGAGCCCAAGTTGGGCAAAGAAAAACAAAACGTGGCAAAGAAACTCCTTTGCTTTATGCAATTTAAGTCCTTTCCGAGAGAGAATAAATTGCATAAAGCGTTGAAACTTTTCCAGCACACCCCCCACATTCCCACCCTGAAATTATAGCCAAGACTTGAATTAAACTGAAAACTGTTTCAGCGCCTGATGGACTCCGCCGAACAGGCGGCCCTCTCCGAGCTGGAGGGCCAGGGACAGGGGGAGTCACCCTCGGGCAATCAACAGCACTACGATGCCCGGCGGATTAACGAGTACAACGCCGACGGCAAGCTGGCGGACGGAGCCCGGCACATGGACATCCGGTTCATGCGGCGCTTCGAGCGCCTGCCAGTCAATCTCAGTCTAAGTTCGATTCTGGTGCCCCACGGTGTCGATCTGGACGAGGCGGCGGACGTGAAGTCGGCGCTGCAGTGGAGCGCCCACTTGGACCCGCTCTTCCAGAACAACTTAGAGCAAGATCCGGCACTATCCTGGCAATATTTCGGCTCGTCCACGGGCTTCCTGCGCCGCTTTCCGGGCACTGCCTGGCCCCCGGAGGGTTCCAAGGGCAGCAAACTAATCCATGACTTCCGCACCCACAATTGGTTCGTGCAGGCAGCCTCATCGCCCAAGGATATTGTAAGTATACCATTTTCCCTCTCCTTAGAGTCTTTTAAATCGTATTATCCTCGCAGATGATTCTTTTGGATGCCTCTTCGAGTATGTCTGAGAAGTCCTTTGACCTTGGCATGGCAACTGCTTTCAATATCTTGGATACTCTTGGCGAAGACGATTTCGTGAACCTCATCACCTTCTCGGAGGTGGTGAAGACTCCGGTTCCGTGTTTCAAGGATCGCATGGTTCGGGCCACGCCCGACAACATCCAGGAGATAAAGTCCGCGGTTAAGGCCATCAAGTTGCAGGACACGGCCAACTTTACGGCGGGACTGGAGTATGCATTCAGTTTGCTGCATAAGGTATGTCATCTAGATAGTTGCTTCAAGTTGGCAAGCTAATCCTTTGTTTTGCAGTATAACCAATCAGGAGTTGGGAGCCAGTGCAACCAGGCTATCATGCTAATTACAGAGAGCACCTCGGAGTCACACAAGGATGTGATCAAGCAGTACAACTGGCCACACATGCCTGTCCGGATTTTCACATACCTGATTGGAAGTGACTCCGGCAGCAGGAGCAACTTACACGACATGGCGTGCTCCAACAAGGGATTCTTTGTGCAGATCAACGACTACGAGGAGGCCCGCCGCAAAGTAATCGACTATGCACTGGTGATGGCCCGTCCGATGATCATGTACCAGGCGGATCATCCGGTGCACTGGAGCCCGGTGTTTGTGGCCGGAAAATCGGGCGGACTCGGCCGGGACTCAGAGTACCAGCGACGCCTGGTGACGACAGTTTCAACTCCGGTCTTCGATAGACGGAACCATTCGGTTCGCGTCGCCAATCTGCTGGGTGTGGTGGGCACCGATGTGCCCATCGAGGAGATCCGCAAGGTGATCCCCCAGCACAAGCTAGGACCGAATGGCTATTCGTTTATCGTCGATAATAATGGGCGTGTGTTGTATCACCCGGACTTGCGACCCTTGAGTGATGGCAATCAGTACATTGATCAGTTGAAGCCCAAGTATGCCTCGGTCGATATCACGGAGTTGGAACTGCCGGAAACGGAAGTCGGAAACGATCACGAGATAGTGGAAATGAACAAGAATCTATTGAATGAGGTGGGTGTAGCAACTGTTTTATAAAATAAACTCTATAACTATTTTATTTAATAGATGCGTGGCGACATGATCCGACCCAAGGAGGGAGAAACGGAGTTCACCGTTCTGAATCACTACGACGAGACCAAACGCGTCTCCACTCGTACCCATCGCTATTTCTATGGACCCATCGAGGACACACCCTTCACGCTGGCTATTGTACTCCCGGAAAAATACGGTAGCCATGAGTTTGTCTCCCAGCAGGAAATCCGGCATTCCCGTAACAATGGTGAGATCACTGATTAGCTTTCCTTTCCTCCCAAATCTCAATGGTATTGTTTTTCAGTTACGGAATACTTCAAGGGAGACAACTGGCGCGTACATCCCGACTGGGTGTACTGCGAGTACAATAGCGTAAGCGATCTGGAGAAGGAGCGGGAGAGCTCCGGAGAATACTCTTCGCGCGATCAAGAGCCCAGCTTTGGGTCACCAGAAGAGCAGGTTCTGCACTTCCTGGCACGCGCCGGACGCCCTGGTTGGAAGTGGATGTCGGTAAGCAATCTATCTAGAGAGGATGGCCCTTTACCAGGGTCAACAGTTTGGTTCAGTGTACTTTATTAATAAACTCCTTACTTGACCAGGTTCGACCCAAGTCACCGCAACCACACCACAATATGCACAGTGGCTCTAATGGCAATGCACCCGGCTCAAGCCACTTTGGATCGCAGCACCTAAACTCTCAGGGATCTCGCAAGGCTGAGCCCTATTTCTGCGATCGAACCCTTATCCAGAGCTTAGTGCGCGATGCCATAGTAACCGATGGACTCGACCGGAATACCACAGGCACTTCTAATGGCAAGGAAGACAAGCAGTAAGTTTTAGTCTTTAGTTTTGTTTGGAAAACGTTATAAACCATTGCATGTCTAGATACAAATATTATTTTGCATATTATTTATAAGAAAATAATTTAAAACTACACCCGGTACTTTTACGGCAAAATTAAGGCATATATTTTATCCAAAGAACCGGGTTTACTTATTTCATTTATTTTATTTTAAGTTGTTTTATTAAAGTAATTTGTAGCTTGCATATTATTTTCAACACCGCTTTATGATTTCTATGCTAAACTCAATTCTGATAGATCTTTTTGTTGAAGAATATTACTAAAGCACAAACATCACTTTCTCTCCGCATATATTTCCTCACTCTATTTCTTTATACAATAAAAAAATATATATATTTAATAATTATTTGCGCAATATCTGCACATCCCACATCATAAATAATTGAAAATTGTTTCTCCACTGCAATTAATTTTATATAATTTTTATAACCAAATGCAATTTTTAACTAAAATGCACAAATCTTATATGAAACCTTTCTATAGTCCAATCGCCACATTGATGGCAATTTTAAAGAGGTAAATGGAAGAGTATTATGAATGGAATTGGTATTTAAGCAGAGCAGCCACCTTAGAGGACCATCTACATAGAGGCTTGAAAACTATTCCCTAGAAATGCTGCCCCTAAATTATAAAATGTATGCCAATGCACGACACTAATAGTTTTTATTGTTTATTCTCAGGCAAGGGTATCAAAAGTTTGTGGTGGCCACTTCTTTTGTGGGGACACGATCAGGTCTTCTTCGCTGGATTGATCATATCAAGAGGCCCGAAGATACCCCCGAACCGTAAGTCTTCAGGAAGTCTTCTTTTCGATATTATTAAACCCATATTTCTTATTTTACAGTCACTTTAGCGAAGATAATGTACGGGCCATGGACACTTCCTGGTATAAACGTGCCATCGACCAACATACCGTGGAGCCTGACAGCTTCGTCTATAGTGTCCCATTCGGTTCTGGTTATGCCATCAAGTCCAATGCCACCCTGGTTACGGCTTCCCATGCCATCTTCGTGGAGCACCGTGGCCACAAGGCTCCAGCCGCCGTTGTGGGTCTCCAGTTCCAGCATGACTCGCTAGCCAAGCACTTTATAAATATTACTTCCACGGTAGGTCTAAAAATCTAAAAATTCTTTGGTTATTATATAAAATGCCTCTAATCTTAGTGCACTGGAATGACGGGATGCAAAAGAACCTGCGCCTCAGACAATCTTGACTGTTATGTCCTAGACAATAGTGGCTTCGTTATAATCTCCGAGGAGATGGAACACACTGGCAAGTTCTTTGGCCAAATAGACGGCACTATTATGGACTCCCTGGTCCAGGATCGCATCTACAAAAGGGTTACGGTTAATGATTACCAAGGAGTCTGCTCCGATGCTGATAATCCTTACACTGCTGCTGGTGGCATAATGAAACCGAATCGCATCGCCTCCTGGTTCTTCAACCATTTGGTGGCCTTGAGCGCTGCCTGGTTGGCCCTTATGCCGAGTGCCCTACGAGCTTGGCCTCAGGATGACTACACCTACGATAACGAGGACGTAATCTTTATGGAAAACAACTATTCAGATGAATACGAACCGGAAGAAAACGACTATAACTTGCCAGTGGATCAGGAAATGGATGAGTTCTTTACCACAGCCGATGTGGTAAGTTAATAATAATGGTTAATATTTATAATATACTAATTATGTTCACGTATCATTCAGGAGTATACGACGCCGCCACCAAGACAACACAAGCCTCATGCAGGACCAAGATTTGCGCCGGATCCTCAGAATGCTAGACGGTGCGACCTGCGAACGGATCTCTACATGCTCCAGCCAGAACGATTAATACAGGGTGGTCAAAATAATCCTCTAAAGGTCGGTGGCTTAAGGTCAATAAATATTGCAATTTATTCAAATGAATTTTGTAGGGAAAACTCACCAATTGCCATATATCGGGCTGCGAAAGGCCATTCAGTGTTCAGAAGATCCCACACAGCAATCTCATCCTGCTGGTGGTGGACACCTTGTGTCCCTGTGGGTCCAAGCAACTGGACATTGAGCCAATGGAGGAGTCTGGAATCATAGGTAAATTGACTGAAAATAATCCCCAAAAGTAATCTTTAATGTTTTTGTTTTTGTGGGCCAAACAGGAGCTTGTAGCACAAGGCGACAGGGCCAGGAACAGGAGTCGCGTCGAAGACCTAGGAAGTGCATCAATTACCATCCGGAGGAGATCGAGATACAGCAGTGTGGGCGGGGCAGCACGCTTCTGCACATGTCCGGGTCGGTGGTGGTGGCCCATCTCCTGATGGTGGTCGTGACCTATGTACTGGCCAACGCGTGATACGAGCACTAGATTACTTTTGAGGATTAGGTTTGGACTATTTTTGTATCACAGGAACAAGCGGAAGCACGCTTTGGCTTTTTGTTACTTGATTTGCCATGGAAGTGGATGCTGTTAGCCACTTCTCAGCCACCATTTTGCATAGCCAAATGGCCAATGGGAAAAATATAATATTTTTCATAGATTCGGAAAATCAAGCCAGCAAGCAACAGGTAACCATTACAAAAAAATAACACTAACGAGTTTATATGTTTGTAGACAATAATTTGCGGGAGAGGAAAATTAAAATTAGAAACAATTATAGCTAAACATGAATTCAGTGGGCAATAAGCAAAAAATAATTAAATGATTTAGTCGAGATAAAAAAAGAAACTTACTAGCGCGAGCTTTGTTTCCCGATATTCAAAAAAAGTGTTTATTTCATCCTAATTACCGAATAAGAAATACAAAATAATGAGTGCAAAACTAATTTATCAAATGTAATAATGAAGCAAAACTATTCGACAGTTGGATTCTGTAAATATTATGAATATACATTGAATATGAACAAAATTCCTACCGATAATGATTAGTTTTTTCCTGTTTTCTATTGTACAACACAAGTAAGAACGACGGTTAATTATGCACTCAACTACGTACGCACAACTATAAAGTATTATATCATTTTAAAGACAAACACAAACGAATTCACTGAACAAATGGAAGACTTGAACTACTCGACAGCAATGTAAAAATAGCAAAAGCACACAAAAAAAAATAAGAAAAGAAAAACTAAGCCGAAAACAATTAATTAAATAGAAAGTCCATATCAGAGACTAGAGGTTACTTCCAAAAAATGAACAACTTATTGGAAGCCTGCATTCAAAACTGAATTTATGATTAGTTTCAATGCAAGCAAATATAAGCAAGAAATTAAGGGAAAAAATAGTCATTTATTTTATATACATTTTTATAAAAAAAAGGATGGAATAAGAAGAAAAAATAAATTAGCTATAATTTTTAATCCTTTCCAAAATATTATTTTCGATGTTTGTGTTGACCACATTGGAATTAACATATCGATCGATGTTTCAAAAATATCTTATTTTATTTTCTCCTAAAACAACCCAACCTTTTTCCAAAATCTTAAGCAAAAACAAAATTACTTGAAACACTTACATATTCACGATTAAACTCACTCATTAACACTGAAAAAACGCATAGCATACACATTCATACATAAATATATAAAAAAAGAATATTTTCTGTGTCTTAAACTTGTATAAAAAATGTCTTCCATTAAAATACTTAACGAAAAAAGAAATCCAAACAAAGTAAAACAATTTATTAATCAATAACTACTTATTAACTTAAACTAAAATACGATTATATAAGGACATATATATACTAAAAACATTTAACTCGAAAACGTCATTACCCAAAACATTAAACATTAAAAAAAAAGAAACTTTCGCTCTCAGCCGAATAAACAGCTATAAGCTGGAATGGAAAGAGCCAAACGAAAATGGCATTAGAACACCCATAGAATCTTAGATAATGTAGTTAGTTAGGGCTGATAGTTTCGGCAAGGTCAGCAAAGGCGAGGCAGGCGAGGAATCCATACAAGCATTAGAAAAAATATTAGCAGAATACTTAATATAAATATGTAATAAACCAAAAACCTAATATTCAATTGTAAGTCATTAACTCATAAGAGCTGTTTGTTACCAATGTCGATGATGATTACTGAGTATGGGTGTTTGGTGTGTGCCGGGGTGCATGTCTGGGATGGTTTTTGGGTGTGTGCATGGCTGGGGCATCGACTGACATTTTGTGGCATGGGTGAGGATGTGAGAAAGTGTGTTATGAGGCAGTTGCAATGGATATATACCTGGTAGGCCGTAGAAGGCAGAAAACAGAATAAACCTACAATTACATACGATCACGATCAACCATTTCCTCTCAATCTCTTTCTCTATCTCGGTCACATTCTCACTCGAGCAACAAAAACCAATTCATTCGAAAACATAATTCAATTTTTTCAAAACAACAACAATTTCCATATCAATATCAAGTTTTGAAAATAAAGTAAACCTTTTTACGAAAAAATCGTAAGATTATGATAATGTTCTGCCACATTTTCTATGTTTGTTTATTTTTATAGGAGAATCGAAATGTTTGTATGTGTAGTCCACAATTTTCTAAAGGCATATAAATATAATGAATAAAAAAAGATGGAACGTAATATTTATTGGTCTTAATGGAAAATGAAAACAAAAAAAAACAATATGAATTACAAAATAAAACTACAATTATTGAATTACGAATTAAATACAATTTTTGACAATGCGATTTTTGCTTTTTGGAAATCGTGCTTTTTGCTAAAGATAAAACAAAAACCAAAATCAACTATAATTATAATATACAACACTTTTGCTCTCTATAAACCCTATATACAAGCAACTTTCTATATGGAAAAATTTATATAAAGCAATCCAAAACCCCAAAAAAATGGTCATAATTATATAGCACAAGCAAAGCGATCTACAATATCAATGAATTAAAATCTTTCTCCAAATATTTACGATGAGACTAGACGAAATAAAATTTCCTAATTTGCTGCCGTTTACTTTGATAATTTTCTTAACTTTTAATTGCCGCATTCAGTGTTTAAATTAAATTAAGACCGAAAACTGAAAACCGAAAATGATGATAATTGCAACGGAATGGCAACTACGCATACATTCATGTAAAATTAAAAACCAGTTAATACTGACTAAAGGCGTTATTTGGTACTTAAATCATTCTATCAACTAATATTCGAGGTTCATAAATTCTGTTATTGTTGTCGAAGGCATTAAACTAAGAAACGAAAACTCAACAAAACCAAAACCATTTTTAAATTGTGAACAAAAAATTGTTGTTTAATTGAATTTGTCATTATGAGATTTGAAAATATAAATGTTTAAAGCAAAACCGAAACCGTAATACATATAAATATGTACACATGTGTAATTCATATATATATCTGTATATCTCTGAGTCCCGAAAAAAAACAAGGCGTAAAATAAATAACGAAATTGTTCGAAAAGCTTCAAACTTGGATAGAAAAAAGACAAATATTTTGGGTTTAAAACAAAAAACACTGACGAAAAGGCTCACAGGACACAACACCACACATCAGCACACACATACATATATGTTATTTTGTATGAAAAATCTACAAAGAATTTCACCTAATAGTTTAAAACATATGAAAACTATTGACGATTAGAAAAAGTAAAGAACAAAAATCCACATGTTTGCGAAAAGCCTAAGTGTTAAGGTAAAATAATGAAACCGCATACATGCATAAATTAATTATAAATGAATATAAACTTGCTCATTATTCTAATTATAAACCGAAAATTATAAGTAACTGGTAATACTTAAATAATTAAACCCAAGTTAAGATTAATACAACATGAAACAGGAAGAAAACAGCTAAAAATATTATAAAACAAAATATTATTAACGATGGAACAGAAAACATAAAACAAATGAAAAAAAAGAATGAAAAATAAATGAAAAAAGTATTAACTAAGATTGTTGTCTTTTATTTCCTTTATTAGAGAGGAAGGCAACAGTGCGTATGAGTGATATTACAAGGGTGACCTCTAAGCACGTGTTTCTTAGCTTTATAATCTGATGGCGCTTAATAATCCTTATAATTAACTACTTTATTTATTAAATTGTATTTTGTTTAATTTATACTTATTTTTAGACCACTGACGGTCCTTTATGACCTAGTTAATACATCACGATATCGGATAGTGCTCGGCCACCACGTTGCGATCAGGCAGTCAGCCATACGCTTATACAATCGATGTTCGTGATTTTCAATATCTTTTATCTTTAAAACCCTTGCAAAGCAATCAGTAATCGAGCGAAAATTAATTAAAACCCATCGTATCGTTCAGTCCTCGAAAAGAACGCCTCAAATCAAACCATTATTCGCCAAGATTGATGATTGAACCTGGGGAACGTAATGTAAACACGCACTCGTCCACGCACTTATCACCTACGCTGGGTGGAGGGCAGAGCGGGGCACTTGAACTTGCCCCCGGGTACTGATAAGGGACCATGTTCGGCACGCGCTCGGACCGACCGTGTGGTAATTGCAATTTGGGATTCGGGTTGCTGTGTCATCCAAGGCAATCCATACATTATGTGGCAACTTTTTGTACGATGTGGCCGATGATGAGGTACATTTCCTTTTCTTCCGCTTCAGTTTCGTTCGTGCATCATCAGATTAGATTCCTCCAATCAAATGATGTTTGGTTTTTTTCCTATGTTTTTTATTTCTTGTTTCTTTTGGTATCAAAAAAAAATTTGGTGGTCGAGGTTATGGCAAGGCTACACGTGCCCCTAATACTACTGTGAAATCGGTTTTATTTGGTTTGCATATTATTGTTTTTATTAATGTTTGGTTGTATGCCCCTTATCTCGGATCCATAACCAAATGGTGCACTTAGATTCTTAATCATTGCCCCGAAGTTTGTTGCGCTAATTTGTTAACTGATAATATTTTTAATGTTTAGACTTTGTTTCGCCTTTCCAATATATGATTCACTTGAATCGTACTTATGCGTATTATAGATTATTTAATCCTATATCAGTTCTATTTAAAAAATATTTATTTTCTCGGAAATAAACCATTTATTTATCTGGAGGGCTTTCCGCTCTACTAAACTGTCTCATCACAGTCTAAATTTATTGACTGACCACATCTTGAGGCGCAGATGGATATGTTAATACTACTTTTTAGCACCTCTTCATTAGATTTTCGGCATGTGGCACCTCGTGGCTGGTATCTCTCTTGGAAAAGCATAAATCTGACCACAGAGATCGCCAAATATACGTGTATATTAGTGACAAAATATTTGCTATGCAATAAAGCTAAAATTAGAGGGGACAATGTATATTTTTAACTCTAAAAAGAAAGGCAAATCTTGCCAAATGCGTCATCGATTGGACCGAAACCGAAACGAGATACGACGTCAGGGCTTAGAATTTGTTAAATAAATGCATCATCTCGGTCGAAATTCTTTTGAGGGACACGCGTTGCATGCGTGTCACAGGAGAGGGGCACTTCGCATTAATTGCTCTTTACTGCAGCCGAATGATTGAGGGAATTGAGTGAACACAATTCGATAAAATTCGAATTTGGTTCACACGTCTGGCGCATGACTCGTAAGTGGACTTTGCGCCCAAGAAAAATCTTAATTTACTCTGTCATTCGCGTGGCTCGGTTTCGAGTAAAAAATAGATGATGTCGTCTAGTCTGGCTGTCTGCGGCTGTGACTCTGAATGCAAGCGATTCGGGGGGTACGAAGTCCAGATGTCAATTCCCAGCCCATCATCGCCTCTCGTACAATGTCGTTCGGGGCCTCGTAATTACTTCACTTCAATATCAATTGCCACACATTTACAAAGGAAACGGAAAGTTCCCCCAACGAACTGATTAAATGCTCAATTCAAATTTTAATTAATTTGAATTCTTGCAGGTTATTTGCGGTTATTTTCGGGTCTCTTCAGATTATCTTCTCTCGAGGATTCACGCTGGGCCCACATGGCCAGACCACAATCGGCGTAACACCTGTCCATATAGCAGAGCCTCCAAAATTTAATACATGTTAATGGGACAGTATCATTTTTGAGTTTTTAGTTTCCCTTTTGACTTATAGGTTTTGTGGCTTAGAATTGTTTACATTTTATAGTTTTCTTAAAGCTTGTATTTCCGAATTCAAAGTTTACTTTTAGTCAGTTTCCGTAAACGTATCAACCTTGTCTAATTAATTATTGCGCTACTAATCTGCCCTCCAATGAGTTTTTTGTTTTTGTTTGCAATTAAATTTCTTTGTGTTCTTATTTATAATTAAATCGAAAGTCGTGGGTGTTATCAATGGTTATCAAAATATATATAAATAAAAACTGTATATTTGTGTTTATGTCTGGCCACTTTCCGGTTGTCAACAAGAAATCCTCTGTAATCAGAGGACTTTGTTCGTTGGCCCCCATCTAACCTGTAAACCGAAACCATAGTAATAATTTTTGAAAGTTTTCAAACTAATTTTTGGGAATTTATAAGAAGTATTAACAATTGCCATATTTTTATGATATTAAAGAAAATTCAAACTCTCAGTTAACAAGTCCATACCCTATATCATTAATGTTTTCGATTTAATATAAAAACTATTGCGTTATATTTCTGTAGGTCTCTCAAATACCCTCAGTAAGGGTATTCAATAAAAACAAATTCTTAATTAATAGCTTGAGAATAAATGATTTCACATTTAAATAGTTTTTAAAATAAAAATTATAGAGGCCCGACAAAGATAAGCTTCTGTGACGTGTTCAGAAGCACGCGCGCCAGTTAGAAATTAGACTTAGGTTGGGAACAGATCGTGATTCGATCCTGAGCTACTTTGTATAATATAGTTCATTAGACAATTGTTTTATTTTATTTGATTGAGGTGAACGCATTGTGTCTACAGTAAAACTGTAGACAGACCTAATCTGTCGATAGTCATGCGCCCTGAAAGTGAAACCTCTAAAAACATTGGTAGGAATTTAATAAAAGTCTATAATTTGCATAGTCTATAGACTCGATTTGTAATCCTAGTGGATTTCCATGTAGATCCAGCATGCTCTACGGGCGTGAATACTCCAAATTATTCGATCACACATGCTAATCAATGGAACCAGATGGCAAGGGGAAAACAATAACCTTAAGAACGTCGTAATTGCCCCTCGATAAGTGGCTACTAGCCATTGGGCAGTGGTCAGTGGCTAAACAAAAATAAATCGATTACCTCCCAGAAGAGCCCCTTTCACTTATCAACGATGGGGAAAGCGATGGGGGCTGGGGGCTGGGGGCGATCGTCGCTGGTGCGAAAGCATTAGCCATTAAAGACATGTCCGCTATCAGACGACAGGCCGGCAGGTTCCGAACTTTGGACCCGTTGGACCAAGTCCCCCCATCAGTCGGGCAAGGCAGAATACCCCGCCAGTGGATGACTACCAGCCCCAGCCGACGTCAGCTGTGACGAATTGCCCCCATCGAGCTCCAACAGCGAGCTCCAACATCGAACATGATACGTGGGGCTTGGAGCATGGAACTTGGTTTGATGCTCGGCGTGGGTGTTCGATGCAGGAGGCGAACGGAACCGGATTTCGGATCGGTTCCACCGTAGCCATTGCACCTTATCAGTTATCAGCTCAGCAGCTCTCTCCCGGCTCTCAATTAAAAAAATAAAAATATTGCGCATCACTTAATAAGTCACAGCACCGTCGAAGGAGTGCGCCAATCATTTATGTATGTCTGTTATCAAACAACGCGCCTGTCTGCGGGCTGCAGACTGGGCCATACCCATACCCATACCCGTACCCGTACCCACTCTCGCACCCATTCCCCATCACACCCATACAGCTACAGATACAGATACAGATTGTCATACCAATTCCAGGGCAGCCTTTGCGGTTGCTGTCGCCCATCGTTGAATTATTCACACGCAGACGTTCTCGACGATCGGACCAAAATCCAATAATTTTATACGACCAGTAACCCCAGTTGGGTGACAAATACAGTTTAAAAATCCTGATAAATAGTGCTCTAGGTGGAATTCCACGAAAAACACCTCGTCGTCATTAAAAAAAGGGGAAAACATAAGGCCTTTGTATTTGTTGAATAAAATAGTGGCTTGTCACTCTGAGGAGATCAAGTTCAAATGGTGAAATAAAAACAATGATAAGTCAGTGCAAATGAATTGCAAAAAGGCACAAAATAAGCAAAAACTGATTTTCTAAAATTCAAGGACGTTCTAAAAGCAACAATATTAAAAGGCTTAAAGGGCTTACTTTTTTTTTATAAACCACCAATGGATTACTAACTAAGGTGAGTTATATAATGCTACAATTTGGTTTTAAAGAATATTCCAGCAGTTTAAATCAAAGAAATTATTACGAACTTTATGGCTTAATAAAAGTTTATAGAGATATAAAAATTATATTCCCATGAAACACATTATTCAGCAAAATGTGGGTAATTGGGAGTTTTCCCAAGACATAAAAAGTGAAATATTTGATTGAAGTCTAATATGTTACTTTTGATAGGTTTATCATCGATTGATTAGTAAATGGCCTTTTTTCAATATACTTTTCATAACCTAAAAATTGTATTACCTGAAGTGTGACACATTTGTGGAATTTTTGGCAAAAAAAACGTATTCCCAAGTGAATTTAGAAAATCCTGAAATTTATTTGAACATCAGCAGTCAGCGTGTGGGGGAAAAAGTATTAAGGCAGATTAATTTGCGTTGCTGCTGCCAATCGGGGCAATCTCCGTGAGCGGTTCCAAAGTTCACTAGCGAGACATGCTGCCAGGCGGTGATCACCGTACCCAGTAAACAGAATGTACAGCAGCGTTTGGGAGATTTATTGCCAAAAACCAAGCCAGGAGACAGCGCATTTTTCGCAGTGCATTCAACTGCTGGCGAAAGAAATGCAAGTGATAATGCCCGCCAATTACGATAGCCCCAGCCGCTGCCCCGTAATTAATGCGAAAATGATACTGGGAGTTGTGCGGATGGAAAACCCCCAAGAAGAGTCGTCAAGTCAGTCGGGGAGCCACTCAATGCTGCTGTACTTTGCACCTCCCATCGCTCTGTCAGAGCTCGGTGCAGTGCCGAGCCGACCAGAGCAACTCATCTTGAAATCCAACTCGAAAACCCAACTAAAAAAAAAATAAAAAGCTCCGATTTGCATTGGCTGGCGTTGGCAACCGGGAGCCCGTCGCGATCACGCGCTGTCAATGTGGTCAGTGACGTCGCTGTAGCGCTGCCCCACTCGCTGGGCCTCGAGTGACCTTCTTCGGGTTCTGCCCCTTAGCACAGTTATCACCCCTTTGCCACGCATTCCGACGAGCCACACGCCTTTGGTCGATTTCTGCTACTGATAACTCGGACAGTGCAGAGCCTTGATTGCGTCAAAAAGTGTGCCGCATGTCACGTGTGTGGTGATGCCCGCTGCCACTTCCTCATCCGATCCCGTCCAATCGGCTTTTGATCTGTTATGACAGCCCCCCTGCTGCCATGATCGGCGTCATTTGGGGTGATGGGGTAAAAACTGAGATTTGGGAACGTGGCAAACCACGTCGTTTGTCGTTTGTGGAAAAATATGCGATGAGTTGATAAGTACGGCGACCTATGTTTAAAATCAAGGACGAAAAATAATTCTTAATAATATTTTAATAAATTTATATAACTTGTTAAATGCCAAAACCCAAAATGTACAGACATAACCTGTATTTTGTAATATCCTTTTGAATCAGCCCCCACTCAGGTTTCATTAATCTGTCATTCAACTCTTGTACAAAGTTGCAAAAACGCCTATCTGTACAGAATTCTTAGTATTTATTTGAATTTAATTAATGCCTATACACAGTTAGTTTCTATTTAATATGATGATCTAATTTTTTCTAGAAGTTCTCAGCCTACGAGTGTGAAGAAGGCACGTGTTCCGTTTTAAAACCCCATTTAAATCGAAAGCTGTACAACTCGTGATTTGCTTTGGCCTTCATTTTAGTTTTCTTGACCTTACCCGACTGTTCCACATTTAGCCTAGAACGAAAAGAAAAAAAAAAAAAAAAATCTGGCTGATGAAATTCCCAAACAGAAATATATGTATATTCGCCCGTGAATCGCCCACTTAAAACCCCCATAAATTTTCCAACCGCCACACTTTCATTTGAATATTCCCCCTTATTGGAAATCGGAAAGTAAAGGCAAAAGTTGACGATTTGAGAGGCGGCGCCAATCATTTAGAATGCAAGTGCTTTTTTAATCGGTCGCTTCGATTACCCAAATCCGATTAACTCATATACTAGTAAGCATCGTTAATTGGTCGTTGGATTCGTGCCATATTTCATGCTCCCGTTTATATGAAAAGAAAAAAAAAAGTCGTACTGACACAAAACTGGCAAGTACAACCATAAAATATTTGAGGTGGGGCGCAAAAGGGGGAGGCTCTTATCAGCAACGTGTTCACTATTAATTGATTGACACACAATCGCGTCGGATCATCAAAGTAAAGCTTGATTGCGCTTCGGGGTAATTAGCATGAATGGCTATTCGGCCCGATCCGATCCGATACGATCCAATCCGATCCGATTGAATTCCATCCGCTTCAATCATAAATTCAATCGAAACCAAAATTGCCCATTGCGGCTAAACGCTTCCGAAAAATGAAACGTGACCGGCGCCGTCTAGGGGCGTGGCACTTACAGGTGGGCTGCGGAACCAAAAATAAAACTGCAAGCAAGAAATTTTATGCAGATCGCATTTTAAAATTTTTTTTTTTAGCATTTTCTTGAGGCTGATGCAATGAGCGAGACAATTTGCATATGCACTTGTCTTTGCCGAGAGCGACATGTAACCGTAACCGTGGTCTCGGTCTCAGAGGTCTGGGAATTCGAGTTATAGCCGCGTAATCGCATACCGATCGGTCTATGTTCGGGTGACTTCGGCTCGTATTCTCTCTCTGTCTGGCCCGCTTGCGGAACGATCAATCAGCGGCCATCGTCACATAAATTGTTCTACTAATCAGCCAACCGCTTCATTCATTCACAACTCGTTTGCGCTGTCGCATGTCCGAAAGGAAGCTAATAAAAAATATATATACTCCCGATCCGTATAAGCGGCCGAAAAAAAAAAATAAGAAGCTCCTCAGAGCTCGCGTTTCGTGTCCGGGTTCAAAGTGATCACCGTTGCCCCCCCCGGCGACTTGGGTGCCAAGTCATCAAATTCCAATAAAGCCAACCGGAGTGCCCCACGGTACGTGTGTGGTCCGTCTAATTGAGACCTAATTGCACCTGCTTATCAGCAACCCTGCTCGAAACTACGCTCCGGTTTAGGTCCTGGACCGGACCGATTAGCAGCCACAACCTGCGGGCTGTGCGCAATTTCGTTGAGATAACCTTAACAAATAAAATTTGTGCACGTTTTGCTTGAGATTTTAAAGCGAAACTAAATCTTTTTTAAATTAATGTCAAAGAATATTTGCACTTTGTCTCGTTATCGTTTTGAGCTTGGCAAGTAAATAAATGACGAAATACCTGAAAGAATTTAGTGAGATTTTCTTTTGAAAAGTGATAAAATTAAAGAGAATTTACAATTAAAAAAAAAACTTAATTTTATGAAAATGATTTCATGTATATTAATAAAAATATAATTGTCTTTTATTTGCAGACATAAATATTAGAAATCTATAAACTTTAAATCATGCATCGTCGAGGCGAATAATTTGTGATAAATTATAGAAAATTAAAAAAACGTGATTGAAGAAAACGTTAAAACGGCACAACCCAGTGAGCACAGATTCAATTCTATGTGTTTTGTAATTGAAGAAAGGACAGTTATTGATGTGTTAATGCTGCCAAACAGATAGTTATCAGCGCCATTCTAAAAGTCAAATTTGAGTGACAAAAAATTAACCAACAAAGTAATTAAATTTACAAACCCATTTCCGAAAAAATATCAAACAAAGAAAATGGCGAAATACTTTATTACTCTGGTGCTGTTGGTGTGCCTGGCCTTGGAGAATAATAACATTTACAATCGCCTGCATGCCCGATCGCATCCCAGCTCCCGTGGCGACATCCTGCGTCCGCACCCCAAGCACCAGCCACATCCTCTAGTGCAGCACACCTCTCAGCAGCTGCAACAGCAGCACCACATCCGCCAAAAGAGATCAAGGCAGTTGAAGCATGCAGAACCGGATCCAACCAGCGAGGAGGACGAAGCACCGATCAGCCAGGAAGAGTACTACGCCAGACTGAGGCGACATGTCCTGCATCAGCAGGAGCACCTGATGGAGCAGGAGCGTAGCTACAACCACCATGCCCCGGAGCACTTGCCGTTGCCTCATCTGTGGCAGCTCCTGCTCGAGCAGGACGAAAAGGACCACCGCAACCAAAACCCAATCGAGAGCGATGACTATCCCCGCATGTTTGGTGATGCCCCCCAAGTTGCATCCTCCTCATCCGACGATCTATCCGATCTGGACCTAACTCCTTTGGAATTTGCCCGAAATGAACTAATGGCAGAGGATCGCAGGCACCAGCTGGAAGAGGAGCTGGAGCAGAAGCACGAGAAGGACCAGGAAGTAGAGCCTGAGCCACCAGTAGTACCCGATGCCCATTTGCTGGAGAAAAATATCACCATTTCAGTAAAGTCCAGCGGCGGCGGCTGTCCCAAATGCGAAAGCAATCGCCAAGTAGAGCACATCACTGAGGAGCAGCTAACCCACCTCCGCATTGAGTTCGTGAAACAGCAGATCCTGGAGAAGCTACGCCTTAAAGAAAGCCCAAAGGTGGCTGCCGTGGAGCTCCCGAAACCCATTTTCGAGGGTGTGACTCTCTCCCATCCTGATGACTCCACCAAAAACAAGGAACTCGACGATTATTATGCACGAACCAGCAAAAAGTTTATACTGCTTAATAGAGGTGAGTGATCTTTACAATAAAATTTATAATTTAAATAATAGCTTACTTTAAAAGATAGTATTAAAATTAATTTATTATTTATTATTTTCAGAGCATGTTGAATGCCAGCGCATGGGTTCGAAGCCGTCAATGTGCTTTAGTTTCAAGATCGATGATCCGAATACCGAAGGATTCGATGTTAGCACCGCCGTTCTGTGGCTCTACAAGAACAAGCAGAATCGCACCGCAGTGGTTGAGGAAGGTCCCCAACTGAACAGCACCCAGAAGCAGCAGACAATCGTGGTCTCTGAGGTGGAGGTGGAGCAACAGGAAGACTCCAAGTATTTGCCAGTGGCCAAAACCATTGCCATTCAGTCGGTGGATGCACAAGGTAAGCATCGTCACACTCTAATCAATGAAAATTTTAAAAGAATCGAATCAGCACGTTTGGACCTTTGATCAGCAGTTAAGCTGCCAAAACTGACCCTAATAGCCCTAGGAAAGAAATCAAATTCAGTGACACCCTCTATATTATAGGGGAATTAAAAAAAAAATGGTATTGCTGGCAGATAAGTGGCAACGTTGACAACCGCTGACCGCTTCATCATTGTTTGTTTTTTCAATTAGACAGATCATTTCGCAGATTCGTGATAGGACCGCCGCAGATTCGTGTGGGTGAATAACATGACAAAATACTGAAAACACTGAACTTTGGCCAAAAGGCATCAACGTCCGTCTTACCCCCGAAAATAGGAGTTTCTGGGGTCATTCGCTTGATAAGAAAAAACATTTCAAAATATTATTCTAATTGAAAAGTAAACAAGCCAAAGGGAAAAAGCTTCTCCTGGTCTAGGCTTTAAAGGGTATTTATCAAGTAAACTAACCTTTTTTTCTTGATCTATATTTTTAGATGAGTGGATGAAAATCGACATCGAATGGCCCATCAAGCGCTGGATAGGCAGCCACGAACTGAGCCATCTCATCCATATATCCTGCGAGTCCTGCGACGTCAGCAGCATGGAGGAGATCATTTCGGTGGACAAGGACTATCGACCATTCATCATGATCGATACGCAGAGCCGGCGAACGAAATCCCGCCAGAAGCGAAGCATTAATTGTTCCAGTGGCGTTACCGAGTGCTGTCGGGAGCAGCTTTACATCTCCTTCAAGGAAATCGGCTGGAGCAACTGGATCCTGCAGCCGGAGGGCTACAATGCCTATTTCTGTAGAGGATCTTGCAGCTCAGTGGCGAGCGTAACGCAAGCAGCCTCCCATCACAGCTCCTTAATGGTAAGAGTCACAGTCTTAATATACTTATTCTACAAAAACTAATAAATGTTTCATTTATTTTCAGAAAATTCTATCGACAAACAATGCAAACAAGTCGCTAGAGTTGGTGCCTTGCTGCACCGCCAAACAGTATTCCTCGCTGCAGCTGGTCGTGATGGATTCGAGCAACACGGCCACGTTGAAGACCCTGCCCAACATGGTAGTGGAGTCGTGCGGCTGCAGATAGTCGGTGTCTGGACCAGAGATCTACACTAGTTCCGCTGGCTATCAACCAACTAACATATCGGACAAATTAGACGTAGCTTTCACTCCATTTCACCTAGAGTTCAGATCCATTTCTCTTCAATTAATTTAAACTCATTTTCCAGGCATTTACATTAGTGTTATTAAATTAATGATAGTTATCCTAAGAGCATGCGCTGCCATTAGTTTTAGTTGCAATTAATTAATGCCTTAACATAAAGCTAATGTAAAAGGTACTTAAGCGCTCGAAGTATATAGGAAGTTAGCCACTAGCTCAAATCAGTTAGGAGTAATAATAGTTAACTAAAATTAGTTGGATTGTGAAGTAGAGCGTATTTAATATTTGATGATGAAAAAAGTATAGAAAAAATATAAATAAAACTCTTTTGAAAATAAAAAACCTTTAGTAATGAGTCGGGGGAGGGGGATCTAAGAACGAAAAGGTATAACTTTCGCCTTTCGGATATTAGCCAAGTTATGGAAAAGTTCTGGAAAACCATGTTAACCAAGCTAAGAACAGAATATCCAAATAGTTTACTTGGTTACCTATCAAATATTTCAGTTAATTTTTGTCGGATTTGGAAAAGGATTACCATTTAGTAATCAGGAAACTCATTGCCTTTATTCTGCATCAAAACATTACAAAAATTTGAAATAAAATTTTTGCTCGTGTTTTAGCCAAAATCATGATGGTAACATCCTATGAAAATTTGCAAAATTGGGGTAAGATTTTAGTTGGCCAGGTTTTGATGCAGAATTATTCTACTACTAGGAGATCTAAGACCGGGAAGGTATAACAATCAATGATAGGATAATTATTTTTCGAGTTATGGATGTTTTTCTGAAAAAAAAATCCCGCCGGAAACCCTTCTTGACCAAGCTAAGAACAGGATGTCGGAAATTATTACTTTTGAGACACTTCCTAGCACATATTTTAGTTAGTTCAGTTGTGTGTATTAACCTGTTTTTTCTACCATAGTTCCAATCACTATAATTTGCTTCCTTCGTAAAGATTCTCTCTCACATTTGCTATATTCCTATGATTTCAAAACCTTCTGGTCAAATTTGTTTTGTATTCTTGTCAGACTAAAAGGTATAACTTTAAAAAATTGTATCAAAATTTTAGTTTTTTTTAAATAAAAAAAATGGCTCAATCTGCGACTCCTGTGCTGAAGGAGGGCTCTACCCAACTAGATCACATCTGCGAGCTAGAGATCTCCCACCCAGCCACGCACCATCGTCTGGTTTCCTTGATAGCAACTATATCCCATAGTTCGCGGAACCTGGACACAATCTACCACATGATATTAAAGGGCGTTAACATTTTCCGGCTGAACTTTTCTCACGAGTCCCACGAGATGCATTCGAAGACCCTTGAGCTGGTGCATGAGGCTCTCGAGCGGATCCAGCATGAGACAGGACACCTACGAACAGTGGCCATAGCGGCGGACACTCGAGGACCTCAGATCCGAACAGGATTGCTGGATGGAGAGGTGTTTCTGCGCAGCGGTGACAACATACGACTTTCCATTAATCGGGATCTGTACGACAAAGGAAACAAGGAGGCTGTCTATGTCGACTACATGAACATCATCAATCTGACCAAGACGGGTGATCGATTGTTCATAGACGATGGAAAGCTTCTGCTCCACATTATGGAAGTGGGCGTGGACGGGCTACTCTGCGAGGTCATTCAGGGCGGACAGTTGAACAATAATTGCAACGTCATCCTGCCTGAGGTTGAGATAGACCTGCCGGCGGTCTCCGAGAAGGACATGTACGACATTCAGTTCAGCATGAAAGCCAATGTAGACTTTCTCTTTGCGTCGGCTGTTCGCAGTGCCAAGAATGTGAAGGAACTTCGCACTGTTCTGGGTGAGAAGGGGAAGCACATCAAGATCATTGCCAAAATGGACAGCAAGATCGCCCTCAGTCGCTTCTCAGAAATAATGCGAGCGGCAGATGGTCTACTCTTGTCGAGGGCTGATCTCGGCACCCAGATACCCATGGAGAAGCTGTTCATCACCCAGAAGAGCATCCTGGGCCAGTGCAACAAGGCAGGCAAGCCGGTGATTGTGGCCTCCAATATACTGGAAACTATGCGATACCAACTTCAGCCCACTCGGGCAGAGTGCTTTGATCTGGCCAATGCTATTATCGATGGAGCGGACTGCATAATGCTCTCCTCGGAGGTGGCCATCGGGCCCTATCCCAACGAAACCGTAGCCACCTGCGACAAGCTGTGCCGCGAGGCGGAAAAGGTTCTCTGGTTTCGGGATCTCTTCTCGGACCTAGTTAGCGAGGTTCGCGGCGAGCTGGACGCTGCCCATTCGCTGGCCATAGCCTCCGTGGAAACGGCCAAGCGCACCAATGCCACCCTCATTGTGGTGCTGACCAGTTCGGGACGTTCCGCCACCTTGATTAGCAAGTTCCGTCCCCGGTGTCCCATCCTGGCACTTACTCGTTGCGAAAGGACCGCCCGCTGGGTGTATATACACCGGGGTATCCTCCCCGTGGTCTACACTTCTGAACCGAGCAACGACTACACCACGGATGTAGATTCCAGGGTCCAGTTTGCCCTCACCATCGCCAAGAAAGCGGACATCATTAATGACGGGGATCCCATTGTCATTGTGAGTGCCTGGAAGGATGGAGGTGGATTCACGAATAATGTGCGCGTGGTGTACGCTTTCTTCGAGGCGGATAACGTGGACTGCCTCTTCCGGTCGGATAGGCGGCACTCCGTTAAAAACACCAACCTGCAGAAGGAGGGACAGAAAGTCATTGACAGTAAGTACATATTTGTATAATGCTTTTCTTTAATTCCTTAATTTAATTTATTTTACAGCCAAGAAAAGTGTTCAAATATAGATCCTTCGTAAATATTTTGTTCCACATGATGTGATCGAGAAAAAAAAATAGTTTCAGCGAGTCTCATAAAAAGTAAATAAAGTGTTACGTTTATTTTTACAAAATCAAATTTGGCCTAAATTAGTTTTATTTTAAAAAATATAATATAAATCTAGTACAAATTTGTTAAATATTTTAACAATGTCAGGGAGTGAAAAGCATTTCTAGAAAATTCATAGGCTAGGAAAGCAAATCGGCCGTTTTGTTTGGGAGTAGCTTGCCTCAAGCCATAATTAATCAACTCCAAAGCTCCCAAGACACTGCACCTTCGCAAAAATGTCGACTCCTTGCTTCTTCTGCAATAAAAACATTAGTATTTGATATGCCATAGCCCTAAAAAGGGATAATTACTGCTTTGATAGGGGGGATGCCAAAGCCATTCCCATTAGGTTTCCCAAATCTCGGGTCAGTATAAATATGGGACTAGCCTCATGGCGCATGAAGGTGGCTTCGGGACACCATTTGAAAGCCTGAAAAGGACATAAGATATTAAAGCTTTAAACTTTATAAGCTTGTGAATACTCACCTCTCTCACAGACCAATGTGGATCGATGCTAAGATGCAGCTTAAGAAAATAAACTCCTATAGCGATTCCTCCTAAAATGATAACCACCATCACAGCACTTCGTCGTCGTGTGGAATATAGGTACTTTATGTTTCCCTCAAAGCAATTTAAAGCTCTGATGCCAAAGTAACTGCCCAGAACGCACTGGTGTAGGAACTCGGTGGCCAGGAAGAGACGGCTTAGCCACATGCAGACCACCACACTGACAATCAAAGGATATAGAAAAAAACGCCAAATGGAGGAACGCCAGTACACATATCTTTGCCAGCAGTGAACGAAGAAAAAGGATGCCAGGATCAGAACAAATACGGTGAAGGTCATTGAGTGGCCACAGGGAAGCCCGCCGCTGGTTTCACAACTCAGATTATTGCTTTCCAGAGCAACCTGCGGCTTGTTAAGCACTTGACCTTTGGCGTATTGCTCTCTGAGCCACCACAAAGGACGCATTTCTGGATAGATCCTGAAAAAACATATACATTTTTATAAAATGGTTAATTTATAGCTTACAAAATTTAAAAAGAATCAAGGTACTTCATTTTCTTTCGGGTTTTTACAAAATAAACACATTTTAAACTTAAAAGGGCTCAGTGCCTAAGAGGACCATTATTTTGTAGCCTACTTTTTTGGGCATGAAGCCCTTGTGTCCTCCAACGATTAAATAACTTGGAACTCTATTCTCCTATACCAAAACTGAACTTTCAAAGGCTTATCTATTAGATTTTAAACTCAATTTTCTTTAAAGCATACCACTTCTCAAAGGAGTTCAAAGTGCTGACCAGAGTAACCGCCGAGAGCAAGTGCGTGAGTAGCTCCTGACTATAGATGCCGGATAGAGGTATTAGGAGATTAAAAAGAATACTGGGCTCCAGATAAATGCTCATAAATCGCCACAAGGGCTCCGCAAAACTTAATCTGAAATTAATGAAACTTAGCTAAGAGAGGGCTTCCAGAAAACACAACCAAAACGAACCGCTCCTGGGCCCATTCGTTGATGCAAAGTTCCCGGTCGAGTAAGGTGCTGTAGGTGTCCATCACCAACAGTCTTAGATTCTCCATGGTTTGGTTTCTTTATTTATTTATTTATTTCGGAAAGCAAAAACCGACTAAACGTAAAAAATAAACATTTGTGATTGCTTGTTTGGGGTGACAGTCATCCTTAAACAGCTGTTTCCGGCGCATGCGCAGTCATTAATCGGAAACTGCTTGATGGCGCCATTTTGAAACCCATTTTGAAACTCGATTCTTTGCGCCTATTCAACATAATCGTAAATTTTTAATAAATAATGCGAATGCTTTACAAAAACTGATAACAAATCATATTTTCAATAAATACACATATACACACATACACATATATAAGTAGAGGCCGTTTTGTTGTTCTTTCATTTGTTTCTCTTGCTGGTTTTTTGTATCAATGGGATAATTTTTCATAATGCACTAAACGAAACTTGACTAAAATACGATTGAACGCGTAGCTTAACATTAAGAGATATAGATAGAGATAGCGATTTAAGTAAATTGGTTAAACTAATGAATGAATCTTAAGAATCTAAAGAAATCTTAAGAATTATCTGTCGTTCAGAGTGAGGCCGGCAGGTAGAACGGAGGATGACAGGGCCCTCCCGGCAGTTGGCAGGATTGAAGTACAAATCGCTGGCGAACACTTAGCCAAAGTTCTCAAAGTGGTGAATGAAATAAGGCAATTTTCGTGTTTTATTCACTTCATCACAGGCAGACATCACGCTCTTGGTCAGCGGTCGTGGGCCGCAGGAGAAGACTCCTATTTTAGATACCTAAAAAATACAAATGATAAATTACTTTTATGTTTATGAAAAAGGTATAAAAATAACTCACATAAGAGTGCTTCTTTTGAACAAACTTCAGGAAGCTGGACATATCCGGTCGCCCGAAGTGATTGACTGCCTTAAGACCCGTAAATATGGAAGTCTTTGACAGTCGCTGGAAGTGGTTTTCACAGATGTACTGAAAACAAAACATATATATTTATTAATAAATAAAATCTACAACATAAAAGTTTCATCAAATACTTACCAACATTGTTGTTCGCAGATCAAATTTGTGGAAGAACTGCGTGATGAATATGTGTATTTCCAGCACATTGGTTACATCCTTCTTCTCCACATCGCGTAGCACATCGATGAACCATTCAAAGTGCTTGTGCGAGGGACAGATCCACAGGAAGTACACCTTCTTACAGGCAACTCCCGAGTACCGATTGGTACTGGTTCCAAAGACCAGATCGTTGAGAATGGACGCGTACGGGGTCACCCCGATGCCACCGCCCACCATGACGGCCACCTCGAACTTGTACCAGTCCTGATTACCGCCCCCGAACGGTCCTTCGATGCGGATCTTGGGCTGGTCCTCTGGATTGTAGTTGCAGGGATCGAAGTAGTTTCGCAACTTCCAAGTCCATGGTCCCTGGGCCTTAATGTGGCAGCTGAGGAAGTTCTCGTGCGGGGCGGAGGTCAGCGTAAAACTGTGCATCTCATGCGGCCTGAATGCTGTGCACGACAGACGCACCCACTGGCCAGACAGGTACTTCAGGTTGGGCGGCCGATAAAACTTGATCTTGATTACATCCGAGGGCAGAAGGTCGGTTTCAATTACATCCAGTGCCATGTACTTGGTGCGCAGGGAGACGATCTTGTCCAGGGTGTAGACAATGCCCGGACCCAGGAAGAACATCCAGAAGCGAGGTGGACCTGTCAGTCTGGCCAGCCCGTGGATCAGACTTAGCAAGTAAAGGCCGATGTAGAGCGTGTGCATATTCCAGAAGAAGTTGTACGCCTTCTTTCGTATCGTGGGATGGGCAAACACAAAGATGATGCACATGATGATGAAGAGAAGGACGCCTGTTGTGCCAGTTACTGTCTGGAAGAGCCAGAAGGTGATGTCTGGCTTATAGTCCGAGGCGAAGTGCACCTCCCGGGTCAGGCAGCGCAGATTCTCATGCGACTGGGTAGACACATGGTAGAAGTTGACTATGTGACCCACGGTGTGCAGCACGGAGAAGAAGAGCGCCGTGCAGGCTGCAATCTTGTGGAACTGGATATGCGAATCCAATGGAATGTACTGCTGGATGGGGAACTCTTTCAGCTTGGTGATGAGGTTCCTATAGAAAATGCGACTCAATTAGCATTGATTCAGCTTATAGAATGAGGTTTCTTACCTTGACATAGTCAGAAGCAGCAGAGAGTAGCAGAACGAAAGCGAGGCGGCAGATCCTCTGGTGATGGCAATGCCTACACCCATAATGTGCCTCAAATCCGTGTGTTCAGCCATAAAGGAATAGTGAATGAATCGCTCCACAAACAGGACAATGGTCACCACGTAGAAGAGGAAAAGATAGAAAATGTTCTGGCGGTTCTCCTCGAGGAACGTGATGTAAGCATCCCACTTGCCCAGCAGCCAGTGACGCGGCTTGTCCTGCATCGGTTCAATATTAAAGGACGTCATACGTGCCACATTCGTGGAGGTGTCCAAGAAGTTCTGTTTGGCGCCCTTGCAATCCAGTCCAATGGCCACAAAGTCACCCTTGTATTCCTTCATCATGAGCTTAAAGTCCTGATAGGTTAGGTGGTTCTTGTGCTCCAAGCCCACGTCCTGAAACATGCCATCTATCAGCTCGGTGACCTGGTCATCGCCCAGGCTCGTTGTCCTTGCGATCTCCACAAGGGATCGCATCATCTCGCTCAGCTCGCCCTTGTCGATGACTCCATTGCGATCGTTGTCGCACATGTCGAAAATAATCCTCAGCTTGTCGTCCGTCTTTCCGCGCGAGAACAGCACCACAGTCTCCAGAAACTCTTGAAAACTGATTCGGCCGTCTTGGTCCTTGTCCACGATGTTGAACATTTTGCGGACAAACATGTCGTTCGGTTTCATTCCCAGAGCAGCGGCAAACTCCGCCTTGGACAGACTAGTGCGCATCACGGTCATCACCTCTCCGTCGCTGGAGGCATCCGACCGCCTTCGTCGTTCCCCTGGCCGCAGGCCAAAGGTCAGGGCGTAGGCCTCGCGGAAGAAGTACTCCAACCGCTTCTGGCGACGTTCGCGGGTCTCGGCACGGGCCAGCATGATGTCCCTGTTGACCTCCATCACGGTCAGCTCCTTTTTGTGCAGCAAAAGGAAATCTTCCAGCTTCTTCACAAACTTACGACGAGCTCCGTAGGACTCCAACTCCAACACTAAATCATGATCACTGGGCACTCGCAGCAGGATATAGGGCTTCTTCTTGATGTGATTCGTGGCGGACTCCTCTACGCTGACCACGTCCACGTGCTGGAGGCTGAAGGTTCGCAGCTTCTCGCCCTTCCTATCCACAGTATAGATGGCTGCCTCGGGACCGAACTTGACTGTAACCAAACGCTTGTGATTGGCATGCAGCCACTCCCTCGCCAGCATCTTGTCCACAGAGCCCTTGTGCTGGGGAGCTCGCAGCGCCTCTTGCCGGATCTTCAGACGCCGACGCTTGCTGTTCTGAAGCTTGACCACGCAGTAACCAGCTCCAGCACACAAGATGGGCACAAATCCCAGAAAAACGCACACGTAGATGAACATTAGCTCAGAGCCAGAGAAGTAATCGTAGCCCTCCAGGTAAGTGCAGGGCTCTAGCTCAGTGGCATTCAGCTGCATGGGCTGCGGGCAGGGATCCCCCTTGCGCCACATAAATACGTCCTTTTGGATCTCATCGACGGCCACGTCTGTGCTGTTCACAATAATGTCCCACAGTGTGATTTTACGCAGCTCCGCAATCTCCTCAGGTGTGAAAATTCCGTTCCGTTCATTCTCGAACCAGAAGCGGTCGGCATCACGGAGGCGCTGGAACTGCTCCTTAATCACAGCCGTAAAGAACTCTCCGGGTTGGCCGTAGGACTCCAGCATGCCACCCACATAGACGTCCACATCGTCCAGCTTGTTCTTGTAAGCCTCCTTCAGCATGCTAAGGAAAAGGTAAAGTTTAACAAAAATTGTATTTGAAATCTTAGCAGGACTTACTCCAAGAGTTCGGGCTGCGTTTCAAAAAGCGGAGGATTGATGTCCGTCCAGGTCTTGTGCCTCTTCAGGCCGTAGGACTCTCTAGCTGTATTGTAGTCTGGCAAGCCATTATCGCGACCACGCATGATATTGAGAGCTCCCAGGTCTCGGCGCGTAAACTCCATTGGTCCAAAAAGCTTGTCCCGCACATCGGAGCATAGGACGGGGTCCTCCCTTTCGGATATCTGGGAAGCTAGACCCATGAGAACCTCTTCCACGCTGGTATCGGTAAAGAATCCCTGAAAAATGTTAAAAACCATTAACATTACTTTTTTTTCACCAGAAAGGATCAGGACTTACGCTGGAGTCCCACCAAGTGGAGCACAGACGTATAGCTGGATATCCCATGGGCGTTTCCTTGAAGTTGCACCGTCCATCACGTCTGTAAATTCCCGGTGGGATCATTGTGTGACCAAAACGAAAGGCAGCCGCTTGAAAAATGTGACCAATCCCAGGATGAACATCTTGCTTGTAGCCGTCGTAGGGCGGCAAAGCTGATCCAAGAAAGGCTGGCAGGTACTCGTAGACAATCACATTCTGCAAACTGGCAATCACTGTGTGGCGAGCCCGTTGATAGATGTCCTCATCGCTCCAATCGGGATGCAGGCGCTTGATGCGCTGGGCAAGAGTGTTGTGCCACCTCAGGAATAAGATGGCGAAGGAGAGCACTGCAGGATTCTGGTTCGTGCGAGGATCTCCCAACACTAAAGATACAATTTCAGATTTAGTTCCAAAGGGTTCAGGGTGTAACGGATGTTTACTTACGAAAGAGTCTCTCCGGACTGAGCATCTTCATCACATTTGGCACAGGATTGTTAAAGAGCGGCACCCGCATGGTGTTGCGCACCGGCAGCTTCCCATCCTTTTGCGTCAACAGGGTGCCGTTGTGGAAGGAGCGCATGGCGTTGAGCCAGGCCTCGGAGGTGCTGTAAATGAAACTGCCATCAATCCAAGCAGTCATTTGATTTATCTGCGGAGTAGGCTTTATTGCGATATTGTTCAGACCACGTCACCAGCACCCACCTGTTCTCTGGGCGCGTTCGGGCTCTGTCCGGTGCTCCGGTCGTAAGCCGCCCTATGAAACGGTATGTACTTGTCGCCCCGGCATTCCCGATCGTACATCTCGTCACACTTCTCGATCTCAATGCGATGCATCTCAATCGGACAGCCCGACTCGGAAGCCATCACGATCTCGTTGGCCACCACCTGTCCAAAGAAGGCTAGTAAGGCTGTTCTATTGTATTTCGATCCCAGACCATCCCGGCCGCGCATAAACAATCGGCTGAGCCGGCGGGTGGAGGGCCGGTTGGCTCCTGCCATGGCATAGACACCATCGGAATAAGAGGGCGGTGCCTTGCGAACCAGATGGCTATCTGAAAGACGAGCAAAGGTTATCATTCACATCTGGCGAATATGTAAATTCGAATCAATATGCAAATCCAGATCGAACACATGGCCAACAGATTCTAATTGAAGCGTAATCGTCTGGTTCTACCCTTTTGTGAAAGTTGTCAGCACCTGCCGGACGTTCCAGTCCACGACTTACCTACGGATCCCCAATCTGGATGGGCCAGGTTATTGTACCAGCCGTCGTATCGCTGTTTTTCAGTCTGACTATACATTTTCTCTGAAAAATAAAAAAAAATAAATAAATATAGATATTTTAAGTATATCAAAAATCCTTTTTTTTGGCTCAGCCATATTAGAGCACTAATTTACATATTTGTGTTTGGTTCTCAATCAACTTAATCGTTTTATCATTTCGGAAAATAGTCTACACTCGACTTGTCATCGTAAAACTTAATTAACAGCAAACATTCCTTAATTCTAATTGGTTTTGTCAATCACACACGCGGATAATTGTAGCACATGTTACCAATTGAATGGATAAATGGAGTAAGCACAAGCTGAGTCAATCGGACATTTATGATCTATTTAGTTCGAAAATTATGTTTATACTTATTTAATTGGGCTTTAGCAATATTGAGTTATTTATTGTAATAGTTTTTTAATAATTCTAAACCGATTTATTGTTTACATGGTACTGAAAGAATTAATACTTAAAAACTTTATATAAGTTGTGAATATAAAAATGATTTTTTATGGACGACACCTTTGGGTGATAAAAATCTGCAAGGCGTAATTGTTCTGACGCTAAACGTTTTTATTATGGTTTATTTGCACTGAGGAGACCTAAAACCAGTTATAAAATTACCAAGCCAATGCCCGAAGTCAAAAAAAAAAACAGTACCAAACATTCTAAAAAAAATGTTTAGACGACGAAAAACTCGTAACAGATGTTTAAACCAGTTTTTGTTGTTATTCTAATAGGCTCGAATGAAGCCACAAGATTTTAATTCAGTTATGAAGACACCGGTAATACTTACTTTATTATGTACATACATCATTTTGATACTTTGTTATTATTTGACGGCAAGGCTATGACTTTTGAAGAATCGTCATTGATTGCAGATCATGACTACTTATAGTTGTACTATTTTTAAAGGCATTGGCCAGAAATAGCTTGAGTAGTTTAGTGCTTTGAAAGGAAGTGATGGATGGATGGCTATAACAGAAAGACAAACAAAAATTCAGTCGCATGCCTAAGACAGTTAACTGAGTCAGATCCGGTTAACCAAAACCTGGCCAGAATGCGAAGCTGTCAGAGAGAGGAGGTCTCAGCTGACTCTGCTAAATTATATAAATACAGTGCCGCTCAACTGAATAGGTTCCTACACTCGAATTTAAGATGTTACTTTTTTAAACCTATATCTATTCACTTGAACGGCAATGTAGAAAAACAATCTGCGTTGGCGTTGTACAGAATAAAGTTTACAAAAAAAAAATACATAAGCAACACCTGCATGATGAGAAGCCGCAATCCGGAGACGGTCTCATCTGATACTTGTTGCTCCTTTTTTAGAGTCAAAAAACATGCACGACAACACGGATTCCCTTTACAAAAAAAAAACTAATTTATACGCTGTACCTTATAAAAAATACATTTATGGGGAATTTTTATGTGTTCCCAAGCCCGTTGCTGTCATTCTTCATTGCAGTATCGCACTTTCTGTGCTTTAAGTATGTTACGGCTTTTTTGTACTATCACGTTCGTTTCCTAAGTCTTTTGATTTATGTGCGGAAAGTCGAACAATGCACTTTCGTCTTTGGTTTGTGCGCGACTTAAATGACTTTATATGTTACACATATCTAAAATTACTATTTTTTAAACTATAATAAAGCATTAGGTTAAAAATAATAATTTTTTTTAAAGAATTTTCTAAAAGAATTTCAGTTTCTTTTTATTTTATTAAGATTTTAATATACCCAGCAAATAAAATATTTTAACATATGACCCAGTTGGCATAATTAGTTACATGTGTACTTCATATTTTTTTCTGACTGAATTTCAAAAGCCAAAAAAAACTTTCGCTTTCCGTTAAGAGCCTGTTTACAAAATTAGCACTAATTAAGGAGTAAAAAATAAAATAACGTTGACAGCAACATCTATTTGTTAGCTGTTAATTGGTTGCCAAATCTGACGGAATATAAAAAATGCGCACATGACTTAATTTAAATTTACAATGAAATATAATTCGCACAAATCAGGCAGCTTAATGAGACTCAAAGAATTTATTTCAATTTAAGCAGCCTTATTAAGACTATATAGAATACAAAAGGAATGCAGTAACTCCAATTTTGCGAGTATCTGTTCAAATCATTTTTAATTCATTAATCAAAATACCAATGGTAAGAACCTATTAAAGGTAGTTTACAAAAATATTAGGGGTTTTTTGAGTTGTGAAGAAAATTCTTCAGAGAAATTAGGTACTTTTTGAGATAAATGATTCATATAAAACCCCCCTTTTATTTAGTAACAAATAATATCAAAATGTGCACATCATTTTGTTAACATAATCTACCTTATAAATTTTTCCATAAAAATACCCAAATTAAATTATTAAACAATGGAAAATTTGTACACCGTCCTGAATCCTATTTAGAAAACAAAGTGTTACAAATTAGCACCAGACCCCTGCTGAGATCGGAGATCGCGAAAACTTTCGATTGAACTGCTCATACAAAGAGCAGGAAGACAGTCATGCCACGAAAGGTGGGGTTAGTCTTCACAATGGGATGTATTGAACTTTTGATTGTGTTAATTTCATTACACTAAACGGTTGGAGGAAAAAAATTGCAACTCTCTATGCCGCTGGCTTTCATAAATAAAATTATAAATAAATCAAAAACAATGGAAAGAAAAGACTAGAGGCAACTAGAGAGGCGGTGTGAAGAGAAACCATTGATCGTGCGTTGACATTTGACTCGGGTGGCGATGAGACACACCTCTTTTCAGTGCTTTGCAAACAGGTGCACAGGTGCTATGTAATCAGGGGGTTAGGCAAAAGACTTTAAATTAAATTAAAAGATCAGTTTAGTTTTCCACCAAAAAAGTTTATAAATGAATATGAAATATGCTGTTAATTATTTTGAGTCCTTAGGCTAGACAGTATTTTGTTAGAGCAGCTCTGACAGCTTTATTTAACTAAACCGTCGTAAATTTTCGTAATTCACCAAAGTTGCCCTCCAGCTATCCCATTTACTGTCTAAGTATTCAGTAGTTTAAATTCATTTTGTAAAACATAGCTATGTTTACTTGCAAAATAAGTAAAATACATAAATCATACTGACACTAAGAGATAATTTTTAGTAACGAAAGTTCTGAACTGTAACTATTGTGCAAATAATTAAAATAAAGTCTAATTTAGGCATGAAAACTTTCTATATGATTATTGATCAGATCAGACACAATCCATTCCTATGCAAATAAGGCTAATTGAATTGAATAACCATACAAAAAGATGCGGGGGATGTCTGTACTCACCATAACAATGCACGAAGCCCAGTTCCAAGCTGAGACTAATCAGTAACAATAGCCAGACCCAGCTAGCGGCATATCCCAGCAAATGGAGCCGCGGTGTGCATTTTTTATTTGGACATGGATCTCGATTTTTGCTAGCTGCTGCCCCCTGGCGGGGCGCGCTTGGAACACTCATATTGATTGAAACAATATTTATTATGTATTTCTATTTTGTTTGTTACTAAGCACAAAACTCGGTCGATTACGGTGCAATTTTATTGTTAAATTAATTAAGCAAACTTATGGTATTGAGTAGGTTGATTTTATATTTAATTTTGCATTATTTCACGTTTCATTTTTTGATTATTTATTTCGCACTTAAGGGTTGTACATGTTGATCTCTAAAATTAAAGAAATGAATTGAAGATATATATAATTATTATATCACTTTTATAAAGATTTTCATTAAAAGTTATCATTTATTTGAAACTTTTTAGTTCGTTATTCGTTTTTTAAACCAATATTTAATGGACTCAACCGCAGAAAAGCCCAAGTAAATGCCGAAATGGTTCGTTAATGTTTTCAAATTAATTATATTGCATAAGATAATGCAATATGGTGTATGGCCAAATAAATGGCAAAACAAATAGGCGGATACAAAAAAAAGAGGAGAATGATGGAGAAGGATAGAGGCGAAACTAGAGGCCGGGTTAAACAAACGGAATTGCCCACAAAACAATTGACCTTCTGATGGCTTACAAACCAACATAACGACAAAACGGATTCCATTAGTCATAATCGACAATGCCAGAGAAAGAAGCCGAAAAAAACATATTACTATGAATATGTATAGGTATGGCATACCCATAAAGAAGATATAAAGAGAAGTAAAAAATATATAAAATGCCATTGCACAACTGCAAACAATTAACATTACAACAATGGCAGGCAGAGAGTGCTAAAGCTAACAAAGTCATAAAGACAAGACTACCAACCCTCTCAAAACCGCTAAACATTTTTCAGCCTAATGCATGTTTAGAGATTATTATTAAATTGCCAGGCCAGAGAAAACACTATGCGGTAAAAGCCAAATTCAAATTGTCTGTAAATTGTGGGCGAACCGCCGAAGAAAAGGAGGTGGTGGCGAGCGAGAAAGTCAAGAAAGCGTGGAAGACTGGCTGAACGGCAATAATCACTTTGAAATTACGGTACAAAGCACAAAAAAAGCGTATTTTTTTGTGGTAGAAGCCAAAAGCCGCAACTTTCTGACCATTGAACATAGCCCGCAGCTTCCTCATATCAATTAATAAATATTTCTTTGGCTAATTTCTGAAATGGCTGCGCAAAAATCAAGATAATTTCCGAAACTTATTGAACAACTCGTTTAGTGGACTTGGCATCCAAAACCAGAATTGGCTGCTATTAAATAATATAAAAACGGCAAAGCATTTTTAATGACAATGAACTCGTATATTAAATACATTCGACAAAAATATTTTAATTTTAAGTTTGTCTGCAAAGCACTGGATTTTAATTATTTTTAAACGAAAGAAAATTATATTATTTTGGTATACTTGTTTGTTTTTTAACTTTTGGGAGCGAGTCATACTTTAAACTTGCCGGAATTTAAAAATTCTATAGAAAATCGATGACAAACTCACAGTTCAAGTTAAGTGGTTTTGCGATCTGTTTTTATTATAACAAAAAAAAAAAAAAACATTTATTTAAAGAACTCCAAAAATGTCATAGAAATTGCTACTTTACGGAAGTGATGTGATGTGAGGGAGTAAAACTCTTTCGGAGATTACTGATGTACTTAAAAGATGATGTTTGCAATAAGAATTTAATTTATGAACAAACTACAAGACCAACAACTGAAAAAAACTAAGCCTGGTATTCAGAGTGTTACTTCTTATTTACCAGATTTTTTAACACTTCTCCTTGGAAACAAATTGTATATGGCCTGTAACTTTGTTGTTTTCTTGGGGTTTTCTGCACAAAAATATTGCGAAAACCCGACTTTGTTATTTGGGAGGTATGGGAGGCTGTGGCAGAGTGTAAAAAAAAAAATAAAAGAAAAAAAAATTAAACACGAAAATGAATTAAATTCATGAACGAAATCGTAAGCAAAGCCAAGACAGCGACGAAGCTTCGAACAAAGAAGACTCGAAACCCCGAAAGGGGACCCCAAAAAAGCCCCACACACACGCAAACACACGGTAGAGCGACAGAGAGGGGCCAATGGATTCAAAGATGAGCAAAAGAGATGGCTGGCGAGCTCCAAAAATTATCCACAAAAATTTGTATCATGTTGGTGGGTGTTTGATTTTTATCGGGTTTTTGCACTACTTTTTTCCGGCAATTTTAAGTATTTTGGCATAACTCCGGTCATCACTTTGCATAAAATAGATAAATTTTGAAAAAAAAACGGCAACAAAGAGCCGCACACACGCACAGCGTACTATACAATAACGGTGAAGACGACGCGGCGCATGCGCGACACGTTTCACATTCACATTCACTCTCGTCTTCGTCTGCAATCTCACCAGCACACACGAACCGGAGCCGGAGCGAGGCGGGAGAGTGTGGAGCGGGTGGGGGGCGAGGGCTCTGGCAGCAACCTGCGTCCGGTGGGGCCTAGAGTTCGATGAAAACTGAGCTCAGCTATGCGGGAGACCTCCACTTTGGAGTTCGGCCCGATGGGAACATCGGAACCGGTCCACAGTGGGCGCTATAGCCTGATCAGTAGCTCTAGCATTAGTAATTTTTTTTTAGAGAAAATAAATAGATTTTAACAAATATTAATTAATTTTAAAAATGTTATTAATGTTTATTTCATTGAAGAAGAATGTATTAGAAGGTAATACTTGTTTTGATTGACCCAGATTGTTAGAAAGATTGTTAGAAAACTATTAGTAATACTGATATATTTAAATAATACATATTTGTAAAAATATATTTTTTCTGAAAAATATTTAAACCTTAAAATAGGCCCCCTTTTCTATAATACCCACTGTACGTTCGTTCTCTCACTCTGTTGGGGCACCAACTGAGCTACTGCTGCTCCATTTCGGTTCGGCTTTTGGGATCCCGCCATGTCCGCCTCTAAATGAGTTCCGTCATATTTGACATGACGTGTCGAATTAATCATTTGCCTGCCTCCTGCCCTTTCTCTCGCAGCATACATAGTTCATGCCAATGAACGGGAATTTCCCAGCCTGGCGGATGCAGTGCAGCAGGCACGAGAGCCCATCTTCTGGAAGCCAACCACTCTCTCACTTAGCTCTTGCTCTCACAACTAATTGAGTGGTTTTAAATCCGGCACCCATGCTGCGAGGAGTTCCTGTTCGTGCCGCAAGAGAGGTCTCTGGATTGTTCTTGAGGCGGACTAGACGGTTAATTTTGGGCTCTGTGGAGCTAGTTCGAAAATATACAAACACTTTTCTATAAATAGGATTACAATGTAAATGTTTCATAATCCGGTGTGAAACTACTTAGATATACCTCATCGACAGAAACCATTTCATGTTTAAAATCAATTAAACAATGATTTATTTGTGAATCTTTGAGCTATTGTATAGATAATATTTTAATGTCAATTTTTAGTATGGATATGTCAACAGCTCACTCACCCTTTGTCCCGTCTTCTTACATGCCCCGTACCTCTGCCCCGTGGCTCTTCGATCTTTGTTCGGATGTCAGTCAATAGTCAGAAGTCGTCATATGCGGCTGGGTCTCCATAGTGCAGCTGTGCACATTAAAATCAATTAAAATTCTTATTTATCTTCGATTCGAGCCGAGCTTAACAAGTGCAGTCAGTGTGATGGAAGCAGAAACGGTCGCATCTATAAATATGTATTAATGGAAGAGAACACGCATTGAAAAACTCAAAAATCTTTATGCACTTGTACATATCTTCAAAGTGAATTACAGATATGAAAAAAATTGCAGCGGCTTTGTAACAATTCTGAAGCAGTACTAGCTCCATTGTCGTTAAATAAGCACACAAAAAAAAACACAAAAAAATACAAAACATAAGTTGAGCTCTCGAAACTCCAAAGCAATTCAAGTTGATAAGTAATTAAATTAATTAATTTTCATGTGCTGCCGATTGTCGTCGATTCTTGATTTATCTGTGCGTGCAATGAGGCAACTTGTAGATGCATTTTTCTTTTGCGAAGGCCCCCATTCTAAGTGAACAATTTGAAGTTGAGTAAGTTAACTCGATTTGATCAGCAGCTGTTTGATTTTTATGGAATTTTAAATTGACAATTAACCATTTAGCATCTAATAATTTTCAGCAATATAGGCAAGATACAATTCCATGACACATAATAGTATAGACTTGATCTTTAGTTTCTGTTCCTGTTAAGAGAATGACAATCTCAGAGTGTTGTGAGAATTCCCAAAACAATTTGGGCATCAACATCAATTATGTGTTCTAAACAAGCTTTCGAGTAGCTCCCCAACAATCTACGCACACAGAACACTAAAGTGGAAAACACAAACAAATATACCGCATTCCTTGTTTCTTGGCCACAAAAAAAGTGAAGGGTAAAAAAAATTGGAAATAATTTTATCACTGTGGGTATGATAGGTAGCGAAAATAACAAAAATTATTCCAACTAAAGTACAGATAAGGTAAAGGAAGGAGGTTCTTTGGAGGTGAAGGCTCATATTTAAATAAAACCAACTTAAAATCAATTCCAGAAATTGTCTCGTTCGTCACCTACTTTTTTTTATACCTCTGGAATTACCTGCAACTATTTTAACCGCATTAATAATTTATTTATCTTTCACAGCATCATACTCCAAAAACAACATAAAGGGAAAATACTTTATAAACTTTCACAGTAAAAAATTGTGTGGTAAAAAAATACTTATACAATACACAATTTATGACTAAGACACAGCCACGCATTGCAAAGTAATTGATTTTTTACAGCTTGGATTTCGATACAATTTCAAATTCCAGTTACAAATAAAATCAATTTTAATGGTTTGCAAATCGAGTGGCCGAAGGTCACGCAATACGAGTAGACAACGCACATTTCAAAGAAAAAAAGGCATAAAAAATAATAATAATAATCAGACAGGTGACAATAACAAGAGCAGCAACAAAAAGCCAATCCGAGCAACTTGTATAGCTTGTGTCGGCCCACAAAATGGAACACGCGCCATTGAAACAGACAACTCTCAGGCAGCGCAGCACAGCGCAGCGAAGTAAGTCAAAGTTAAGGCAAACGCATTAAGCATACGCACTGTGTGACGGCCGTTTTGGAATGGAGGAGCATTGAGCTTTGGTAAATAAATAAACTGAATTAACTAGTAGGTAGGTAGGTAGCTGCAATTGGTAGCTATGTTAGCTTAGCTTGTTAGCAAATAGTTTCAGTGCTGAGTTTGTAAGTCTCATAAATTAAGTGGATTTTCCACTAATTGGATTCTTTGATCTGGCTCGATTGAAACTTAAATTGCTAATTAACCAAGAAACCAGTAATGTAAAGGGTTTTAATCGATTTTGAGATTAAAGTCTTGTTGCTGGAACTAGAATATAAAGCTTACTTGGCTTGGACAACGTTTTATTTTTAAAAATGTAAATTCCCTTTAATTAAAAAAAATTCAATTGAAATTTAACTATTTTTAATCTCACATTATTTTTATTTATAGCCTTACGAAGACTAATTGGTATTTCTTTTAATATCTTATCTTTCTAGAACTATCAATCAACAAATTTATTTACAAAATTTTTTAAAAATAATTTCTAATTGATCAGTGATGGATTTTTATTGATAAATCATAGATTACCTCATCATGACAAGCAGAAAAGGGACAAGCGCTGATTAGGTTATGCTGGTAAACACAACGTGGCTATCCAGAAATTTTTGGAGTACCCGAAAAAACTTGAGATTCATGAAAAATAATACGCACATTTATCAAGATCCCTTTCCACTTCTTTTTTTGCCACAATCCTATGTAATTAAATTGTATTTGTAAGATATTTTGAAATGGCAAGGCCTAGGACTATTTCCCACGTTCACTTTAAATAAACAATTAAGGCCCTAGTGCGTCCAAGAAGTACGGACCCATCCCATATCCATAGCTCTGCATTCAAGTGCAATTCCAAGGTGCACTTATGGCCCACTCCCAGCACCAGCTAAGCGCCCTGTTTGAACAAGTGTTGGAGAATTTGTTTCCACAATGGATGCGATGTGTGGGCATGCATGAGTTTTGCTTTTATGTTCAATTACTTGTATTAACCCATTAACATACTGAGCTCATGCCTAACTATAATCCAAGCCGGGTAATGTTACAATGTAAGTACAAATGTTAAATCAGAACTAAAGCGTCAAGTTCCCTTTCACTTGCAATACATGATATTAATGACCGATGCTTCGCGACTCGAGCTAAAGTGCACTGTGTGTATTATTTCTACATATTTGACCATAAAATGCTTTATTCGGCTTCTGTGAAACATCTCAATCTCCAAACGCATTCCAGCCACCATCCGGACTCCGGAGGGGAGGAAAGACTCAAAATGCCAACTGACACACACCGAGCATGCGTACGTGATTTTGGATTTAATTAAGTTTAACTTGGCAACGGCTTGCCATTAAAACAAACTTTGTGTTGTGCACTTACACTCGCAAATAAACAGTCGGCGTCGGTATTGGTGGATGTATCGGTGAAGCGGCAGTGAGGTGAGACTGAGGCATTGACTTTGGAACTAAAAATTATTACACTTTATTGGTTCCCGACTAATCCGGTGGATTCGATCAGCCCTTCATGCAAGAATGCCCTCCTGAAGGAAAACCAAACTGAATATTTAGCCTTTATGTAGTCATCCAAGCCGTCTATTCTTTAATTGCATCATTTGCAAGGCAACTTAATTAACTACATTTTAAAGATACTAAAATACATTTTAAAGGTAATATTCTAAAGAATATTTTCAGATTCATCTTGAATAAAAAAAAAAAAAGAAATCTTGTGTATTAAATATTTTATAGGGATTTGGGATCATTTATAAATAACTTTATTTTATAAATATTTTTTTTTTTCATAGTTATGTTGTTTATTTGTTTATAGTTTATAATCTATTTATAATGAAATTAAAATAATTGTATTTTTCTTTTTAATATGACCTCAACAAAATGCCTAAAAGTATACTAAAAATTTTCTGTCACAGAAAAGTAAAATGGCGAAAAATTGTGTAAAATGGCATGTTGGTACTGATCAGTGATCACCTAAAACTATATAAATTATTAAATAAATGGAATTAAAATGGAAACTTTATATTTGACTTTATATTATAAATAAAACACTTGGCTATATAGGTTCCTTTTCCGTTTGTAGCGAAAAGAGTAACCAAAATAAAAGTCCAGTCCTTTTTTAAGTAAAATTAAAACAAAGTATCTTTACTAAACCAAATAAGGTATCAAAATTTCAAGTTTAAAATTTAAGGCTTTACAATTCATAAACCGGTACAGCTTCCACGTTTATTAAATTAAAATCACATCATAGGCTTAACTGATAAGATCATAAATATGTAGATTAAACGTCTAAAAATTGTCAGGCTTCTCTGACATTTGTTGCAAGTCTTTTATATACGAGTTATTTTCCAGAGGGAAACGGCTCATCAAATCGGTTATGCTTAACTGATACTTTTTGTAGGTTTCTGTGGTCTCAGCTCGACCAAAGACTCTCAGATGATAAAGTAAAAATTCATACAGGAGCATGCGTTCGTGGTTGGCATAATGGAAGGCCACAGAGTAATTGGAACAGCATCTAAGGCCCTAAAATATATGAATATAATAATAAATATTTAATAAGATAAAACAAGAACTTACTGTTTCAACAGATCCCACACTCATGAGGCGCAACCAGTCCGGTATACTTGAGTTTGAATCCGCTAGATAGTTCTCTAAGTCCAATGGCATAAACTTTGGCTTTGTGTCTCCAGCTAAAGCTTCCGTTGAATCTACAAAATGGACACCCACGTTCTGCAAACAGATTCCCATGTAAAAGTCCTCGATGCCCATTTTCTTAGGCTGTGGACATATAACATCTGATTCGTAAGCCTGGGTCATAAACCGGTGAAGAGCCTCTCGACTTAGAACATAAGAAGCTCCACCGGACATGTAACTCTATAAAAATTAATTTTAGCATCAGCTATAAATAATATTCATAAGATTCATAAGATACTAAAAATGCTGTTAAGAAGCCACACGCCCCTTATTGAGTCACTAAACCGGTTAAACATTTGTTTTTTTTTTCATTAAAATATTTAATTTTGGTTTACAAATTTCACTGAAATAAAATTATATTTCTAAACACTTAAAATGAGTAAAATTAAGAGAGGAATACATTCTTGTACCCATCAATTAAAGTTTAAATGAGACATTTACTGCTTGAGGTTGCTGTAGCAAATACAGTACAGCTTCGCTAGCTTGTCCTCGATGCAGGTGGAGTCTTCGCGGTAGGTGTTTAGTCGACTGATTTTTTCCACATTTACTTCGGATACCTGGGTGACATTATTGTAGACGGCAGTAGCTTGAAAGTCGGCGTAATTTTGATTCACTTGAAAGTGGACCAGGTAGACGCCCTTCTCCACCTCCGGTACTCGCTTATCTTTCCATTTTACTTCTAGGCCCGTTTTGATCTCCGTCTTGGTGACTTTGAGCAAGGTCAAGTTGGAGCAGAGTTTGGATAGATTCTTGGCCACGAAATACTCGTTCATTCGATCGATCACACTGAGGGAGATCTGTTTTGTCCAGTTTGTGTCAGGGATGGGGATGTAAGGTTCGCAAGTGCAGTAATGATTGTCGATGGCCGCCTGGGCGCAAGTGCGATTCTCCGGCAGGATATGAAACAGGGACTGGCATGTGGGGCAGTCGAAGGATTTAGGTAATACGGGTCCATCCGGAGTCCCTCCCAACTCAATGATGTGTTTCAGCGTATTGTGGATATCGAAGTTGGAGCACAGCCGTTGTTGATTGATCTTCAGTGCCCGGACAAAATAAGGATACGTGATCCGGAACCAGGGTGGAAGATAAATGAACATCATGGGCAGTCGTTCCTCCAGGAAGCCCTCCTTAAGTCCGGTCAGGCGTCCGTATCTGCTTCCATGATCGGCGAAGAAAATCATTATTGTCTCCTCTAGAGCACCAGTCGCATTCAAGTCTAAGAGGTCGCCAAGGATCATGTCTTGCATAGCGGAGGGCATGAAAGGATCTTCGTGACTAAAGTGACTCGACCAGAACATTCCCCAGATGGGACGTTCCTGGACAAACCTTTCCGTGAACATGCGTCCATAATCGTAAATATAACGATTAGCTATCCGGCGGCCCAAGCAATATCGCATATAATCATTCTCGGGTATTCGATATATATCCAACTTGGACTCCAGGGCCTTCAAAAAGGGCCGGAAATAGTAATCCACTGGCTTTTCCTGAAAGCCCGGTTTTAAGTAGCTGAAGTGATTTGAATTACTTTCATCTTCAGCGTAACCGGTCAAATAGCTAGCGTTCTTAAAGTACTTCCATATTATGGGCATTTTGTCAAAACAACCTTTAACATCCGTATCACAAATTTGCTCCTTTGCCGTTTCGGGCAAATAGCCACTGAGCATGGCCAAGATGTTGGGAAAAGAGTTGTCAGCAACCTTATTGTATCCCTGCATCTCGTGCCATCCATCACCTTGAAGGAACTTGAATACCTTGGGCATAGTTCTTCTCAAATTTATCCGAGAAAGTGAATCTATCCCGTACATAATAACACTAGGTTTTCGCGCCCCCTGTTTCTGCTTCATGTTCTTGGGCAGGGGCTGGTATTGGACAAAAGTAAAGGCGTCCTTTTGAAGAAGTTTCGTTGGCTCGTCAGCGGTTCGGCATTCAACCACAATACCCTCAACATGAATGGGTACTACATAACCATCCAAGAAGTACTTATTAGCCCTGAGCTTGTCAAAGGTGTCTGCCTCACTGCCGTACTCAACTTCCTTGTAAAAGCAATTGTACTCCACATTGGTATGGTTAAGCAACTCCATTGCAACTTCCTCGTCGATTCGTAAAACATATCTTTGGATCTTTGGGTTATATTCCGTAGATACCAGATCGCTATCATTGGTGCAAGTCACCAGAGTCTCAGGCTTGTAGATCTCCATGACTTCGGCGGTAAAAGGATCGACATACGGAATTCTACATTTCGATGTTTTCACAAAGAATTTCTGTGTCTTTGGATTTTCTTCACCAGGTAAGTTGTCTTCTTTGAGTCCCAATCCGCGAGTTGTTGGCAGTCGTATGGATTCTATAACTTCCAAATTCGAGTAATCACTTCGCCGCAGGATGAAGTAAACCAGAAAGCCCAAAATGCACCAGATAGCAAAGAGTTTGTATAAGGGTTTGAAAGCAAAGAGTTTGTAATGGGTGGCTCGAAGACGAGACTCCATAGTGTGCCGTCTACCTCGTAAAGAATTGAACTGAAACCGATCGATGGGAACTTTTGGAAAGATATGAATTGAAGCTGGAATGTCGAACTGGCACACGCAAATGATCATCACACGTTTTTATATTAAGTCAGGTGTGGGAGTTGTTAGAATAATTGTTATTATGTATATTGGATTGACAATGCCGCATTGACTCAATTGGCCGGTATATTACTTTAGTAACTTTTATAATCGTAAAGTTCAAGGGTACATTGTAGTTGTGTAAATACAGAGAGAAAGAGAATCATCTTCGGCGAATGTATAACATTACAGCACGTTTTTTATATTTAAATAAAGCCTGTTTTTAGTATTTTTTTAAGTTCGTATTTGCCACGCAGAGAAACTTCTGATCAAAATTAAAAAAACCAAATGTCAATAACTTAAAAGAAAATAGCCTTGAAAAATAAATATTGCCATCAAAGGCCCGAAAACTACATATTTCTAACTTTAGTAACGGTGTGCGGGTTTTAGCAACCCCGCGACAATAAAAAAAAATCATAAAGTTGTTAAAACCCCATGTAGAGGTCGCACAGCAGGGAGTTAAGTGTCAAAATACATCAGAAAACTCCATGCGAACAAGCAAAGCTTGCAAATTATGGAGGATGATAGAGTGAATATATTGTCACCTCAGATTACAGATACAAACATGACAGTAATCCCTTGTTTAAGAAAATCCTATAAAATGAACTGAAACAAAATATGTAAGTCATTTTATGACAAATACAAATTTCCATTTCAATAAGCATACTAAAAATAAATTGAATATTCCAAATCTCATTAAACACCGCATAATTCATTCAAACTGGCGAGTATGTTAATTGGTGCGATGCTGGCGGATCTACAAAATTTAAAAAAAAACTTGAGGAAAAACCGCCAAATTTATCAAAAGTCAGGTGAATAATCACACACATCAATCAAATATCATTATAACATTTATGATGCATTAGGAATAATTAACGACTGATAATGTTTTTGTTTTTCTATACAAAATATGTGAGAAGCAGCCATAGAAACAAAGAAAATACATATTTGACTGCCATAGTTTTTAGAAACCTAGCAGCTGTCAAAGAGACTACCGACCAGATGGGGGTCTTCCACAGGTTGTTTGTTTATGTATGCAGCCCAAAATGTTTGTACTTTGTCTTACAAAACGATTGCACAAGTCTTGGAAATGTCAAGAGGCCAAATAAATCTACGACTACTGACCAACAAGGCGCGGCTGTGAAAGATGCGTGACAGGTAATCGTGATGACCTCAGGTGAGGCATTGCCATTAGTCTGCGCAGACTGCAGGCCTCTGTCAGTCTTAATGCGAATTTAATTTCTTATTGTCTGCCGCTGCCTGCGATTGATCTATGCACACGGAAAACACACACGGCTAATACAAGAAGCTTTTTTGGTAGCCACATTATTAACTGGTCTGCAATAACAAGCCAGCATGATATCACTCGGCCAATAATAGAATTAACGGCTTCATAAACCACCACACAATGCACAATAATTTCCTATTAATTGTAAAGAGAGATTACACACACAATAGGGACCGGTTATTCCTGCATAAAAACTCTCTGTTATTATCGAATTTCTACAACCAATTAAAGCAAATAAAGTTCAAATGAATACAAACAGATATTTGAATAGCATCATTCGAATGATTACTTGAGCTTTTGCAAAAGAAAATAATAAATTAGGGGAATTTTTTTGAATTGATTCTGTGGTAAATGTATCACTTAAATGTTTGACTTTAAATATATATTCCCAAAACCTTAATTGGACAGAAACATAGATAGCTTGACTGGACCATGTCCACAAGGTTCGGAAGTCATTAGTCAACTGGAGAACCGAAAATCCTAGAACCATCTCCCAATGCCGTGCCAAAATTTTGCAATTCAAATTAGTTTCGAGAAACGGGCGACAATAACATGGAAGAGGATCAGTTAATTAAACGCTGATGAAAAAGATAACTTTTCAAATAAAAATCTAAAATTTCTATATTCTAATTATAATGACAACTAACTACACAAATCAAAATTTTATTATCCCATATCATCAATTGATGTATCACTTATAACTCACCACATTATAGCGTGACATTTTGTATCCAAAATAAACTGGCGTTTCCGGATCGAAGCCGCTGAGCAGGTACTGGAGATTCTCCATTATAACGTATCTGCCAAAACGATTATAAAAGTCTGGAACTCTTAACGACTCGGGAACAACTCACGTATCATCATCCGCCTTGAGAAACCAATCGTAGTCGCGTCCATAATGCTCCCAGACATGACGAAACCCCTCGCGGGTCTTGTTCCACAGATCCTCGTAGCCACCGCCGTTGGGCTCCACCACCTGGACCACGCCCAGAGGCTCGTAGGTGTCACTGCTGGCGAATACCAGGTGGCTGCACCGCTGACCCCAGGTGTCATGGACAGTTCTGGCCAGTCCGTCCAGATTGTCCGGATGGGTGAGTACCATGCACAGTATTCGCGACGGAGGAACTTCTGCTATCCTGGCCAAAGTCGCCGTGGCTGTGGAGAATGTCGTGGAGCTGCTCCAGCACGGCTCTTCTCTACCCACATCGTAGACATACAAAAGGAGGACGAAGGCAAACACGAATCCTCCCGTGAATCCCGTCAATAAATGCAACTGAGATCGCAACCTAATCTTGGCCGTCATGTTGCGGGTGCGTTGTGTTCTCCGCGGCGTTCGGCACCCGATTGTTTTGACCAAAGCGGCCAATCAGCCAAAATCAAACAGCAGCTCGTCAGTAGAGTTGGCCAGCAACCGGTTTACTTGGTTTTCTTATCAAAGCCATCAAAAGACTACGATTTTGTGGGAGATTAGAAAAGCATTCCCGCTAAACCACATTTAGGAACCAAGTTCCTGTTTAATTTTCATGATAAATAAGTACTAATTACAACAAAATATATCATTTTATTAAAGAAAGGCTTAGATTATCTTTCGAGCTTAAGCCACATCTCTAAATGAAAACGAAAGTGTTACTTATACTTTGACATTTATGGGATTCAAGAAAAACATAGTGCAAAGAATACGACTTAGTGCTAATTAAATTATAATTATACTCAAACTATTATCATGCTATTAAGGCAGCACACAAGCCATAAAAACTATAAAATGTATTCTTACTACCATTTCGAACTTTGTTCCAGTTCTTTCAGCCACTTGCCCATCATCTTCCAGTTTCGTTTAAGCTTACGCAGCATAAAAACGATGGCCCGATGAAAATGAAAGTGTTACCAATATTGGGTGATGTCTTTGGACAATGGAAAATCAATGAATCAATTGTAGCGCATGACATTGTATAACTGCTTCAATTGAGTAATAATCGAGTGCAGGAGACCAGGTATATAAACTGCGAGTACCTTCAATTATCACGACAGTTACTCTACTAATTGTGAAGACAGACGCACGGAAGGAAGATCCAAATCTAGTGAGATGGCAGCCAAGGTGGGTAGTTATCATGATCTTTTACTTTTCAGAAGACTTTAAAAATTTCTGATAACTTGCAGGCAATCGTCCTTTTATCTATGGCCCTAATGGCAGCTGGGCAAACGGAGTTCAACTACAACGACAAGGCAGCCACGGCCGTCAACTCCTTGGAACAGAACTCTCCCAGTTCTGGCGAGGACTTCCTCAACGACTATCATACTCCCAGCAACAATGCCTTAAACTCCCAGGCCACACCCGATGGCTATGATTACGTGGCTCCCAAAAACAGTCAGTTTGCCGCAGGCAGTCGATCGGCCAGCGCCCAAGCCTCCAATCTTCTCCAGAACGCCGCTAGTGCTGCCAACGCTGAAGCCGTCCTCCTGCCTTCCCCGCTGCCCGTGCTCCGCCAGAGCCAGGTTGAGACCCAGCCGGAGGTCTTCCCGCCCGCCAGCTATAGCTTCAACTACGCCGTAAATGACGAGAGTACTGGGGATATCAAGGAGCACAGTGAGACTCGGGATGGCTATGTGGTGCGAGGCTACTACAGTCTCATCGATCCCGATGGTTACAAGCGTACGGTAACCTACACGGCGGATGATGTCCATGGCTTCAATGCAGTGGTGAACCGAGTGCCCTATGCCCTAAAGACCGTAGTGATTCCCAGCACCAGGGTAACGAAAGTGGCTCAAGTGGCTCAGGTGGCTCAGGCTACCCCTACCTTTAGCCTGGATGAGCGCTCCAAGTCAGCTCCGAATCCGAAGGAATCCACCAACAACCCGGAATCAGTGCCTGTTGGGCCAAGTTCCAGCTCCGGAGCGACCAACACTTTCGTCCAGGACAGCTATGCCAATGCTCCTCGTGGACTGGACGCCTCTGGCGGTCCCTATGCCTGAGCTATCCTAATAGGTTACGCCGTCATTGTGTACTCACTTATTGTACTTCATTTACTTTTAGTTTTTTAATTAATAAACATGAAACTTTATACTTGAAAGATTATGTATTTAAAATTTAAATAGTCTAGTTTAAGGGATAATTTAGCTTTTTTTAAAAAAGGCTTTTAGACAACAGTGGTACCTCAATATAGAGTAAGTCGAAACATGGTTACAAAACAATTTCAGGTGCAATACCTTGACATGAAAAAATATTAACTCATGTTTGATATGAAATTAAAACGAGTGTTAATAAATTGAAGATACTCTTTTTAATTTCTACAATTTAAGCTTTAAATGTACAATTTAATTTTAAAAATTTTAAAAATTTGTTGTTGAAAAGTGGCCAATCTGGCAACACTTCAAAGCGTTAGTATTTGTATTTTTTCACCAACATTAACAACGCCTTTTTTTCCAGCCAAGTCTAAGTCTTTCAACAACCGGCAAGGCGCGAAGACGTCTCAGGTATTTCGTTTTTGTCCGGGGCTCGGCTCTTTGTTTATTTTTGTGTTTTGGTCTTCACGTCGCGTTCGAGACTTACTTGTATTTATTACCTTTTTATTTTTGTTTGAAATTCTGTACAAGTGCTGGATCATACAATTACAAAGCGGAAAGCTAACGTCAATCGAAGAAAAGTGCCGGAGAAGTCACATAATTGGTCTGCAGTCAAAGACCCTAGGCAGGTGACAGAAGGCAGCGATTTGAAACGGACCTAATGCGATTGCAACGCCTGAGGAAAACGTTGGAAATGCTATCCAATTTACCATTTACTAAATTGCGAATCGTATTGAACTTACAAAAATTGTGACTTACTATTGCAACATAGCATAACTGAGCGTTCGAGTCTGGGAGCCCGAAGGTCAACCGCATCTTTACAAGCTTTCGTGTCGCCGTCCGCGTCTGCGTCACTGCCTCAAGAATGTGTTAATTCGGAATTTTGAAGACAACAACAAAGACTGCTACCAAAACCAGCGACATCAGTTTGCCGACAAAAAACGTAAACAAAAGCCCCAATACTCACAGAAACCAAAAACAAACAAAAATCAGTTGATTCATGAATTTTTTTATGAAGATAAATATTTAAATGATTTCTCACAAACTTTATTGGGATTTCCCTTAAGAGGTTTAGACAATCAGTCAACTACTTTAAATGTTTTTAAATATTTTGTTTCATATTTTTTGCAATATTTTATTAAAATATTTTTATTTAAACTTGTTTTGTGGAATATTCGAATTATTTACACTTTTTAAAAGCCTTATGAATGTTATTATTAATAATATTAAAATCAAGACTGCCATTTTTTGTTGTTTTTTTTTTTTGAATAATTTGCAGATATAAATAGGCACACCTTATTATTATTGAATATTAAAATGGCCTTGGAGGTGCATTAAAAGTGTTGACAAGGTTATATAAACCTAAAAAATGTTTACTTGTGATACAATTACTCAGCAGATATATATTATTATTTATTTTTTATACAGCCAGTTAAAAGAAGAGCAATATGCAAGCATTGAGACAAATCCGCAAACGTATGGAGTTGCTCCTGATGCTGCTCATTGGCGTGGCTTGGGGCATTATTTTGTCGGAGCTGATGCGTCGTACCCGTTGGCAGTTTGCTGATAGCTTTCTGCAGGCTAGAGGTCACTTTCCCAGCAGCTTCAGAACTAGGGACTGCCACACAGCGCCATCCACATCCGTCTCTACCATAACTCCTACAAATATGAGTGTTCCTCTAGCCAGTCGGCTTTTCAACGAGACCCGCATCCTTTGCATAGTGCCCAGCAGCCCACAGACCCATCTAAGCCGGGCCATCCATATTAAACGCACTTGGGGATCGCGTTGCAACAAGCTAATCTTTATGAGCACCAAGGAGGACAAGACACTGGGGGCCGTAGACCTAAAGGTCAAGGAGGGCAACTCAAACCTATGGGGAAAAGTTAGGGCATCACTGCAGTATGCCTACAAAAATCACTTCCAAAACTATGACTGGTTCCTAAAGGTTGATGAAGAGACGTGAGTGGAAACTATACCAGTAACAACATCAAAGTAAAGTAATCCTTTTTCAGTTATGTGGTCATGGAAAACCTTCGCTCCTTTCTATATCCCTATAGTCCAATGGAACCTGTTTACTTTGGCAATAAATTTCGCAGTCCACAAGTAAAAAAGGTAAAACAGGAGATCATTTAAAAACATTTCATTTCTAATAATAATTACAATACAGGGCTACATGTCGGGTGGAGCTGGTTATGTCTTAAGCAAAGAGGCCCTTCACAGGTTCATGAAATTCGGGTTTAGTAATGGCAGTATCTGCAGTAACCGCAGCTATGGATACGAAGACGTTGAGCTGGGACGCTGTCTACAAGCGGTGGGTGTGGTGGGTGGTGACTCCCGTGATGATCATGGCTTAAACCGCTTTATACCATACTCCCCTCTTCAGTCGTATCCCAAACCACCAGAGTGGTATCCGCCTTACCCCTATTACAAATTGGCCAATGTAAGTCCTACGACAATATTTTATAATGATTTTCTCTAATATTCGATATTATTTTATTATTTTGAAGGTAACCACCGATTGCTGTTCGAACTCGGCGATAACTTTTCACTACATTTATCCCAACGATTTATATGTTCTGGACTATATTATCTACCGACTCAAAACCTTTGGAGTACCCAAAGATCTGGAGAAAATGCCTGTTAAAAGATTAATGAAAAATGAAATGGAAAAATGGAGAAACGACTTGCCCACCGAAGGGAAAATTACAATTAAACTATTTCCCGGGACATCCCAGAATACAACCTAGATTTATTCAGAAGCCAAAGTAATCCATTAACTTAAACTAATCTACAATGCCAAAGATAAAGAGCCATGATAACTACAATTTAATTATTTTAAACTATCTAGATTTGTATTTATTATTGGAGCTAAATAATACTAGTAGTCTCACAATTTAATGGTTGCTAATCTCGATGTTCTTGATGGAGGATGTCCATTTACAATCCCATACGGTCGCGACTTGTATAAAATTGTTTCCAGAAAATACATCTCATGGTGGGATATATAGTGCATCGATATTGAATAAGTTGAACAGCATTCCATACCCTGTAAAAAAACATGATTTGAATAAAAATTAATCAATAAATAAATCTATTTTCGCACCGAACTAAATTCATGATGTAGGTAGTTTTTCAGCCAAAAGCTTTGATCATCATAGCCAGGTATTATAAAGTGTCCGAGGGAGAGGGAAAAGAATCGATGGCGCCCATAGATGTCTCTGGAATCACCGGCAGTTACATTCAACATACTGAGACACTTTCCCATCTCATAGTCCTCAGTGCCATGGACATCCGAATAACATATCTTTCTTTTGATTCCATATTTCACGAAGATCCTTACTGCTTTCCGGCTGAGGACGTAACCTGCTCCTCCGGACATGTAAATGCTATCCTCTTTACCAAATGTGGATCCAAAATAAATCTTCGCTTCAGGTGAGTAGGGCTTTAGAAAGTAGCGCATATTCTCTATAATGGCATAGGTGTCGTCATCGGCCTTGTAGAACCAATCGAACTCGGAGTGATAATGCATGTAGGCATGGTGAAACGCAGCCCTGGTCTTGCCCCAGAGTGTATCGTAGCTGTCACTGATATTCAGAGCCACAGTCTCCACTCCGGCCATGTTGATCCTTGAAGAGTTACTGTAGTAGATCACCCGGTTGCAATGACGTCCCCAGGTCTCACTGATGGCTTTCATTCCTTTCATGTAATTCTTCGACCAGGTCAACACCAAACAGAGGATCCTTACGGAACCGTAAAGGTGACTGGCCACTTTATTATTATGCGGCCTAGCAGCTATCCTTAAGGGAAAATGCTCTGACTTTAGTTCTTGTAATCCGTTGACATGGCCATAGGCTCGCAGATGGTAGAGAAAAAATTCCAGGATGTTCATCTGCTTGCCACTGACAAAAGGGTATACTACACTCTGCGCGTAACACTCCTCCCTACTCTAAAAATGGAAATTTATAAAAAATGATAGAGATGTTTTATGTTTTAAGGACTTACCTGGTTTTCATACACAAAGCGGTATATGCACGGCCACAACCAAAACTCTTTGCGCAAAGTAAAGGGCACCACGTTGCCCGAAACTGTAAAGGGCTGAAGACCCAGGCTGGGTCCCTTCTCTACTCTTCTCAAGCACTCCTCCATGTAGACATCGTCCTTAAGACAATTCCTTGTGACAAGTTGCTCCAAAGCCTCTCGACTAAATATATAATCCGTGGTATCCACCTGGCCAACATGTGCGTATATATAGAAAGAGTGCTGGGCGCTGAAATATATAGCTTTTTTGGACGAATAATGTGCCAGCATAAAGCGAAGATTCTCCAAAATCACATAGGAATCCAAATACACAACCAAGAGCCAGTCAAAACTTTCACGAAAGTCCTTGTGTACCTGACGAAAGGCAGCTGGCAGTGTGGTCTCCCAAAGACTTACGATGCTCAGATGGTTGCAGCGTCGAGCCCAGGAATTTTGTATATGTTTAACTTTCAAGAAGCCCAACTTTTGATCCGAAGGCTTTAAGTACACGAGACAATGTACCCGGACATTGTCCTCAAGCTGCCGAGCTACCGTATCATCGTCCCAATGCTGACTTCGAACTCCAATATTATAGTCTTTTAGTTCCTCCTTGTAGGGTTTAAATATTAGTTCGTGGATCTCGTTAAACAAGGTGCTCCTGTAAAATATCATCGACTCGATGAAAAGCAGCCAAAACACAGTTGCAACAACCAGTTCTCGAACAAATTGCGCAACCTCCATCCTGCCTTTAGTGAAAACTTTTTAATTGTCAATGTGTAGTGCTGCATAACTATACATTTTCGTAGGTCTATCGATATATTTTATTTACTTTCGATAATTTGCAGGGCTTTGGCCTCCAACGAGTGAATATATCTACAAACAGATTGTGGTATTCCGCTCAAGAATCGGATAATCATTTCCAAAGGTAATTCAATCATTTCCAAAGGTCATATTGTTCCTCCATGTATTTTCCACGTTTTTAAAGGGACCCTAGAAAACTTGACAAAAAATCGAAAAAAAATTTTGTGTTTGGATTTTGATGCAGATCAAATGAGAATCGATCCACAAATCGTTTAAAGTATTCCGCTCAAGAATCGGATAATGATTGTCCAAGATATAACCATCGCTGTGGGCCATATTGTGCCTTCATGCATTTTCCCCATTTTTGAAGGGGATCGTCCTGGAAATTTGGCAAAAAATCTTAAAAATATTTTGTTCTTAGATTTTGATGCAGATTTAAAGAAATTTAATCCACAAATCGTTTAAGGTATTCCACTCAATAATCAGATGGCTATTGGCAAATATAGCGATATAGCCATCGCTGTGGGCCATATTGTGCCTTCATGCACTTTCCCCATTTTTGAAGGGGATCGTCCTGGAAATTTGACAAAAAATCTTAAAAATATTTTGTTCTTAGATTTTGATCCAGTTTGAAAGGAAATCGATCCACAAATCGTTTAAGGTATTGCGCTCAAGAATCGGATGGCTATTGGCAAATATAGCGATATAGCCATCGCTGTGGGCCATATTGTGCCTCCAAGCACTTTCCCCATTTTTGAAGGGGATTGTTCAGGAAATTTGACAAAAAATCTTTAAAATATTTTGTTCTAAGATTTTGATGCAGATTTAAAGGAAATCGATCCACAAATCATTTAAGGTATTCCGCTCAAGAATCAGATGGCTATTGGCAAAGATAAAGCCATCGCTGTGGGCCATATTGTGCCTTCATGCACTTTCCCCATTCTTGAAGGGGACCCTACAGAAAATTTGACAAAAAATCTAAAAAATATTTTGTTCTGAGATTTTGATGCAGATTAAATGGAAATCGATCTACAAATCGTTTAAGGTATTCCACTTAGGAATCGGATAATGATTGGTCAAGATATAGCCTTCGCGGTTGGCCATATTGTGCCTCCATGTATTTTGCATAATGATTACGGTCCCTGGTTTTTAGGTTTTGATGCAGAGAATCGAGCTACAAATCAGCCTAAGAATCCGATGGCTTTTGGAAAATATAGAGCAAATAGAAAGCTATTTAAATATGGACAAAAATTTAATTTAATGTGTTTTAAAATAATATTTATTAGTAAGCGTAATCGGATGGAACTTCGTTTTCCCCACTTTGTTGGTTTTTTTCTTTCATTTTATGTGGTACAATCGGGCTGGGAAGGGTTTCATTAGCAAGTTTTCGACCATAGGCTCTTAACCGATATATCATATATTCAAAACTGTACATATAATGATGGTTTATGAAGGGAAAGGATACGGGATAGTCAGACCAAGCAAAAATGCCCTGAAAGAGAGTATTCATATTAATGCTGGTATTTTTGAAGTTTCAAAGGTTACATACATCTTTGGTCCTCACGGTTATATACTTCCAGTACCAAAAATAGGCTTCGTAGTGCAGATACCTATTAGATCTTGCCTGTGGCTCGACGAGGTACATTCGTCTACGTCCTTTCGAGTCTCTGGAGTTTCCCTCCTCAACGTCTGCATTGTCAAGGCACTCCTTCAATCTGCCCATCGTTGAACCCGTATCCTTTTCCTCACATTTGGTTGGATTTGGCAAGGCAACCGTTACGACCTTTCGCAAAGCGTCCCGGCTCATCACAGTGCCAGGGGATCCGAAATAGATTGGCCTCTCCGGACTAAAGGGATATAACATGTAGCGCAGATTCTCCATCAAAACATAGGTCTGATCGTCCGCCTCCAGAAACCAATCGGCATCGTTCAAGTGATGATTGTAGACATATTTAAGGGCACTCTTGGTATTTTTCCACGACTCTCGAAGGCTAGAGTTTTCCGATAAAACCACCGATCCCGGTAGTGCCGGATCCACCTTGTTAGTAAAAAATATGAGCTTATTGCATCGTCTTGCCCAAGTACGAAGTACCGCCTTTGCTGCCTCTTGGTATGATGTGCTGACGTAGCATAAAATTCGAACCTTTTCGGTCATGTCTATAGAAAGGAGACTTCCTTTTTCCGTATGATTGGAGTATGATTTAAAATCTATATCAGGCAATAGGACATTCTGAGTGATAAGGTAACCAATTCCTATGCCCAGGAGGAGGAAAAGCACAGGACGGGATGAAGACCCCGTTAACTGCTGATGATGAAGATCACTTTTTCGTTTCAAGAAAAGTGATTCTTTTGGATACATTGCCAGCAAATCTTTCCAAGATTGCAATACTTTCTGATTCTCACAAATTTATATACTAAACAAAATGAAAAATGATGGTTTACTAAAAATACTCTCTTTAAATCCACTATAACGATATTAAATGCTTTTTAGTCATGCACCAAGGTTCTCCACAAAGTATTTTAAATAAAATCTCTTAAAAGGTAAAAAATTTAAGAGCTTTACTCTAAAAACTAGATTTAAGTACATATGGATTATACACAATAGTAGTTCTCTCTATTCTTTAATTTCCTATATATAAATTATAGAATAGTAATTAATGTCTTTTGGATTTATCATCTACACTCTCATCTGTTTCTTCCGTTTCTTCGCGTGATTCCCTAGATCTAGATCCTCTGGAATCAGAGTCTTCTTCTGTTTCCTTGTATTTTCTCTCTTCACTTTCCAGCTCCTTAGAGTCCATTTCCCTGGCATCGGGTTCCTTTGGCTTTTCTGTTGTTGTCGTGAATATCCTGTCGTAATCATCAACAGAATCCTCATTACTGGCAGCAGGTCGTTCTACAGGCGGGGGCAGGAGCTGACCCACTTTGAGTTTTGCAGGCAAAGCTTCCAAAGATCTCATCAAGCCATAGGGCTTCAAGTGATAAATGAGATAATCCATCACATACATCATATTAGGAGCGACATAATGGAATGAGATGGCCAAGTCGGAGCAGCAATCCAAGCCCTGAAAATAAAAAATATATATATTCTAAAGTTCTGTAGCAACCACATTTCCCTATTACTTACATCATCAGTTTTGTAGTATTGATAGTTCCAGTACCAAAAGTTCTTGTCCCACTTGGCTGGAATCAAATGATGTTCCGGAATGAAGGGAAACATCCTGCCACGACCTCTTTCATCTCTGGAGTCTCCAGCAGTTACGTTCAAGTTGGCCATGCACTTGCCGATTTCGATATCCTCGTTAATGACCGTTCCTGGCAGGCAGTACTTCTTGTTGGGAATTCCCTCCACCACGAAACGGCGGAGTGCCTCCTTGCTGAGAATATAACCAGCTCCGCCGGACATGTAACCCTGCTTCACGAAGGGCTTGAACTTGAAGCCAAAGTGCACGGGTGTCTTGGGGTCGTACGGATACAACATGTACCTCATGTTCTCGATCACCGCATAGGTATCGTCGTCCGCCTTGTAGAACCAGTCAGCATCGTCGTAGTGGTGCTGGTAGACGTACGTGAATGCGGCCTTGACCTTGGCCCACAGGTTCTCGCGTCCCTCCCCCACATCCAGCTGAACAGTGGGCAACTCATTGTCGTGTCCGGAGCTCATGAAGAGCAGTTTGTTGCAATGCTTGCCCCATGTCCGCTTCACGTGGCGCGCCTTCTTCTTGTGGTTGGTGGGATTGGTCATCACCCAGCAGAGGATTCGCACCTCCTTCTTCAGCTGCTCAGCAGCGGTGGAGTTGTCATCCGGATGCTCATGCTGGAAGGGATGATGCTCGGGTCCATCCGAGAGGGCAAAGGACTCGTGGTCCCCTGGTGGTTTATTGGGAAAACTTAAACGCCTGGTGAGGTAAGGATATAGACTGTCTTGTGGCGATAAGGTTGAGAACAACTGAGCCATGCAGTAGCCTACCACCAATCCAATTATTAGGATAAAAACCGATTTATTTTTGGAGCGGGGAGCTTTAATTATAAAAATGAACAAAAAATTAAGTCAAGAAGCGCTAAAATAGTTAAATTGCTCACTTAGAACCTATTTTTATCACTCTTTATTGACTTTAGGTCAACGGCAGTAAGCTAATAACTTTTAATAGTTTGTTCAGTGTTCTTTCGGAAAATAAATATGGAACTGGCACATATCTTTATTATTTTCTCCAGATGTCACAACAACTTTGAATTTGGTAAAAACAACCGCCATACAGACGTCATACGGCGCACAGGTGAAAAAGCAAAATGGAGTTGTGAGATATTCCAAAATATATGAACACGCCTGATGTGAGTGGTGGCAATGGCTACCAATAACTCTTACAGTTTCATGCTAAAATGTCCTATTTTGTTGTTTCTCGAAATTTGTTCACTCTTTCTTTAATAATAATAAAAAATATTAAAAATAATAATGCAATAAAAAAAATAGCTTAAATATATTAAAAAATATAGCTTTTCAGAACTTTTAGTTATAATTTATTTTTGGGAGACCACATATTTTACTCTGGCAGAGTGCATTATTTTTTTTTTTCAAAACAGGACTACAGAAGATATCTCTAACCCTTTAAAGTATATATGTATATTCTTGATCAGCATCACCTTCTGAGTCGAATTAGCCATGTCTGTAGGTCTGACTCTTTTACGCAATTAAATCCTTATTTTCTCTGCGAATTCTTTGTATTAATATTAAAAGTATTGGACAGTACGGATTCTATTTTTGGTTAACGGATCCAATTAGACAAATTTTATAAGGATCGTCAGATGCTATCACGTAGCGGCGACATAACTGAACATCCGGAAATGCTATAAGCTTGGGTCCTTTTTCAAATTTCTTGTTTTACGAAATAGTTCTCCGATCCAGGATTCTATCATACCATTTAAAACACTATTTAACTGCAAGGGTACAAAAACTTCGGATTCTCCAATAGTTAGCCTTGCTTTCTGGTTTACTATACGTATGATGAATTTAAATAGATAAATTTTAAAATTAAAGTACATATGTAAATATATTCCAGTTAAAATTGAGTAATCAGGTAAATATTCTCTCAAATTGAAGACCTACACCCCTTGAAGACTAAGGACCAATTTAAAATTTTGAACTGTTTGCTTTATATGTATATTTGAAACAATATCACATGACAACCAAATTATAATTATTTCATTAAACATTAATATTTGGTCTTTTCCTTAACTTTGCTTACAAAACTTATTTTCAAGGACTAAAAATTCAAAGCATTTTGAAATAAATTTACCTTCAGTTAGCAGAGAACGCGAAAGAAGACTTGCGCTTGACATTTTCCACAGCCCTTGTTTTTTGAGGTCACTTCAAATTTCCCTTTTAACTGCACTTGTGTCAATAAAAATTTGAATTGCGCCTATTACGTCAAAGCCGAGACAGTGTAATGTGAACCCGAACTGAGCTCGAAAACGTTTACCACCAGACTGAACATCCAGATAGTTGGCTAGGTCTGGCTTAATGGTTCGGCAATTAGATTACCAAGGAACAGTTGATTAAACATGACTTTTTTAAGAAGTAATACAATGGATCAACGAAATGTTCAAATACTTGAGTAAAACTCACAAAAAACAGGCTTAGCTACATTATTTAAAGGACTAAGACTATAAATATAACTCAAAAATATCAATATAAAATTTTAAACATAAATTTAAAGATTTTGTTGTTTATTTGGGGTGATTTATCAAAAGAATATTTTGGATAAGTGGGATTTTTTCTGACTAATTTCTTTGTTACTAAAATAATGTTTTCAGTTCTACAATTATTTTAAATTTTAAGGTATAGATACATGATTTAAAAATATAAAAATCATATTCCTGAAAAAATACATTTAACAAATATTATTTAAAATTATATGTATGTCTCTATAGATATTATTAGGAATATGGATGTATCATGTTACATTTTAAAATTAACGCTTTTCAAGCAGTTCTAAGCAGTTTAAGCTTATTTTCAACTCTTCTACTCCCAAAAGCTTTCATATAAACAGTCTTATATTTGATTCTGCATAAACCCACCTTTTTCAAAACAAATTCTTACTTATTTTGGGTCAATTTATTAAACTTGCGAATTAGATACAAAATTAATAAGTATTTTTACAGAAAAATAAGCTGAAAACCATCGAGTATAACTAATTTCTAATTTAAATACATAAAGGCGGCAAAACTTAAAGCACTCGTCAACAATTGCTTAGGGTAAGTTTTTGGACTATAAATAGAGTTAAATATAATTAAAATATTACTTTATATGCATGATTATGTACAGAGGGCATTGTTGCATTATTAATATTGGGTCCATGTTAACATTTTTTATAGTGATCGGTATCTTTATTGTTATTGTTGATGTTTAGATTTAAATTCAAAAATACAAGCTCAAAGTGTTTTGTTGTTTATATGAATGATACGCATTATCTAATATATATATATAAGGTTTTTTTTTTGTTATATTCTGGGGGGCTGCTATTTGCTTTAGCATGGACGTGTTCTTAGTAGTGAATTTTTTATTCGGTTATTTTTGCATTGAGGATGGGGTATTTGGGTAACCCCGCTCAGGACAATCCACTTTGAGGCAGAATTCCATACTTTATTATCCAAATTGTAGCTATATATGTGAATTCTTCCTTTATGGATTGCCCAGTGCTCTCTAACTTTCTTTAAACATAAGCAAAAAGGCCAACGTATTGTGCAAAAAGGTACATTGGAGGCTTGAAGGCCGATATATGTCTTACGCCGACATCGTTGTGACCTTTGGGGTCATTCCTGATGTGATCGTGTTGGGGGCCAACGCCTTAGCGGAGCGCGCCACCACCATTCGCACCCGCTCCTGGAGGTAATCACAGATGGAGGTGTACTTCTGCTGGTGGGCCAACTGGAGGGCCGTGAGTCCCTCCTGGTTCTTCAGCAGCACATCGCTCCCGGCGGCCACCAACTGCTTGCAGACGGTCATGTGCCCGAACATGGCCGCCGCATGCAGCGCCGACTCCCCGTTGGGTAGCAGGCCCAGATTGGGGCGGTACTTGAGCAGCACGGTGATGACCGCCGCATGGCCCTTGTGGGCGGCCTTAAAGAGCGGGGTAGCGCCGTCACAGCGTACCGTGTCCACATTGGCACCGTTCTGCAGCAGTACCTTGCAGATGTGGTCCTGGCCCATCTGAGCAGCTATCCAAAGGGGTGTGGCACCGTCCATACGCTTAACATCGATCTCGGCATCCGCCTGGATTAGCAGAGACAACACTGTGCGGTGCCCATTCTGAGCTGATATAAACACTGGAGTGGCACGATCCTATCAAGAAATGTGAGGATTAGCTTCCAAAATTTCGGTTTGGTTTAAAAATATCTACCAACCTTCATGTGTGCGTTGACATTTGCCCCGCAGTCCAAGAGTTCACGTACAATCTTCACGTGACCGCCTTGGGCGGCTACAAAGAGGGGCGTTCCACCATCCGCCGATGGCGTGTCTACACTGGCACCGGCCTTCATCAGAATCTTAACCACATCCAAGTGGCCGCCCTGTGCGGCAAAGAAGAGGGGTGTCGTGCCTGTTAGACGGCGGGAGTTGGGATCGGCTCCCTGGTCCAGGAGTTCCATTACACAGTAGGTATGACCACCAGCAGCAGCCAATATTAAAGGTGTCGTTCCATCCTAGGGAAGATTTAAGATATAAAAAATTAATCCTACAACTCGCAAAAAGCAAAAAAAAAAAATTAAAATTATTTATTTCGAATAAAACCTAGATCTTAAAATAGAATAAATCGATAAAACTCACGCACAGACTTATCTACCCATAACAAATGCTTTTGCAATTTTCCATCCATTACAAATTCAGATCTAAATGCAGTGCAATTTTCTCTAATTGTTTAGCCTGGTTCGTGTGAATTTGCATGCATGTCTGCTGTTCGGACTCTATAAAAAATCGTTTAATAAGGAAATAGCAATGAAAATACAATGTCCGAAAGTCTGAAAGAGAAAATGCGCAAATCGCTTTGGATGCGCTTGATCCAAATCCAAAAAAGGGGGACCCACGTAGCCCCAAGTCATTTGTGTGCCCTTTCTGTGGTCTCTTGCAAGCCATCTGGTACTATATATATAAACATCTACGTGTATATATGTATATATGTACATTGTACAATGTGGTACCCCCACGACCCACTCTAGTTTGGTTGGAGGGTCCACGCTTCGGTGAGCTTACAGTGAAATTTAATTTCGATTTTTATGCACTTTCAAGGTGTAATAAAAGATTCTTTTAAAACGTTACATTAACTGCACTTCTTTAAGCTTCTTTTAGGCCTAGTATTGTTTGTTTTTAAACTATAGGGTACGTTGGTAGTCGAACATAAAGATATAGATACAAGCTTGGGACTTTATGAATCGGTTAACTATATTCGATATTTGCGATGTATGTATGTATAACCTTTATTCCTTAGGGTTAATCCTTAATATCCTTATTCCTTAATAATTTAATTACTCTTTTATTTCTCAAGAAAAACATATTTGTTTATAAATTATAAATCTGAAAATGTAAACACGCAACTTTCCGCTGCCTACTCTGAAGGGTGCCTAGAAGTCTAATAGTAATGGAAAGTAAAATTTTACAGTTTTTTTGCGTATGATAACATGACGGTAGACGCTTTAGTTTGGTAAATATTCAATAAAATTTTTAAAAATAAATAATTAAAAAATAGCGCCCTCCTCCTCGATTCTCATAGGTTGCACTTAAGCAAGCCAAAAAATCGGAAAAATAATAATTTTTTTTTGCAAATTTTTTGTTTATTTTTCTTGTTTTTTTTGTTGTAATTTTTTTGGTTGTTGTAATTATTATTGTTGTAATTATTTTGTTGTAAATATTTTTTTTTTGTTTCAATTTTTTTTTTTTTTTTTTATTATTTTTTCTTAACTACATACAAGGGTATATAAACTGCGAACCAATATTTTCTCTCTTCTTTTTAAGGTGCAGTTACTCGTCTTCTTTGCCAATTGGTGCGCATTTGAGCCAACAAAGTGTTAACTGATTTTAACACGGTTTGGGCCTACATAATACATTATTTTCCTTTTCCGCAACAATTTTGTAACAAATTAATGACAAAGTTGTTAAATCAATTATGATCAGTGATTACATAATGTAATGTTTTTGTAGAGCTTATTTTAAAGAAAGTTTATGTCTTTTTGATTAAGTATTCTCTAGATTTTACTCTTTTTAACTAAAAATAATTTCAATAACTCATAGTTTTTTTATATTTAATATTTTTTTAGCTAAGAAGTAAACTCACCTCGTCTTTGCAATCCACATGAACCTTTCCGCTGTCGAGAACTCGAAGCAGAGCCACCTCATCGCCCCTCATGGCTGCCATGTGCAGCTGCACATCGGAGGGTGTCTCCTTCTATTTTGGAAGAACGAAATCAATTAAAATTAACCATTAGAACAAGATTTGAGGCAGCTGTCAAAACACAACTAAAGACCACTTCGTAATTGCATCATCAGAGTCCCAAAAATTGTGTAACATTTAATGGTAATGGGTGTAATTTCTTTTTCCGCATTAATTAAGGTCAAAGCCCTGACAAAACATTGTCTGAATTCATAAATTATTATTTTTTTCGATTGATTTTTATGATAATAAGCAGGGAACAAATCGTTGTTTACTTTAAACTAAATAGTTTATTTTTTAATAACCTTTTACCAACAGTGCAACATTATTTCACATCCCAACTCAAGTCCATAAGTACATGTTGCAATGGGGAAGCACAAAAAATATGTTTTTAAAATGTCAACTTTGCGTTAATAAAGCGAATTAAGTGTGGCACATGAATGCATGTACTTTTGCCTACGAGGGGCACTCTGTGAAGAGGGTTGAAGCACCTGTTGAAAAGCAAAACAAGGCTAACAAAGACAAGCTAACACCTCACCTAACGTGATTCAAGTTGCCACATCGAGGTGCAACAATGCAAATGCTGGTGCACCTCGTATGACATAATGACAATGGATGCTTTCGTGATACTCATTCTACATAATAAGACGATGATGACTTTGATATTTATGAATAGCGAGAAGCAAGGATATTCTTTTAAAAATAGAATGAAATCTAATAAAAATAAAATTATTAGACAACAATCTTCTTGTTCGAAACCCATCCAACTTGTTCTGAATGAGTCAATTACTTTTTTTATGGGTCAACCATTGATCATTTACTTACCTTTAGCGACATTCTGGTGAAGCCTCTCCCGCCTAGCCAATGGATCTAAGTCTGTTACTGGCTCTCCAAGCTATTGCACCTGCTTACAAGCCCGTTTCCATTGACCGATTTTTTCTCAAACTGTAACGCTGCTCCTCCGTCGTCAGAAACTACTGGTTAACAGTACCAGTGCAACAAGCAATACAGCCAACAAGTTTAACAAAAGTGGCTCAAAACGGCAGAAGCCTAGCCAAAAACAGGGAACAGCAGTTGTGGCAACATCTTAATTCTAGGTTAATAGTTTTCAAAAAAACAAGATCTGAAAATATAACAAAAAAAAAGGTATTTAAAATTGATTTTAAAAGATAATATTACCCTCTAGAAAAAAGGTATTAAATAGACCCGTTTTAGATCATAGTTAAGTTAAAGTGCAAAATCAAGTTCACTTTATTAAATGGTCAGAAAAGGGGAAGGAAAAAAGAAAGTATTTTTCAAAATCAAAAATCTGGAGAAAGGTAGGGCTTAAACTGTGGACCTCCCTATCTAATATTAGTTGATAGGAAATCGTGTATATTTTCATTAATTTTTTTTATATTTAACTCAAATATATACATATGTTCATGCTTTAGGATAGCTTTATTGCCAATCATCCTCCACTGCCATTTTTCCCATAATAATTTAAATTTCTCTATTGTTAATATGATTATTGACAAATGACAGGTTGCCCCGGGGTTCAACACTGACTTGCTACTATCAACATGCAACAGACGTTGCTAAGTGAAACATTTTCATTTCATTGGCGCGCTTTTACTTTGTTTTTCTTCATTTATTAATTGCATTTCATGCAAGAGCTATTTTTTTCTTGCCTATACGGTATTCTTTTATGAGCCATCATCATGATTACGATGCCTGCAGTTTGCCTTTCAACTTTTGACCTAGAAAGTGCTTTAGTTTTTAGGTTTTTATTTTGTGTGTGGCATTTCATCATCATCTTGCTGGGCAGACACGCACTTTGTGGTGCTGACATCACAGTTTCTACAGTTTTCTTTTCGGGTCAGATTTCCTTTTGGGGTTTTCTTCAGTTACATGCCTTCTTAATATCATTTTTGAGGTACTTTTGGTTTTCATTTAAAGGGGTTTTAATGGGTAATACTATAAGTCTCACATAATTATGATATTAACAACCTGTTTTGTATGAACAGTTAGTTCTTTGATTATCAATAGTATGCTTTTCAATATCTTTGAATGGCTAAAAGTTCAGTGATAAGCTAAGAACTGATATGTTTAAAGAATAGTGGACTCGATGGACTCGGAACTGATAAGATGGTCTTAACATACCCTTGAAATTGATATAAAAAATAACAATGATGGTTTGTAAAACAGCACCAGTTAATTATACACCTATACCGATTTTCACTTTTAGTAACACCTTCGGGACTCAAACACTATAATGTTTTTGCTAAAATTTAAAAATAGAATCTCACGTTATCGTGATCTCATTTTCTTTTATCGTTTTGACTCTCGCGTATATTTATCTGTCAGCCCCCGACAGATTATGCAAAAATATCATCATTTGCACAAATAAAAGGTCACCGGGCAACCTGTGTCTGAGATCTCACCTCTCAAACTCACGCCGTTTACCTTTTGTAAAAAAAACGAGCGCGGAATGAACCGTCCGAACCCGAATAAGTTCTTCAACTTGTTGGATTTGAGTTTTCTGGTCTTGGTTTTTGATTTTTTGTGCTTTTATCCGAGCTTTTATCCGCATGAGATCGTATTCGTGATCACCCGGTTCGCAAACGAGTAACCGGTTCGCTTTCGGAAAGATGAGACGGCTACTATATCCCAAGCTTAAAGTTTTCAGATTTATAAACTATGGCGAGGTATTTTATGTTTGCTACCATTTTCTTTATTTTTTTTGCTTCTCAAAGATTGCACGCTAACCATCAAGTGAGCAATAGCCATGCCTGACCCCAGGCGCACCGTTAAAAGTTCATTGAATATACAACATACACACATACATACATACGTATTGCGAGCGACGCCTATAAATAGGCAACGCGAATTGCGCTTTCCACGACACGGCGCGCGCTCAGGCCACAATAAAAACATGTCCTCTCTCCACTCCATTCCATTCAACACAATTCCTTCACATGCTTAAGCCAAGGAATTGTAGGAATAAATATAGGAAAGTAGCAAAAACTGCTTCCCATTGACGAAAATCGTTGCTGACATCGAGCGAGGTCACAAAGCTCCCCCGCATCTCCTCTTCCGCTGTTTTACTTAAGGAACTGCTTATTTTTTTTTCTTAAAAATCAATACTTACATGTGGGCCGAAATAAATCCAAAGTAAAATTATTGTTAATACTTTATAAATCCGCACTAATCAAAGAAATTTACTCGAGGCATATTATATTTCCGAAAGAATTTCCGTAGACGTCGCGAATTTGCAGCCCACATTTAGGCGTACCGAGTGTGACCGTGGGAAATAAAGAAAAAATACTTACTAAATAATACCACATTAATTTCGTAGTGCGAAGTAGTTCCGCTAGAGGACGCCACTCGCAGCGCAGCCAACTTCACGTCTATCTGTCAGTTCTTTTTCTCTTTCTCTTTTTCGCCTCCATTGCCGATTGCGGTCGCTTGATTTGCAAATAGCCCCAAAAAAGTGAGTTAAACAACGATTTTAGCCCATTATAATTAACTCTACAATTTCTAATTGGTTTTTCTACCTTGCAGACCAACAAAATGGAGAACGACGCCGGTGAGAATGTTGATCTGTATGTGCCCCGCAAATGGTAAGTGAAACACGTGTTCCCCCTCTGATTGGATGGCGATATCTAAACCGTATTGTTGCTTCCTGCAGCTCGGCGTCCAACAGGATCATCCACGCCAAGGACCACGCTTCCGTGCAACTGACCATCGTTGATGTGGATCCCGAGACCGGCCGTCAGACCGACGGTTCCAAGACTTACGCCATCTGCGGAGAGATCCGTCGCATGGGAGAGTCCGACGACTGCATTGTGCGTCTGGCCAAGAAGGACGGCCTCATTACCAAGTAAGCTAACCCATTTCTTATTGTTTATCGACTCTTGTTAATTGAAATCTTGTTTTCTCTTTCAGGAACTTCTAAATGTTTAAAAGAAAAAAACAATAATATGAACATGATTTTGGTAATAAAGCGAATTCCCTTGTAATTTAACGTATCAAAAGTGTCTTTTGTTGTTAAGCGGGATTCTATGGATTTATTTGATAATTCAAAAGTGATTAAATTCCTTTTAGAATCAGTCATCTTGGTAGTTTTCGAATTTGTGAAACAAATCCAATGTAAACAAAGGTTGTTTCTTAAAAGATTTATTCTTTTACTTACATTTATTTGTGCCACTACCTCTTGGGTATTATTCTTGTGCTTGTTGTGACTATGAATATAATTTAAAAAGCTAGACATTTTCAATAATGGAATTCGAGTTTGGTTTAATAGAAATTTGTCGTACTAGGAAAATAGATTTCACTATTGGATCTTCAAATATTTTTATATATGCTTTCCTATGCTATATATTCCTATATTCTTTTTAAGCAAAGAAATATTTTCTACCCAGAAGATTTTCCTACCATATTCATGATCAACAATTAAAATTTTAAGATATTGTTTCAAAATATAAACAAATGCCATAACTACAAAAGCTTTATTGACAAATCCTTTTATATCTGACTATAAATTGTACACCAAGTATATTTAAATCTTATATTATATATATATATTTGCTAAATTTAAAAACAATTCGTAAAGCCCTCACAATTTTTAAATCGTTTTGCAAATTTAATCGAGCGAAAAAAAATACTAAAACCTATCGAGTGGCACCTATCGGGAAGATCTCGCAACCCTTGTCTGGTCACACTGAGCCCTGAACTAAATAGAGCAAAACAATAGAGTCGGAATAAAATGTGCTGTAGTTTTTAGTTTTTTAGTTTAGGGCACAAACCACTGAGGGTAACGAGCATAAAAAAACCCACCTTAGTGCAAAACGGGAGCTGCGCGTCCTGGAAAATGTGAAAATAAGTGCGCAACGGAGCGAATAAAATTGCAAGCAATTTTCGGGATAATTTATGTAATTCAGTGAAATAAACATTTAATTGCCTGATTGAGGCCTGCACTAACTTGGACAGTATTTATCAGACTACAATTTATAATTTGTGCAAAAAGTATTAGGTGAGTGATTAAGTTTATGCATCGAGGTTCAATTACGTATTGTGTACACCCACGTAGAACTGAAAATCTCACTCATATTATGTTGATTGTCGTATGCCCTTACGACGTCGCGTGCTGATTTCTGACTCATTAACGAGCGACTCCCCAGGTACGAGATCCTCCAAAGGTGACTCACGATAATAACAATAATACCCCCGTCGAACACGAGACAAAGCCGAGAGCTTATGCTGCGATTGCAGCGGAGTGCAATTTGAGTGGCACAGTGGACAAAGGAAATATTATCTCTTTTTTTTTATATTTTATTCATTACAAAGCAAGATACAAGAAGCATTAAATATTTTTGCATTACGAGTGCAGTTTTTTAAGCTGTCAACGCTTGCTGACTTACATAAAACGTAACCTTTGGCCTGCTTTTATATTTGTGGCGCTTAATTCCGTTCCCATTCCACTGTGCACCACCCACCCACCCACAATACACCCCGCCCAGTGCAAATGCACTTAAATTGCACCCAAATCGCACTTGGCCAAATGAATTGTGTATGTGTGTGTGTGTGTCTTTGCTCTCTCCCCTCTTGGTTATTTCTTGGCTTTTGACGCGCCATTCGCCAAAGTAACGGCGTCGGACAAACAAACCAACAACAACAACCACAACCACCCAATGCCCCACGTCCATTCACTTTAATTTGCTTTTGCTCTTCGTATTTTTTGTTGTTGTTATTTATTGTGCTTTTTTCCATATAATTTTTTATCTTTTTTAGCCACAAAAAAAATTCAAAATTATCTGGTTGTCCGCAAATAAATATTCGCTTCTATTTACTTGCACCGAAACTTTGATCGTCGCCTACAGGCAGGCCTCGTTAACATGAAATGAGAGTCAGAAATGATATTTTATATTTAATAATAATTTAAGATTAAATTTCTTCAAAAATACTAAACAAATATATCTTTATTTAATAAGTATTTAATAAACTACTATTAATCATTGTAGAAATATTTTAATTTATTAGAAACCGCAATACTATACAAAAATATTGACTAAACAACTGGGTCTACTGTTTTGCATTAAATTTGTTGTTTTTTTCTTATTTTGCGTCTTTTAAAGAAGACGATGGCACGCGTTGGGCTCCATACCTTGTGCCCAGGTACGGAACAGAGGATATACTCGTACTCGTAGGTAGACAGCACACGCTCTGGGGGGGAAAATGAAATGTTAATGTAGGCAGAAAATTCTGTATTCTGTATAAAATTACGCGACGACGACGAAGACTACATCGATGTGGGCAGCTGGGCGGAGTGGGAAATGCACACACACACACACCAGTCTCCCCTGGAATGAGGATTTATTTAATGGGCCAGACATTGTCTCCGATACGTACCGAGCCCCAAAAAAATTTATTATTTCTGTATTATGGTCTAATATTAATATTTGATCTAACTTTTGGTTATTTTTCAAGCTAAGGTTTTTAAGGTTTCCCCCAGTTTTTTTTAGTAACTTTTGCTTTTAGTTGGGGATTACTTTTAGTTTCTGTTGTGGTGGATCAGCTGTGACTTTCTGGTTTAAAATATTCATATGCGACGACACATATGAAGTAATTGTGGCTAACCTCAGCGATTCTCTTTCAGCTTACGCATAGCACCTAGGCTAGTTGGTCAAAGTTCGCACTAGATTCAGCATACAGCCTTGAAACAAAAGCTTTCCTAATCGTAGCACCCAAATGGATACTTTGTGAGTGGTAAGCTATGGGTTGTTGTGCATATAGAACTGCATGCTTATCGGTTATATAATAAAGGTATTTTCCATATTACCAATGATTAGATGAATATTATTTAATAGTAGTTAATTGTTTTATTTTGAAACACAGAACCAGATGACTTACTTAAAAAAATAAATCAATAAAATCCTCAAAGCTATTGAGTCATGTATGTAATGTATCAAAACAAGAGGTTACACTCTTAAATGGCAATAATTTGTCATACTGATAAGACCAATACTCTATTAGATATCATTGACCACTGATAGGAATAGATTCCACAAAAACAATTGTAATTTTGACACCATAATGATGTTGAAGGAATGCCACGACACGATTCTATTTCTATTTCTAGAGAATCTAATTTTGATCAGTTTGCACTAGTTCTGTGTGGGATTATTTCGGTTATTTCCTTTAAATGAACACTAATGGCATCTAAATGGAAATTAATTGACTTGTCTATGGCCGAGTTCTAGGTGCAGAAGTACGCGTACGTCACACAAGTTAATTAAATTTTAATTTGAAGGTCATGAATTTGGTTTTCAATTGGGTTCGGCTGGGTGTTCTCAATTTATTTGATGAATTTATTATCAATCAATGTACTCACCTATTTTGCACTTGGATCGCACAAATTCTGGAATTCCTGTTTTTTTATTTATTTATTTATTTTGCATATGACGCAGTTTCTTTTGAAAATTTAGATAAAAATTGGTTTTCGGATGGAATAGTTTGTTTTTTTTTTTTTAAACAATTGTCATTAGAAAAGTTTTCCTCGTCAAAATAACTATAATTTTCAGAGCCATTTACTTGAATTTTGTCAAGGGGCGTTGACAGCCACGCCACAGCCATATACCATATCCATGTGATTATATATGATTATACTATGTACAGAAAGGGTGGAAACCGTGAAAGCCTATCCAATTATTTATTTAGAGTTCTATTAGGAACCGGACAAACTAGCTCACACATCTGCGCACCTCAAGCACATAATCAAATTACAAAAGCCTTGCATTAATTATAAAGTAATTGAGTTTTTAATTCATTAAATGATTCAATTCTAGACATCTTGAGAAATTAAACTGTTGTTCTTTTTAAAATATATACTATGTTTTAAATATAGTTTTTACCCTTTTCACAAATCAAGCAACTACTATGTAGGTTGAGTAAAAAATATATATACATTTTTTTAAAAACTTCACAAGCACTTAAAAACGGTTGTTAAAAATATGAAGCCCATTTGAAAACCCCTCCTAAGTTCATAGCCGATAAATGTTATGCGTTCATTCAACCAAAGGCCATGAGCTTGAGGTCTGACTGTAAGGTATATTAGTGGACAGATCAAATAACCGGTTCAGTGTAAGTCAGCTGTGGGAGATAGAAAACTAGTTTCGGACAAGAAAATTGAGTATATTGGCTGTGAGATACCCGGTACTCACTTAAGAAATATGTGCATATGTCCTAAAAGATCATTTTTAAAATCAAAAGCTTTTTTTTTAATAAAACACACTTAGATACGGTCTTTAAATAATATGTTTAAAAAATTAAATGAATAATATAGTAGCTGCTTTTAATATATCATTAAAAAATCCTAAATGTGTCTAATAAACATTTTAAAAGCTTCTATAGATGTCTCTAAAAATGTATCTTAAAAAGATTCGGTTTATTTCAAATTTAAAAATAAAGTTTAGCTGTCTTTTTCCAGAAAATTCGTACATATATTTTTTATTAAAAAAAATGTATATTATGTTTTAAAACAATTCTTGTCAACCGGAAATAATGAATCTACAATTAGTGCTAATTTCAGCCAGCAACAGTCCAATAGCCCATGTGGCAAATACAATTTTTTAAATTTCCAGAAACTTTAGGAGGATAAAAATAAAAAAAAAAAAAAGCGAAAAGTATTTCATTGTTTGTTTATGGATAAATTTATTAAGCTCGCGAGCGTACGCCTCGTGATGAAAATTAATTGCCGAGTTGTTGTTAAGTTAATAAGAACTTGAACTGGGTGCTGTGTATATTGTGTTGTGTTGGCCACTCAACTAAAAACCCATTGCTTGGAGAGAGTGTCAGAGAGACATACTTTTGATACGCAAACATATACATTTTGTTGTTCGTTCGATTGGACTCGCGCACCCGGGAGATCGTCTGCGAATATATAGACTCACTTCAGTCTAAACTTTACGCTCGCGATGATCGCTCCAACGAGTTCCACCACGTTCCACACTAACTAAACGCATATGTGCACTAACTATAAACTATAAACTATATCTATGCCCACGGATCTTGTTTATTTGCGTGATATACAAACAATACACACAGAGACACAGAGA